TTTCCCCCCTCTCGCGCCTCCCCCCTTATATTGTTTTCTCTATGTTCCTTTTTCACGGGGTCATGTACTCTCGAACAGAGACTGCGTTATCAGCGCTGTATGCACTAGTTTTTACCCGAGTTTGTAACTAGCTATTACCGTCATTATTTTATCACTAAATCGCCTGACAATAGCCTCAAAGCTACTACAACTGAACCCACATACCAAAGAAGGAATGTATAAGCATGAGAATAACGAAACGAATGAATGCTGTTGGAAGAAAATTGAAATTTCATGGAATGTTTCGAGAGTAATTTTACGAAGAGTGAGATTGAAGTCGATTTAGGTTGAAATAAAGTCATGAAATATCAGATTTCAATGAAAATTCAAGGAAATTCAAAAATTTTAACAAATTTTTTGTTGATAAAACATTTGTTGAAAATTTTTTGTCAACAGGAAGATAAGAAGTCCCAAACTTACGTGAATTTTCAATTTAATTGAAAATTCAAAATTATATTTTCCTGAATTTTCTGGATTTCCATTAATTTTCGTGGAATAATTGAACCGACGTCTAATTTTGAATTTTTAATGATACAATTTCTTGAAATTTCAGTGTAACAATGACATTTACCATTCTCCAAAACATGAATGAATACGAATCACAAAGTCCACGTTAATGAGACCAAAAAACTGTAATAAAACTCATTATCGACATAATTAACAATTTGCTTACACTTAATTTTCCGTATTGATGGCGCTGTACCAGGTCACAGGACTAATGAAAAATTGATAATTCATTGTGATTAAGTGACACAAATTTTCCGTCCTCATGAACTAATTAAAACTTTATCGAATGATTTAAGGTTTATAAGAAGAAGACTGAAGCAGCGAAGAAGGAGTATCTGAAGGCCCTGGCGGCTTACAGGGCATCGGTGGTGAGTAAGAGTGCTGGGGACGAGCCCCAGCCACCCCAGCAGCCACCGCCCCCTCAGCAACAACCCCAACAGCAGCAGCAGCAGCAGCAACAACAGCCCCAGGTGCAGTACGGTTATGGTTACGGTGGTAATCAACCTGGCAATGTTGCCTACCAGGTTTACAGTCCCCAGCCCCAGCCACCGTCGCCCCAACAGCAGGCGCATCAACACCAGCAAATGGCCATCAAAAAGTCACCCCATCATCTCACTGGAATGCAGCCTAATCATCAACAGCAGCAGGTAAACAATGTCAATTTTTTTTAATAGCCTGATGAGTGGTTGGGGGATTTGAAATTTCTCATGGAGGTTTTTAATGAATGGGCGCAGGGCATGATGGGCAATCCTATGGCACCACCGCACATGACGCAGCAGCAACACATGCAGCAACAAGTATCACAGCAGCAGTACATGCAGCAGGTCAGTGAACTCGATCGTTATTATTGGTGTGGAGTGTTAAAAATATTAAAAATGAGATTTCCGCTTGACTGGGATGATCATGAGGTACTTAATGAAGGATGTTGAGGGCTTCAATGATGTCGTAAAGTCATTGACCACTCGTTATTAAAGAAATATCTTCAGTTCACTGGAAATTTATTTTTTCATTTATTGCTGTGTACGGACCCAACAGCCAGGAGCCTCGTTATTGGGTAAAAAGAATATATTGTTATGAATATCTATTTTTCCCTTTCGAAGGCATTCCATCGGATATGCAGTCATTTCTTTTAATCCTAACTCCTCCTCTGAAGTTAGTGTTACGTTTGTTTTCTTCATTCTTTTCACTCATTTTTATTTGTGTCGACGGTTAATTTCTTTACATTCCAATTTATCTTAATAAACACCTGTTTTATTATCTGGGGTTTTGCGGTCGTCAGCCCTTCGAGAATAATTAAATAATTGGTTTGTTTATTGTTTTAATAATCTAAGCAAATAATTAAAAACAAAATTACAGTAATGATATTGAGAAACAGCGGTCTAAAACCGTGCATGACGTTCTAAATAAAGTCAATGTTGATAGGTATATATTAATCAGAAGTCCATCGGCAAAAATAATAAAATAATACATGTCAAGTTGTAAGAATCAAATATATGTGGACGTCCGCATGAAAAGGGACCACTTTGGCACTATTGGAGTTATGTATATGCCGATAATCTTGATCCGATTCTGCAAATTTAGAGCCAAAAATGAACTTGATAGCGTAAAGAGTGACGACGCTATAGACGATCGAAAAAATAATTTAACATGGGTTTAAATAGGAGTTGGCAAGAGAAAAACGTGAATATCTCGGAAAATAGAATCGACAAAGTGGTCCCTTTTCATGCGGACGTCCACATATGTAAGACATGTAAGTCAACATGTGAATGATAATATCAGATATAGAAGATTTTTTTTTCGATATTTTACATCGCTTCGACCCGATTAGGGTATACTGCGATGATGATCAAGACTTTAAATGGTCAGATCGCAGCATTCTACCCGGCCGGGATTTGAACTCGGAATCTTTCGCATGTGCGGCAACGAACTTACCCACTGCGCCAAGCCACCGGGACAAAAATATGTATAGAAGAATTGAGAAGAAAAATTTAGAGGTGTCGGTTGTAACACACGACAATCATGGACGGAGAGAGTTGAAGTAACGGAGAGGAGATGATGTCCAATTCACCCGCGCAATATTTGACAAGTAGATTTACGTAGTCGCAAGCTCTACAGAAGGGAGATGAAGTGATGAAGTGAGATTTAGGGAAAGGCAGATAAAAGGGTGTTTGGTGTCTAGAGTTTAGACTTGGGGGAATTCTAAAAGAAAGTTGAACTAAAAATTACAAAAGGGTAGTCGATGTTGCCTCTTATGAGTTTTATAATGAATGAAAATGATGTAATACTAGGTCTCATTTCGAGATATGTCAAAACGTTCAAGCAGATCCGTTAGATCAAGCTAAGAATTTCAAAAATCTGTGAATGTACTCAATTCTCCACATTCACAGATTTTGTTTAATACTTATTAAAGCTCTTAAAAATAATGTTGTTTTTAAAACGTCTGTTTTTACGGGTCTCCGTAAAACGAAGAGAAATGAATACGAAGAAATTTACTGGATGCAATGTCCGGAGAAATCTAGAAAATAATGAAAGGACTTTCTTCTAATGATGAATAATGAAATTCTCTCTAAAAATTAAAAGTTTTCAAGTTGGCATGGAATGCCACATGAGTTGTGTTATCAATTTCAATGTGAGGGGAAAGAAGAATTCACTCATGAATACGAAAAAAAATGTCGCATATTCTATGAACAAACTAACATAAAGAATTCTTTATTTTGTTCCTCTGGCTTTCGCTTCTCTGCTGTTTTTATTGTCCTGAAGATTCTCTTACCAGTTTACGGAATAAATAGACAAGAGAGAACGAGCGTTAAACATCGGGTTGTATTAACTTCGTGATTGCGTCAAATTACTGGGTAATTCAAACTCCCTGACATTAGGGCAAAATGAGCAATAATTATTCGTCGTGTCGTAACAAGCCACTTCGATTCTTCATGTTCATGGCTTTATGTTCATTTTTTATTCTCGTGTTTAATGTGTCGGTGAAATTGGTTAAATTAGGGGAGAACAATGAAAGAATATTGAAATGATTTTAACCGTTGGGAATATGCTCGCGAGACAGATTATCTGCACGAGAGATTGGTTATGATGATTAATTTGGTGATGCAGCATCATGAATTGAATTGATTAGCATTTTAAAAATGGCCGAATGCTTGGAGAGGGACGCGAGACGCTAGTGGCATGGCGGCTTCCAGTGTTTACGATACTCCTGGCAACACGTTTTCAATTGTTAGAATTGATAAGAAAAATTATTATGATGTGAGTTTATGTCCTGGGGATATTGCATCGGGGCTTTTTGTACTTCTTTCTGCTTCGTTGTTTTGAAGTTCAAAGTTGTTTAAGGGGTAAAGTGGAGCATAACCTCTATTAACTTTTAGAAATTGTTTCTGTAATTAATTGGTTTTGTTATTTCCATAGAGTTTATCATCTAGAAAGTAAAGTTTTGATCGCGAAGAGAAAACTTGTTAACTTTCGAATTTATATGGAAATTAACAATTTTTTTTTCCTTTTCGATTATGCTTTTGCATAATAATTCAGTTGATGGGGAAAAACTTGTTGAGATGAAATTGTTTTTGTGCTCGTGCAAAACAATATTCTTAAGTAATGAACCTTGTTCAGAAGTTTCTCATTATTTATTTGAATGGCAATGATCACGTGAATTAAGCATTGTTCTTTGGTTTAGAGAATTTTCATGTTAAATCGCTGGCAATCATGTTGAATTAAATCATTATCTACCCAAAAAAAATTTACATAATGAATTTAATAAATAAGTTTTTACGTTTCTTGGTAAATTGCATTACATCATAATTCCACGGAATTTACGAAGAATTTAATTATTGAAAATTCAATATTTTATGGAAAAATCAATGGAAACAGGAGATATCAGAGAATCACCGAATTCATAGATTACAAAGTCTAAAAATTAAACATCTTGAATGTTAATGTTTCAGGTGCCCCAACAACAAGTACAACAAGTGCAAATTCAACAGCAACAAATAATGCACATGAGTCCCCCACGTGCTGACTCTTTATCGAGTCCTCCCCCAGTGACAGGACAACAAACAGGCCTTGGCCAGTCACCACCGTCAAATTCCTGCATTCGTCAGGGCTGTCCAAATCCAGCAATTGCAAACAGCGAATGGGAGGATGAGTATTGCAGTAATGAGTGTGTGGTTAGCCACTGCAGGTTTGTGTGAGCATTATTTTTTTATTCGTTCTTTCCAGAAATGCATCTCATTAACTCACCCACACTCATGATATTATTATTTTACGAATTGCAGGGATGTCTTCACCACGTGGGTCTCATCAAATCAAAATCCCCAACAGAATTTTTCAACAGTGAAGTAAACACGATGATTATTTAAGTGTTAATCTCAGAAATAGGATGAACCACAGAATGTTTTTTTTTTCTCTCCTTTCATGACCCAAGGCCCTTCATTCAAGAATTTATCGGGGGCCTGTGGGTCGTTGAAGCGTTAAGATTTAAAGTTAAAACGTAAAATAATGGAAACTTTACACAATTATGTACATAAAGTTCTAGACAAGAGTTGAGTGAGAGTTCTGATTCGCTGGAGATGGGACAATCACGAATTATATGAAAAAAAAAAAATACAACAATATAAATGCCTGGATGACACGATGAGACTGTCTGCTAGGGAATACTGCGAATCGCAACGAGGCAACATTGACTGTGAATTAACGAAACGATTTAAACTGATTTTTCATAATGTTTTTTTATGTACTTGGGGAGCCTTAAACTGGAGTGGCCAGAACTCTGCTGATAACATCTTTTTTTTTGTTGATCAACTTTAATAATTTATTACGGAGTAAAGTTTCATTTCCAATTCAAGCATTAGATTATTTTTTAATTCTTTTGTATTAATATCGTTTTATAATTACAAATATATTTATGAATATGATCCATCACAAGCTGAATCAATGTGGAAAATATTACAATGGAAAAAAACAAATTATGGGGTGGTGTTTTTCTTTTAATGTTTAACAGAATCTGTGTTATTAGTTGGCAGTGCCATTTGCCAGTTGTTGCATACTTCATTTTCAACATTCATTTAGCTAGAGAATAATTAATGAGAGGTACGAAGAGAACAGGTGAATGAGAAAAATAAAGAAGCTACACATACGTATAGTTATATATAGTACCTAGACCCTCCCCCCCCCACCCCCCACAACCACCCACGAGTTTATAAATAAAAATATCCATCTGTGGAAAATTTACCTGATACGATTTACGGAGTTGAGGAAAAATAAAATCATTTTCTCCCGTCTCCCCCACCCCTTCCCCTCAATACGTAATAATTATCGCATAAGAGAATGATTAAAAACCACTGGATGATGACAGTCAAGTTGCCATTGTATCTGGCTGGATAAATAACTCTGAGATGTGAGGAAGAACAGGTGAATTTTGATGGTCAGTGGATGATAGGTATCATTTAATGCTCCAAGCCCACTGGTTTGAAAATCATTATTTTTTTATTATATACGTGCGATCCAATTTGTATCTATAGTAAATATTTTCTTTATGTTGTTTTTTTTGTTCATTTTTTACGGTAGGTTTTAATGAACTGAGGATTTTGGGGTCTGATTCGCGGGATGTTTGAATTTTCTCGGTGAGAAATTGCGGTTTAACCAAGGACATTTGCGGGGATTATCTCGGAAAAAAATATTTTTTAATCGAATTGTTTATTTTTTCAAACCGAGATGATCCACCGGTGAATTATAGGCGTTTTGGGACTGAATGTTTGTCAGAACTGGGGCTGTATTTTTTTTTAATTGGGTTTTAGCGTGATTTTTTTGTGGAGGGGAATTATGAAGGGACAATTTTACGCGAAAGCCCAATTGTTAAAAATATTGACCCCAGTGTGAAGGGATGATTAATTCAATAGTGAAACGCTGATCACTTGAGGACATTCTGTGCATATAATTATTAAGATATTTCTTTTTCCGTTCGAATAAATTAATTTTTTCACGATGATGTTTTTTTCAAATTTTTGGTGTGAAGAGCGCACGTTCTTCGGCGAATTCACGTTAATTTAATTATTTGTTTTTTTATATTCTTATGTAAATACGAATATAAATATATTCTATAGATTTATAGGTCTATAATATATACATAATCAGTACTGTAATATATTGATAACGATTTGTGGTATATTACGAGAAAATACAAATTATATATTATACATATAAATTAGAATAAATATATTATTATTGGTTATTGATAATGCGTAAGATATTGATTATGAGCGTTCGTGAGGTGCGCCAACAATGACCGCGTTTATGGTGCATTGAAATGGTATTTCACGTGAATGAATAAATTCAATACAGTGCAGAATAAAGCAACATTAAGTCCCTCCCCTCGTTCATGTACAATTCCCGAACGATTATGAGATGACAATTATTGTGAAACACGATTTTACAATATGATTAATCATAAAATACGATGAGAAAACCTATAGTGAAGAAAGAGAGTTAACGAAAATGAAGTTAAAACGTTAGGAGTTACTATAGTATCGTAGACCTTAGCACGACGCATCAAATGCTAATATATGATGGTGATTTGCAATGAATTTATGTTCATTATTATTGTTTTTTTCTGTACAAAAAGAATATCTTAATTAAATGACTCAGTCCCAGAACTATGAATTTTTGTGGATTTATTACCATTCTTTCCTTTCCAGCTTGTTCGAGAGTTCTTCAATCCTCAATTGTTTCAAGGTTTATTCAACATTTAGAATTTTTAAGTCGATTATTCATCCATTGAATAATTTCCATAACTTTCTATTTTTACATGAAATTATCTTTGTGATGAGCCATTTTAAAACCACTGGTTGGCAAAATAATTTAACAAAATGGAAAAATGAATCGATAAATTTTTTTTTCATAAATGAAAGGATTCTTTAAAATTAAAAGGAATCAATTGTAATTAATATCAATCGATATCTGCGGGGATCGAATCACAGTCACATTCAACATTTAGAATTTATAAGTCGATTGTTCATCCATAGAATCATTTCCATAACGTTCTATTTTGACATGAAATTATCTTTGAGATGAGTCATTTTAGGAAGAAATGTGAAAATGCATTTTTTGTTGCAAATTTTCTCAGCTACAAAAAAAATCTTGTGACATTTTCTCGTAACACCACTGGTTGTCAAGATAACTCGACATTTTGCAAGAAAAAAAAATTCTCGGATTCCTCCCCAAAATCGATTGATTATTCTTGATTTAATAAAAGGTCTTTCTTAGGATATCTTCAATGGATACAACAAATTCAATATTCCCTCGCGCATGAGCAGTCTAGACCCCAGCGAGAGCCTAGGTGGCAGCTCCCCACCAAAACTCTGAACGCAGTTTCCTCTCTAACTTCCGCGAAAACGGCGAGGAACCTTGGAAATCACCACCACATCCTTTTCTACCTCTTTCCACTCTCCCTGCCGCAGAACAATGTGTCACAATCCCAGTCACCTGTCGACCATGTACTTTTCGCGAACAAAAGTCAGGTAGCTCCCGACATGAACCACTGATTCATTATCCAAATTATGTGTGGCCTACTCAGTTGAAGCATGGGTCGAATAATCCTCCTACGGATCTTCCAGTTGTTAGTCGTCATTCATCTGTCAAGTGAGTAAACAATCACTCCAGCATTACAAACATGCCCCTCTTCACTGAAGTAAACTTATACGTTCAATGTAAAAAGAAATCAATGTTGGATTTTTAATAATAATGTTTGACATAAAACAACTTCGCCTTCATAACCCTAGACTGACGCAATGCATTTTTTATTCAAGAATTATTTACTCTTATTTATCACGTTTTCTATTTGTTGATTTATGATCGAGGTAATTCGAAGCAGTAAAACGGTTTAAGGACATCCAAGTATTTTTCACAGTTTCAATCATCAAATTTGTCTATTAAATTGCGTGGGAAAAATTTTAAACAAGGCATGAATATTCAGCGTCATTAAAATTATAGTTTGCACAAAATCATCATTTTTTTAAATGTTTGTTGTTTATAAGTAAGTAATTGAAATTGTTTACACTCCTGGAAACCTTATTTTTTTAGGAATGAGATCGATTTCTGGTAAAAATCTGGATATGAATAAATTTGTTACGAAAATGCTCATAATTTTCAAAAATTGTAATTTTCAAACTATTTCAACAATTTTTCTATGAAAGTAAACTCCAACTCTTTTTCAGATTTTTAAAATGTTTTCTTATGGTTCAATATCGAGATTCAAATTCAGACCTAAAAAGTTTAAATAATAAAATCATTGTAAACTTAGGGTCAAATGGGACTGCAATGAAAGCTCTGATGTTGGACTACAAAAGTAGAAGTGCATTTCACTGGAGAAAAAATAGCCAAAGTACTTGGATATCCTAAAGTCAACTTGGCTCTTAGCTGAGTTTTTGAGGAATATCTTCGAATCTAACGGTTTGAATTCCATTTCAAATGAAAACATTTGTAAATTTCTCATTCATCTTAAAAACTCAAGAAAACTGGGTTTTTCATGTTCAACAATCATTGATTTTCCAATGAAAATCAGTGATTGTTCAACATGAAAAACCCAGTTTTCTTGAGTTTTTAAGATGAATAAGAAATTTACGAATGTTTTCTTTTGAAATGGAATTCAGACCCTTAGATTCGAAGATATTTGAACATGAATTTCCAAACTCATTCTGAAAATGGAACATTACACAAAATGCAATTTTCAATAGATTGAGAACTCACAAAAATTCTTCCCTGAATTTTCAAAATGTTCAGTGTTTCCCAGTGCCATATGAACCTGGCAATCAAGAATTGCTCGAATACTCCCTAAATTAACTGCTTCATCAACGCAGAAACACGAATTTCCCGTAACTTTGTCGTTCTTATAAATGTCAAGCTTTCTCCCTCGAAACTTCAGGAGTAATTTCCTAGCGGTGAAAAAAAACCGTCCAATGATACCCAAAACTCCCCCGCCTAGTACCCCTGGAAAAAAGCCTCTCACAGGATGACTTTCCCCGCAGCGGGTCTCCACCGAAACCTGAAATACTACGAGACCCTGCACGCCTCGCACCTCCACCACATGATCGTGAAGCGTGGCGCCCAGCCCAGCAGTCACCCCTACAACAAGATCAACGAGGTTGAGTTTTACGCTCACGGCCGCCACTTCCGCCTCATCCTGACCCCCCGACGGGAGGTCATCCACTCGAACTTCAAAGCGTACGAGGTGTCGGCCGACGGCGAGGAGAGGACAGTCCACCTGGACCACGACAGCTTCTACCACGGACGAGTCTTCGGGGAATTGGACTCGCACGCCCAACTGCACATCGACGACGGAGTCATGACCGGTAGCATCACCATCGACGACCAGACGTACCACATCGAGCCGTCCTGGAGGCACTTGCCCCACCTGGACAACAGCAGCATGATAATGTACAAAGCTTCAGACGTCAAACTGAGCTGGGAGCACGTGAACGAGGATGGGGAGGGGCACACCCACGGAGTGCCAAAGACTTGTGGCTACGTGCAAGAGGGCGACGACGACGATGACGAGGACGACGAGGAGGTGTTCCCGAATCGAACCCTTTCGAGGCGAAAACGCCAGGCTGAGGCGTACGAGTACACCCCGACGAAGACCCGGTGTCCTCTGCTGCTCGTGGCGGACTACAGGTTCTACCAGGAGATGGGGGCCAGCAGCACCAAGACGACGATCAACTATCTGATAAGCCTCATAGATCGGGTCCACAAGATCTACAATGACACCCTTTGGCAGGATCGTATGGAGCAGGATGGCTTCAAGGGAATGGGCTTCGTCATCAAGAAGATTGTGGTGCACAGTGAACCCACCAGGGTTCGAGGAGGGGATACTCATTATAATATGGTGAGGAACATGATTTTTTCAATATTTATAACTTAACCCCTATCAAATTCCTCTATTAAAAAATAGGTGAAACATTTTTGGTCCGCAATCTATTTCGCCTAGCATATGCTCGATTTAGGAATATTTCAAGTTTATCTTAGCTTATGAATAATGGACTATATGTGGATTATATTATATTATACTAATTTATTTTATTGTTTTCTTTCCAATTTTTCTTTGCGGATAGATTAAATTCAATTTATTGGATTCCATTCCCATTGTAGTATACAAATTGTGGGAAGAGTTTTTTTCATTTTCAAATGAAGAGATATTTATGATAAATAATGAGGAGAGTATTGATACTGTTTGTTGGGGAATACCTATCAATTCAATTTCTATCCTCACATTTTGATAGAATACATTAAAAAATAGCAAAGAATAAAAATCGGAGATGAAAAATTTTATCGGATTAATATAATGTATTAATAATAATATATATGTATAATACTATAATATATATAAATGGAAAATGAGAGAATGGTACTGACCAATAACAATAATATAGCGCGGTCTATTAATTACCTTTTGAAAATGAAAAGAATGAAAAAACCGTGAAAAGAAGTCAACAAAAAACTCGGAAAATTAGAGACGCAAAATTTCTATAGAAAACATCTCATCAAATAAGTCCGACAGAAAAATCGATTTCTATTTTTTCTGTAGAATACTTTCCACTGAACATTTCCATGAAAAAAATTGAACTCCAATAAGATTTTCCCGAAAATTTGGTAGGTCTTTCCGCGTCACTTTTTCCTGCCTATTCGAAAGCTCTGGCCACAACCGAAAAAATGAAGAGTAAAATTCATGACAATTTTGTCTATCCCCCCCAGGTGCGGGAGAAATGGGACGTCCGAACCTTGCTAGAAGTCTTCAGCCGAGAGTACAGTCACAAGGACTTCTGCCTGGCGCACCTCTTCACCGACCTGAAATTCGAGGGTGGCATTCTGGGTCTCGCCTACGTCGGCTCGCCAAGACGCAACAGCGTCGGTGGCATCTGCACCCCCGAGTACTTCAAGAACGGCTACACGTTGTACCTGAACTCAGGCTTGAGCTCGAGTAGAAATCACTACGGCCAGAGGGTGATAACGAGGGAAGCGGACTTGGTGACGGCCCACGAGTTCGGTCACAATTGGGGGTCCGAGCACGACCCCGACGTGTCCGAGTGCAGTCCAAGTGCTTCGCAGGGTGGTTCCTACCTCATGTACACGTACAGCGTGAGTGGCTACGACGTCAACAACAAGAGGTTCTCCCCCTGCAGTTTGCGATCGATCAAGAAGGTGCTGCAGGCCAAGTCTGGGAGGTGTTTCTCAGAGCCTGAGGAGTCGTTCTGCGGGAATTTGAGGGTCGAGGGAGACGAGGAGTGCGACGCAGGGCTGCTGGGGACCGAGGACAACGACGCCTGCTGCGACAAGAACTGCAAGTTGAGGAGGAGTCAGGGGGCGGTTTGCAGCGATAAGAACTCCCCCTGCTGTCAGAACTGCGTGTTCATGAGGCTCGGGGTCAAGTGCAGGGATGCGCAGTACGCGACCTGCGAGCAGGAGTCGAGGTGCACGGGCACCTCCAGCGAGTGCCCCAAGTCTCCGGCCATGAAGAATGGCACTGCATGCCTGGAGAGGGGCCAGTGCAGACTGGGAAAGTGTGTGCCCTACTGCGAGACGCAGGGCCTGCAGAGCTGCATGTGCGACACCATCGGGGACGCCTGCAAAAGGTGCTGCAGGATGAGCCTCAATGAGACTTGCTTTCCCATCGATCCTCCTGACATCCTGCCTGATGGGACCCCCTGCATCCAGGGCTTCTGCAACAAAGGCATCTGCGAGAAGACCATTCAGGATGTCGTGGAGAGGTTCTGGGACATCATCGAGGATATCAATATCAATAAAGTCATTAGGTTCCTGAAGGATAATATCGTGGGGGCGGTCATCATTAGCACGGCTATCGTCTGGATCCCTGCGAGCTGCATTGTCAGCTATATCGACAGCAGGAGGATCAAGGATAGTGAGAAGAAGTGGAAGTGGAAGAATACCGATGCTCTTATTCATCCGGAGGACAAGAGGAGGGTCATTCAGGTGGGGTTACCTTTTAGAGGGAATTTGGAACAGGGGTGAGGGGGGGAAGGTGTTCAAGCACGGATGAAAAAATTTAATAGAGAAAAAATTAGCGAATTCGCTAGAAAATTGTATTCAATTTCTGTAGAATTTCCGCGACGCAATTTTTCTTGAGAAGAAACGGAAAATAGAATGAAAAAAACTTGGAAAATTTGAGCCGAGGAAATTCGACAGAAAATATGTGAAGAGAATAAGTTGTATGGAAAAATCGAATTCTGTTGACTTTTTCGAGTGAATATTTTCTACTAAACATTTCAATAGAATCGGCCAAAAACTAATGGAGAGTTCAATAGAAATCCGATAGAATTTTCTAACGAATCCGCGGGTTTTTTTTATTGAGTTTGTCCTTGCGTGAGCGTTTGAGGATGGAAATAGGGAGAGTGGGTGTTTTATACGATGCCATTGAATTAACGAGAAGAGAATCTACTTAATTATGGGTTTCTGATTATTACAGGTGGTTTCATTCATTAATCTAGTCAGTATTCGATGCATGTGCCCCCAACTGTGTTCATGTTCCGTTCAAATGAATGTTTTTTATAATTTCTTAGTTTTGAGGGATAATAAAGATAATATAAATGTTAAGTGTCGTGATTTCTCTTCTTCTGAATCTTTTTGAAGATTACCAAATGCTACTTGATTTCCTATAAACCATCCTGATATCCTCCCTAATATATAGCGCTCTTCTTGAACTGTTTTTTTTAAACTTATCTGAATGTGTTTCTTCAAAACTACTTTTTTTGTTTATAATTTTTACATGTTTCTTGAAACCTGGATTAACCTCTAAAACAATTGAACTTTAACCGGCAAGGGGCGGTGAGGGGTTAGAGGTTAATCCTGGTTTCAAGAAACATGTGAAAATCTAAAACAAAAAAAACAGTTTTGAAGAAAGATACTCAAATAAGTTTGAGAAAAAACGGTTCAAGGAAAGCGCTAATAGATTCTGTAAGGGGCGCCTCTTACAGAATCTAGAATCTAATCTAAATCGAATCTAGATAATTTATCAATTTTTAGGGATAATAAAGATAATATATAATTCATAAAGTGTGCTAATTTTATCATACCAAAGCTTCTTCGAAATAAATTACAATAAATAAATAATAATTGCCTTACTAAAAAAATTCTATAAATTCCCCAAAATTTACAGAAAAGGAGAGCATTTCCTAACAAAAATTCCCATTAGAATTACCCAAAAACCAAAAATCTACACTAAAATTCTCCACAAAAACTGAACTCTTGCAAAGTTATCAGGTTATCACTAAATAAATAACATCAATCAATTCAAAATCCAAATGAGTCTGCCCCCAGAGGTCGCCACCGAACTTCCTCTCTCCGCGGCGAAAAAAAATTTCCCTCCAGCAAGTTCGTCCAACTGAAATCCCCAGAAAACTCCCCAGATATAATATTTTGTGCTGGCACAACGGTGTGGATGGGGTTTCTGTGCTCGGTTATAATTTCCACTGAGCAGCATCCGTTCTGTGATAAACCGCAAAATCTCAACACCCCGAAAACCGGCCGCCGAGAGAAGCCCCCAAACCACTGGGCGATAAAATCACCACCCACTGGGTGCCGGTGACAAGAGGGTCACCCCTTGATAACGCGCCGTCGAGTCGCGAGACTACCGGCGTTCCAACGGCATCACAAACCATTTAACCCCCGATAAATCGCGCCCCGGGGGTATAAACCACCGTCAAACGCTCCACACATCACCCTGCACTTCACCAGGACCTCTTGGCCGGAGAAAAACCCGAGTGATTCGTGCGTTGGGGGCAGTCTGCTGCCCGCTGGGCCGATAACCTCCACAATCGCCTCCGAACCCCCGAAATTCCGCATAAAAAACCCCAAAAGCAAATCAATACCCCAGCAAAAGCCCCCACAACCCCAGGAGAACCCTCTCCCATCCGAGCCCCAGCAGTCACCCCCACAAACCCCCAGCAACATGAAGCTCGTGGACAACGTGGTGAGGAGCTTCAAGGTAGCCAAGGTCTTCCGTGAAAACACAGACCGAATAAACAGCATCGACTTCTCCCAGAGTGGTGACACCCTCATATCCTGCTCCGAGGACGATCAAATAGTCATCTACGACTGTGAAAAGGGCACCCAAATGAGGACAGTTAACTCCAAAAAATACGGTGTCGATTTAATTCACTTCACACACGCCAAGAACACCGCCATCCACAGCTCCACAAAGGTCGACGACACAATACGTTACCTCAGCCTTCACGACAACAAGTACATCAGGTATTTTCCTGGCCACACGAAGAAGGTTGTGTCGCTGTGCATAAGTCCTGTGGAGGATACGTTTTTGTCTGGCTCAATGGACAAGACTCTCAGACTCTGGGACCTTCGTTCACCCAATTGCCACGGGGTGATGAATGTCTCGGGGCGCCCAGTGGCTGCTTACGATCCCGAGGGCCTCATCTTCGCTGCTGGTGTCAACTCGGAGTGCATCAAGCTCTACGATCTCAGGAGCTTTGACAAGGGGCCCTTTGCAACGTTCAAACTCTCCCAGGAGAAAGAGTGCGACTGGACTGGCCTCAAGTTCAGCAGAGATGGCAAGACCATTCTCATATCCACCAATGGCAGCATCATCAGGCTCATCGATGCATTCCATGGTACACCTCTTCAAACTTTTGCTGGCTATCTCAATAACAAGGGCATTGCCATTGAGGCGAGCTTCAGTCCTGATTCACAGTTCGTTTTTAGTGGCTCAACTGATGGTAGGGTTCACGTTTGGAATGCTGACAGTGGCTGCAAAGTTTGTGTTCTCAATGGTGATCATCCCGCTCCTGTTCAGTGCATACAGTTCAATCCAAAGTACATGATGCTCGCCTCTGCCTGCACCAATATGGCTTTTTGGTTACCCACTGTCGAGGAGACTTCGTAAATTGGGGTTCACTCTGGATTGGAGTTTTTGGAAGGATTGGGGGCCCGTGGGATGATCTCAGAGATGATGAGTTATGATGATTCTTTTTTTTTATTGTATATTGAGTGACGATTATGGACACACGAAAAATGTGAGATGCATTTTTTTTTTCTTTATTTTTTTTTCGTCTTTGGTTCATTCACCTCCTCTTAACAATTTTTTTCTTTGAGATTTTTTGGAGGAATTCGCGGGGAGATTTGGGTGATAAGGAGATGTTCATTAGGGTTGATAAGATATACCAATTAGTATTGACGATTTCTGTACATAGATGATGATTCTGGGGACTTTTATATGTTTGAGATGATTTTTTCGTCGAGTCTGATTAAATTCAAGATTTGAGCCGGATATCTCCGTGAGGACTGGGTTTACGGGAATTTGTTGTAAGACCCTTTTTGTGGGGAATTTAATGCTCTACGAAAAAGGTCTTGTGCGTTTTTTTTCTAGACCCCACGGTTTTCCGGATATTCGCGAAAAAGTAAATGCCTTTTTTACAAATTCATTATTTTCTTTCTTCAATCGCACGAATCATCGAGACTCGATTAGTCATCTTATTAGTCATTAATCTGAAACACTAGATCGATTGAATAGTCTCTTCTCCAACGAGTCTCCTCTTTCTACCAATTAAACACATTCCCCCTTGTCCTCTCATTTTAATCACAATTAAGAGAAGATGAAAAAATTATGACGATTATCGAATTGAATCTACGTAATAACTATGTGATGGAAAACTTTATAGTGTGACATGATATGAGTGTTCAAAAGGTGTATGTACCTATTTATCGATATGGGCGAATTTATTATGCGAATGTACGTGCAACCCTATGTAATATAGTATTTTTTTATATAAAAAATTATCAGAATTATTATACGTAATTATAGTTCATTGCTGGATTCATTTGTATTTGATTGTATGATAATTGCACATAATTGCATACAGGAAATAATAATTGAGTTCTTTATCAATTTGAGTATCTGAGAGGGATTTATTTGTCCCGATAACAATGTAAATAGTGCATTTTCATGCTGACTGCATGCATGATTAAGAATTACAAGGGACGAATGGTCTGGAACATTTTTGCCATCATTTTTATTTCGGTTTCGAGTGAAGTGATGAAACAGGAAGGGTTGAATGTCTTTTATCATTTTGATAACAGCTGGTTTGTAGATGAGACTATGCAAATTTAAATATGCAGCAGCAAATATCTCTACTTTTTTCTACAATCATGTAATTACCGCAAAAGAAAGGTGTGAAAATTTTTTTTAAAAGCGGGATAATCCATTCATTGAGAGTTTACCATCATTATCTCGACAACGATCGACTCTAGGAGAAAATGTCACTGGACATTTTTTCAAGAGAATGAAATCTCCAGCAAAAAGTCTCTTTTGACATTTTCACGTAAACCCACTCATTCTTGAGATAATCGCAAAGTAAAATTGTAAAAAAAGCCATGCAATTCCTCACTACGTTTCAGCACTCAATAATACCGAATAATGATATAAAATGCGTCCCTTTCCGTCCGCCTAATACGATAAAATACCACTTATTTAAAAAAATAGAGTAACAAAGACATAACGCAACAACTCCATTCTGTATAACACGAAAAATCCACAAGTGAGAGTAAATAGCATAATTTTTAGTCAGAGATGATTGAATTGAGATGAATCATAATTTATGATATTCGAGAATCTTCCAAGATGCCCAGGCGTCAGTGAATTTTTTTAAAACCCTAGAATTCGAATTTTAATCCCTAGTGATCGTTAATGAATAAACAATTACTAGTAATAAGTCACATTGTAGCTGCAGAACGAGAATATTCGCATTATCTCGGGTAGATACGAGTTATCCCTCTATCTGTGCTTCCCATGACACTCGACACCGATTAGCTTTACTGTTAATGATACGTATGAGGTATTCTGGGGAGGTGCAGGTGGAATACGAATTTCTAGCTGCGTTGTTCATCTAACGTGTGATTGTGTGATTACTATGCTGTAGTTATTAATCCCTCGTAATTGTTACGATATTTGTAGCCAGGATGGAGAATTAGTGGTGAGATATGAAGATAATTCTAGGGAAATGGTAGAACGTAATTAATAATTGTTGACAATTGCGCATTTATTCCGAAAGCTTGGAGAAAATTTCAAGAATTTTCGTTCTTCGTGGAGAATTAAATTTGGATTAGAATGTCGAGGGACATTTTTTTAACGAGACGAGTGCATAATTAACGAAAGAAAATTAATTTTTTTCTTGGGAACTGAATTCTCTACAGTGAATTGAACTTTTTACAGCTGTATTTATTACGTTTTACCACTTCTCTCCAGAGGTAAATGTGTTAGAAACAATTCTCGAATGTTCATTTTAGGTAAATCGAAATTCAGTGAGGATATTTGAGAGGAAATGTTTAATGAAATAAACACCATTTTGTACACCTCAGAGAATGTGTTAAATCGTTTATTCCTCGTGTTTTTTTTTGCTGTTCGTGATTTCCAGGTGATAGAGGGTTTTCTCCTGTTCTGAGATTTCCGCGGGGGCCCCCGACATCAAATCCTTGCCTTCCCCGGTCTTGGGGAAGGCTATGACGTCTCTGATGCTGGGGGAATCGCAGATGATCGAGATTAATCGATCCAGACCTGCAACAAGTGATTATTCAGTCGACGAATTCAACGAAAATTCAATCATCGTCTCGTTTTTTAATTTAATTTCAGTTTAATTATTCATTTTAATTATTAATTATCAATTTTTATTGTTAATCATATCGAAAATCATCACCGAAAGCTACTCCTCCGTGAGGTGGTGCACCACTTTTCAACGCCTCCAGTAGATGTGTCATCTGGGCAGTATCAATATTCAACGAATGCAAAACTTTCTCTTGTAATTCTGCATTGTGAATTCTAATTGATCCCCCTGCAATCTCAGAACCGTTTAAAACTAGGTCGTAATGTAATCCTCGTACCTGTGAAGACAAAATAATCAATTCACTATCCCCAACATAATTAGATTTTTTTAGAAAGACTCATAACTTTGACATAAATTGATTAATTGAAAGACATTTACTCTTCCGGCAGAAATAATTGTTCTATTTCATCAACGAAATGGGGTTACAACATTCTTAAAAAATCCCAGTGCCCATTTTGCCCCTATTTACATCCCTCATCCCTTAATATCGTACAAAAAATGACTATCAGATAGAACAGATCATTTAATATTCACATATTCAATATTTTGCGTTATTTTTAAATTTGATTTCAGCAACAGTCACCTTTAGGGGATTATCCTCGAGGTAATGAGCATCATCTGGATGTGGTGCAGTGAAAGGATGATGAGTCGACACCAGAGGATTAGCATCATTCCCTTTTTCGAATAGTGGGAAGTCCACGATCCATGCGAACTCGAAATTCTTTGATCTTATCGGAGAACCTTTTGCTTCCATGACGTTGGTGAATTCTTTGAGAACTCTACCAAGCAGTTTCCTCTGCAAAAAAATTGAACATGAGGTCGGAGAATTATTATAAATGCTCTGGGTGAATTTTGGATGCTCACTGCGTCGTCTCTGGCCCCATGAGCAATGAATACCGCATCATTCTCCTGAATATTCAGCTTTGACTTCAATTTTAAAACGTCTAAATCGGTTTTGTGAAGCTTCTCCGGCCAGTTGTCCCCAGAAATTTTAATTTGATTCAACGAAACTTCTTTGTAATTGAATTCCCTGATGAGTTTCGTCAATTGTGTCTTCACAGAATTCGTCAGGAACTCCTGAGAATAATTAAATCGAGAATGAGGTGATATTGAGTGACTCGATTTAATTGAATGAAATTTTCAAAGGGATTTTTTTACTTACAGAGCCTTTTGGCATCGCTAATCCGTAGATCCCCACGTTTTCGTTCATGTCCACTGAATTTTTATGTAAATCTGTGACATTATGCATCTGGAATGATAGATCAGTGGAAATTCGTGATGATTTTCATGAGGAATTTGGGATTTGAGAAACTCACGCGATAGGGAATCCTCAGGTCTGGCTGATCAGACCCGTACATGTCCATTACTTCCTCATAAGTAAATCTCCTGAAAGGAATTGTGACAGCTTCAAACTCTTTTGGCCAGCAGTGCTCTATCAGTTGCTCCACCAACATCATAATTCCCTCTCGATCAGTGAACGACAGTTCTATATCAAGCTGCAGAAATAGTACATCATTCTTCTTTTTTAGTCATCAAAATTCAATTATGTATTCAATAAAATAATAATTAAATAACAAGTATTTACTTATTTACTTATTCATTTTTTAAATAATTAAAATGGAATTCGTAGAATATTATCTCATCAGTGAGTAGTTTAAGAAGAAAACGTCATAAAACTTTTTTCAAACTTTTCAAAATTCTTGGCGAAAAAGTCTGATTCAATAATTAAAAAGTGATAATTTCATAATTAACAAAAAATTACATTCAATTATGTATTCGATAAAATAATGATTATTCACTTATTCAATTATTCTTCGTTTTAAGAACAATCAGAATGTCGAATTGAATAATTAACAAAGTGATCGTCCCACAATTAACGAAAACCTACATTCAACTCAATTAATCTCATCTCTTTAAGAATTCTCTGTGAATTCTATTCAAATAATTACTTGTGTAAATTCAGGCTGTCGATCTGGTCTAGCTGTTTCATCCCTGTAACACCTGGCGATCTGAAAGTACCTGTCCATCCCTCCAATCATCAACAGCTGCTTAAACTGCTGAGGACTCTGAACAAGAGAATAAAATTTTCCTGGGTGTTGGGTTGGCACTACAAACTCTTGTGCCCCCTGAAAAAATTCCCATTAATTATTCGTAACTTTTAAATGGATAAAATATTCTATAGAAAATGTGTAAATGTCTCTGACGATTATTTTCACTAATAATCTTAAAATGATTTTAATTATTTTAATAATTAATCTTAACATATTTTCATAATTTTTAAATCAATAAAATATTCTACAGAAAATGTGTAAATGTCTCTGATGATTATTTTTACCCCTGGAGTTCTCCTGAATAGCGTAGGCGTCTCCACGTCCACGAATCCACACATTTCAATGAGAAAAAACCTCATGTTATTGAGAATCTGAGATCTGACTCGCAGATTCCTCTGCAGGGAGGGGAAACGAAGTGCCAGGTATCTGTACTGCATCTGCAGGCTCTCCTTAGGGACGTTGAACTTCCTGATGGAGAAGGGCAGCTGTGGGAGGGACTCGTTGAGCACCTGAAGACCTTCAACTTCGATTTCAATCCCTCCAGTCTTCATTCTTGGATTCTCCTGGCCTGGGGGTCGAGCTATCACTCTCCCAGTTATGCTGAGGACTGCCTCGAAGCTCAGGTGCTCCACTGATCTCATCAGGTCAGTTCTCTGATGATTAATTATTATCAATCAGTCAGTGAAACAAATTATTTTTTAATTATGATCGGTTTATGCAGCTAATCAGTTAAATCAGAAGCATTGGATCTATTGGATAATGTGATGAGCCTCACATCCTCTGGGATAATCAGCTGGGTAGACCCATAGGAGTCTCTCAGGATGACGAACTTCCCCATTCTCTGGAACTCCATCCATCCACACAATTGAACTTCCTCTCCAACATTTTTGAGAGACAATTCTCCACAAGTGTGAGTTCTCTGGACGAACTTGTTCACAGGTGGCACTTCTCCTCCTGTTTTCACATTCTCCAGGGACTTTGGGGAGTGCTTGGTGTGGAGGCTGCATGAGGATGTGGTGCACCTAGTGCAGAAGTCATTCTGCAACGAAAAATACGTCAGATGTTGAGAGGAAGACACTCCAACACTTAATCCTCAATATCTCGCGATGAAACGATGCGATTCGAACGAGTCAGATCTCATTTTGAAATCTGAAAAAATAGCTTCAAAATGAGAGGAAAATTTCTAAATTTCACTCTGGCGATCTAGAGTTATTGAAGATTGAAAACTCCAGTTTTTGAGAGAAAGAAAAACAGTGAGAGTTATACATATGGGATTATCTCGATGACCAGTCGGTTTAGGAGAAAATGTCATAAAACATTTCTTTTAGAAAATTGAATTTCCTTTAAAAAAGGTTTTATGGCATTTCCTCGTAAACCCACTCGGTCTCGAGATAATTGCATAATCACCAAAAATGACGAATTTTGTTCGTCAAATTTCGTAACTTCGATTTAGGATTAATTAATTAATCAATTCGCTTGATTACCTTTATTCTGCAATTATTTGCAGAGGACAGGACCTCAGAATTCACTGGCAAAACACATTTCTTGATTAAATGCCGAGAGATTCTCGTTGTCCACATGTTTCACTGAAAACACTCGACGTGTAACAGCCAATCAGAATGCGATCATCTGACAATAGTGTGGAGTGATTTTGAGGTTAAAATGCTCCAGATGAACGCGAGACACCGCATTAAAGTTGAGTTTACGTTGACATTGTCACTAGTCTCTAAAAACAATTAGTAATAGAGTGAAATTTCCCTGCTAAAAGGACTTAAATCGTTTCAACCGTAATTAGAGGATTGAAGAACTGCTCTCGTTGCGAGTAAAAGTATAGTCTTCTTTAAAAAAAAAAAAATTCACCTGCTGGGAGGAGTGATCACCAGCAAAGATGGTAAACTATGCATTTTCCCCATAATTTTCAATTTTTACGATTACTAAATTAATTTCTAAAGCTTTGTGCATCTTGGGGGATTGATTGAAATGATTTTTTTTGTTCCAGTTGCCCCTTTCGTTACTCAGAACTGCCCAAAATCATCCAATGGTGATTATCCACTCTCAATTATCAACACAATATTTTTATTTGCATTTACATAGTGAAATGACGAGATTTTTGTTCGGTTTTGCAGCTTGTGGAGCTGAAGAATGGAGAAACTTACAATGGACACTTGGTGAGCTGCGATAATTGGATGAATATCAATCTCAGAGAGGTCATTTGCACATCTAGGGTGAGTCGAGATGAAAGTAAAGGACAATAAAATAGCAGAAAACCTTTGTTGAAGAGAATTTTCCATGAAACAAAAAAAATCTTGTCTTTTCCCTTTAAAATCTCTCGTTCCTGGGATAATTAGACAATTAATGAGTCTAGATTTCCTTCTCCCTTCGATATTTAATGAAAGTAAATGCAAAAAATGGAGAATAAATAATTCAATTAATGGTTAAATTATTTTAATTAATGATCAAATTCTTTAATTAATGGTTAAATGATTCTAGGGGAGAGTAGGGTAAAATGGACACTTTAGACTTTTGTTTTAATTACTCATAACTCAGCAACAAATTTATCAATTCAGCTCAGTTTAGGCTCGTCACAAAGGGAAAGAATTGTTCTTTGCAATGAAGAAAAAATTATTAAATTTTACCAACATTTCAACCCGTCATTAACATTTTAAAAAAAGTCAAAAGTGTCCATTTTACCCCAATCTCCCCTAATTCGTTCATTTCTAATAAATTAAAATTGAATTGCTCTCATCAGTGGTCTGAATAGAATGTCAGAAGAAAAAAAAACTTCTGACATTTCCCTCTAAAACAATTAACAACTGGATTGTATCCATTCTCTCAAAATCCAACGAAAATAAACGTGAAATCGACTAATAAATCATTCAATGATTCACAATTGATGCAATTGATGTATGAAAAATGGAATTCCTCCCCGGAAATTGAATAGGATGGCGACAAATTCTGGAGAATGCCAGAGTGCTACATCAGAGGCAGTACAATTAAATACCTGCGAATCCCAGACGAAGTAATCGACATGGTGAAGGAGGACGTGCAGATGAAATCGAGGGGCAGAGGAGACATGAAGGGAAGAGGTGGGCAGAACCAGCGAGGAGGAAGGGGAGGTGGCAGAGGTGGTGCTTTCGGAGGACGCGGTGGTCGAGGGCCAGCACCCCTCGGACGTGGTGGCAACCAAGGGAGCAAACCCCTCAACAAGTCACGACCAAAGTGAATAATCCCCACTACGCACCTCACCTAGATTAATTTAACAATATTTTTTCATCCAAAACGATCAATTTCTCCATTCAAAAGTGTTTTAACCACCAGAGACATTGTTAATCATGTTGAAACGTTGATAATGCTTTGAGGATTGTGAAATAAATAATGAAAGGAAAATTGATTCTGCTCTCCAATTAAGATTTTTTATTTAAAAAATCAAATCACAAATACTTAAAAAAATGTATTACGTCTAGGTATTTCACACAGTTGATGTTACCATATAATTAATCAATATAACTAATACTTGGGAAGAAGATAATTAGACAATTCAAGTAATACCATAAATAATAATGTACAGAGACCATGACCCACTGGACATGATAATGAGTAATCGATTGAAGTAATTTTCTTGATTATTATTCAAACATTTGGGTCGAACGGTTCCCCTTCCCTTTCTCGGCTGGTCTCGTCCTCTTGTGAAAATAAGGTAAAGGAACTTGATTCGTACGATTGTAAAAACAAAAAAAAATGTTCATAGACTCGTTAACTCGGTTTTTGTTATTCCTATGAACTCATTTATTGCTTTTTTTCCATTGACAAGTAATGGATTTATAGATGCCAGTGTGGCATAGAGTAGGTGCTGATTCCATTCAGTGTCGTCAGTTATTTTATCGGCCTTCAACTGTAAAAAAAAGGAATTTGTTGGTTAATTTCACGATTAACTCATTAAGAACAATTAATATTCATTAATTGTCATCAACAATAATTATGGAATGTTGAAAATCGATAGTTCTTCTATTGGAATTTATGAAAAATAGAGTTTTGGAAGAAAATTGAAACTTACTGTACGAGGCCAAGTCAATTTCATCAGGTAACTCTGTGATATTCACGTCGAATCGTTCCTGAACATCGTTCAAGATCTTTGCGTCACTCTCATCGCTGACCAGTGTAATTGCAAGACCCTAGAAAAATAATAAAGACATTAATAACCACTTGAATGGTTGGGGATTGGAAATTTGATGTTAATTTTGCAATTATCTTGGTAACGAATGATTTTACGAGAAAATGTCAAAAGGGATTTTTGTAGCTGACAAAATTTCATACATATAATGTCTTATGACATTTTCGCCTAAAATGCGTCGTTCTCGAAATAATTTCAATTATTCATCTCCTGAAAACGTGATAATTGAATTACTTTGGTTCCAAAACGTCCAGCACGTGCTACCCTGTGCAGATAAGTATCTGAATCCTCTGGCATGTCATAATTGAAGACAATGTTGACTCTCTCGATGTCCATGCCGCGACCAAACAGATTCGTAGCCACCAAAATTCTCTAAAAACCAAAATAAAACAATGATTTAATAAATAATTTCTCCCCCAACAGCTAATATTTGTTAATCTAATAATAATTCAGTAGAGAGTTCAAGAGTAAACATTCACGATGTGATCATGAGGTTGAAAAAGTCATCATTAATTGATAAAAACAAAACCTTTAGTCATTCCTGAATTTTCATAATCAATTCTTACCTTTTGGAAGTCTTTGAACTGCTGATATCTGGAGAGACGCTCCTCCTGGGTCATTCCTCTGTGTATTCCAATGGCTGGGAAGTTCTGCTCTGTGAGAAGTTGTGCGAGAGCCATGCATCGTTGGACTGACTTCACGAAGATGACGACCTGTAAACAATTCCACAAAAATTAAATTCCTTTCATTCAAGTAATTGCAGAATGACATAACTTATTCATATCTTCATAAAATCATGAGATTTTTTGTAAAGTAAACACTAGTTTCTGAAAAAAAAGAAAATATAAATAAATGAATAAATTTTCATTCATTCATAAAATTCATGAAATTATTTTGTTCTACAAAACACTCCACAAAAAATCCCTCGACATTCCCAAACTAAGAAATTAAACATCAGTTTATTAAAAAGAATAATAATATAAATAATTCACCTGATTGAACTCCAACACATCGAGAAGTTCAAACAACTTCTTATTCTTCTCATTCTCCTTCAACTTAACGTAATGCTGCTGCAGTCCATGAAGCGTGAGTTTGGCTTCGTCATCCACGTAGACTTCCATAGGCTGCGCAAACAACAACAAAATGAGAAAACCCATCCCACTCCCCACGATTTCCTGACCAGTACAAAAAAAAAATTTCAATTCGCTGATACAAACGAAGTCAATTCAATTCGTCGATGAAAACACAAGATATCTCAAAGAAAAGGAACAAAAAAAAATCTCCAAAGAACACAAACTTCATCAGAAATTAATCATTCTTCTTTTCTTTGCTTTTTTTTTTCATTTTCGAATCAACAACTGATCTTATCGTTGATGACATTATCACACTGGTTACATACGGTCCGGCGACTTCCATCTCAAGGTAGTGCCAACAACGTAAACACTCGGCATGTCAAGACCCTGACCAGAACTAAGATGTAGCCACCCAGGAATGCTCAGCCACAATATCCACTGCCCAAATCGTTGCCCAAACACTCCACAATCACTCGTCATTATTTCTCATCGTTGATATTCCTCAGGATATCGTCGATGTTTTCCCCCCAGCCCTGTCTCTCAATTCGCTTAACGATTTTTTTTTATTTATTGAAACGCTGACGATCTAACTGTTGTTATGCCTATTCTAATCGCATTGGCCCCCGGTTTCCTCTTGAATCTTCTTTCTTGCATCTTCTGTCTTCTTGTCTTCTTGATGTCTTCTTCAGCCCCTCCATGCCCCCCGAAAATAATTCGCATGCCCATTTAACGCCTCCCACCCACCGATTATCATTTTAAATCATCGAATGAAGGATTTTTATTCATCGGTTTTTGTTGGATTATTGGATTTAGAGTGGGAAAGGTGTGAATGCTTATGGGAAATACGGAATTGTCCAGGAATTTGTCAGGAACTGGACGACGAAAGGACCCAAATCATTGGGGGGAGGGAAAAGGAATTCAAATCATTGGGAATTATCGGAATTCAGCTTTTGATTTTTCATTCTGGTTTTTGTGGTCTCTAGCTAGCCTAACCCGCGACAACACCCGGAGTTTAATCGTGGTCTGAGCTCTCCCCTGGGTGTGAACTTGGGGATGTCCAGGGTGTGATCAAATTCAAAGATTGCGGTGAAGAGGGAAGTTTGGCTAATTACATCTTGCATGAATTTCTTGCACACTGGACGAATATCCTTGGACAAGGTTGCGCTGAACATCATGACTTGTTTTCCATGGGGGGTCGAACGGAATATTTCTTGTACGTCCCTCCTCATATCTGAAAATGTAAGAGAAAAAATTAGGTGTTGGGAGGGGTTGCAGGGGGTGGGGGCGACTGTGGGGGGCTTTCTGGACTAGTCAGTTGTGGGTGGTAGATATGTTTGTCATCATACGAGGCTATGACCGTTTCAACATCATTCTAGAATTTCTGTTCGTCTTCACGATTTTTTGTAATTTATTTTTTGAGCCCCAAATGCGTTCTTCGAGTCTTAATATCTTTAATAGTGAGATATAAGGCAAACTATACGATTTGAGAGAATCATTTCTCATTTTCAAGTCGGGGAAAATATTTTTGTGACGAATGATTAAAAAAGATCCATTTGATGGCTATTCATTTCGACATAATTTTACAATTTTTAAAATCTTAATAATTATTTTAGCTATTCATTTTATCAAAAAACTCTCAGTTTAAAGTCTGAGAAAATAACTTCGAAATGAAAGAGAAGTGTTCAATTTCACCTCTCTCGGGATAATTCTAGATTTTTTACTAGGAATGAGGAACTTACCCAGTAATTCCAGCATTTTGTCACACTCATCGAGGATGAAATGCTTGAGGTGTTTGAGATTGAGTTTCTTTGTTCTCACGAGGGCGAGAATTCTACCTGGGGTACCAACGACAATGTGGGGACATGTGTTTTTCAATACTTCTTCGTCTTTCTGGATGGGAAGACCACCAAAGAACACTCCCACCTGCAACAATCAAATACAATCGTTAATCACATTCTTCTCATTCTTTAATAACATTTCAATAAATCCTTCAATAACTTCGTCAGTAGTGGGTAGTGGTAAATGCAGTAGTCATCATGTGAGGCTAAGACTTTTGCAACATCATTCGAAGTTATTCTCAAAACATTAACAACGCAACCAGACTAATTAATTTTAATCCCTTCATTTTTGGTAAATATCTCGAGACCCAAAGGAGCTACAAAAAATATTAACTAGACATTTTTTGTAGCCCTAGATTTTCTCCACAAAAAACATTTTTATGAAAATTTCTCTAGCTCCATTAGGTTCGAAGATATTCCCCAAAAATAAAAGAGTAAATTATTTTATCTCGTGTTAAAAATGTTTGCAGATAATTTACCTTGACTGCAGGCATGTATTTTGAGAATCTCTCGTACTCCTTGCTGATTTGGAAAGCGAGCTCACGTGTGTGGCACATGACAAGAACATAGACCTGATTCTCAGTGAGTTCAAGCTGTTGCAATGTCGCCAGTACGAAAACTGCTGTTTTACCCATACCAGACTTTGCCTGGCACAGGATATCCATGCCAAGGACTGCTTGTGGAATGCATTCGTGTTGTACTGTAAATGAAGCAAGTTCAATCCATTAATAAAGGTAACAAGAGAATTTTCAAACGTTTTTTTTCATCTAAATCGCTCAGAGAGATTGGTCTCAGTCACAGACAATCTGTTGTCCCTATCTACCTCGTAATTCTCATCATTTGTTTTTCTTTCTAGTCTTTTTCATGGGTTTTTTCAGGGGAATTGAGCGGGAAATAGTCACCTTCGGAGGGATGTTCGAAACCGCAGTCGACGATGGCCCTTAGAATCTCAGGCTTGAGCAAGAAATCCCTGAATCCACTGCTGTGAATGGATACGTAGGTTCCCTTGACTTCTTTCTTGGCTGGAACATCACCACTTCCATCAACAACTGCCTCAGTCTGCTCCTCATCCTCGTAATCCAAAAGGTCGTCGTTGTCAGCCATTTTTATTGTTTCTCTTCAATGTGAGTTTAATCTGCAAATAAACATCATATTCAGTAATTAATTGACGTTATGTTGATGATTTCATTGAGAGAATTCAATTTTTTAAGATTTCATCGCTCTTATCGCCGTTTTTCGTTAATTTATAAATTAAAAATTATGAATTAATGAACATATGGTGATTTTATCTGTGAAAATAATTTTTTAACGCAATTAAAATTGATTTCTTTTGTGATTTTCAAGAGAAGAATAAAATGCCGCTTCTTTTGGACATATATGAACTGATATTTCTTATCAATTATGAGAACTAAAGCCGCCATTTTTGGACCCGTGTTGACCTGAAATGACGCCAGGCATGCACCAACAAAATTTCTCTTTCGTCAATATTTATTTGAGGTTTTCTCACTTCTTGAATTAAAAATTGAAATATAAAACGGATTTTGGCTTGAAACATAAACAAATAATTTTTTTGGTCAAACATATGATAATTTTAAACATGCAATCTGCTTTGATCGGGCAATTAATGTTCGTTTGATCGTGAAATTTAAAATTGAAGGACAGAAAACAAAAAATTTACTTTTATTTCGAACAATCAATAATCGATAATAATTATTATCAATTATGTAAATCTACTCCGCCATTTTCGGCCTCGTGTTAACCTGAAATGACGCCCAAAGCCCTCGACCAATCTCAAAAACAAAAGAAAATGTTCAAACTTCGGAAATTTTTTGCATCTGCTTCAGTTAAAAATTCAGCAAATCACAGTGAAAAAATTATTTATCCCAAATTGATACATTTTGTGACATAAAATCCATTACGATTGAATTATCTGCATACGTGGCGTCGGCTTCGTGGCCGTGAAAATTCACAACAACAAAAATCATTGAAGAACGAAGTAATAACAAAAAATAAATCATGGAATCGTATCTTCAGACGTTTAGTATTTATAAAATGAGTGTGATTACCGCCGATCGCTAATAAGAATATGAATTAATTATGGATTATAAACTCACCGACGATGACTGCGCAACTGACTGACGCCACGATAAACAGGACACTAACTGTTCCAAAAATGGCCGCCCCTTTTCCGACGCTTGGAAGAGAAAGCACTAGTGGCGCCGCCTGGATTCAAACGGAAATGCTCGTCAAATCCGTTATTCAAACATTTTTTTTAGGGTTACAAAAATTGATCTCACGTTTTTGCTGTTCCTGAGAAAGGTTGAAGAATTGCAATTTCATTTATCGAATCATTTCTTCAGGAGCCATTTCTCCGAAGAGATTTCACTCTATTAAGAGCATTATATTATGTATAGCGGTAACTTATAGTACATTTTATAACTTGTACGTAAAGTGAAATTTTACGCGTTCTGCGTGCGTTAATTCTACTTTGCACACATTTTGATAAAAAATGTAAAACTTTTGTAATAAATAATTTATGCTTCTGCGTGCTCAAAATGGCGTTTCATGTCGAACCCACCCGAGTCAACCGAGAGACTATTGTTCAAAAAAATAATTGAAGCAATAATTCTATGGATAAATTTCTTACACTCATCAAAGTTAGAATTCACGGGAAAAAATATCAATGACGAATCATTTTTTTTCGATTTTTGAATTTATTTTTTCTCGTTACACTCAACGACTCAACTGGAGTTTATTCGTACCACTTTAATGTACTTAAACAATGATTTCTCCTTGAAATCTTCGTGGTTCTGATGCTCATCATTAATTAGTGGAGGAAAATAATACGAAAATAACAAAAATTAACTACTTCTTATCTTAAATAGACTCACTTATTTAAAAGAAGTTATAAAATGCATTGAACTTTCCAATTTAAAAAAATGCCTACAGAACTGGTGCCGCCGTCCGGACCCGAGCGGAAATGCTTCGGAAATCCTTCATTTGAACATTTTTTCATGATCATTTTTTCATGATTCCAAATATGGAAGAATCGTTACTTCTTTTCCCTCGCAATTCCGATGAGACTTCACTGAAGAATCTCCCCTTCAAAAATAGCATTATGTACTGCTGTAGTCAAATATCTGGGCTAAAAACACCGCCCTAAGCAACAACATCTCCTAAAACAACTCCCATGTCTCTAACGGGAAACGAAAAAAGTCAACTATAAAATAAAAAAACAACAATATCACCTCGAGCGTAACATTTAGACAGTATTCTTCCTGTTTATGTATTAGAATGGTCGCTCCCCCTGGCAACCCTCCCAGTTTTACACTCGGAATTAATTAGAAAAGGAAGAGAACATTGGAATTGGGGTCGCGGCATCAATTGACTTGGATTGAAAAATCCGTCTGTCGTTGGAACACCGAAACACAAAGAAATCGAGGAAATTGAAGGCAATTATCTCGGATGACAATTTTCACGGAGGAAGTCCCAAGAATTGACTCGTAGAGGTATGAAAAAAAACAAACGAATATTTTCTCATCTTATAAAAATTTATTCATCTTCTGATACTTCATTTATACATATTTTGACCTTATCACAGTAAAGAGCGTACTTATCACCAATTTTTAATAATTGGGAGCAAATTGTGGACAAAGTTCATTAAAACCTATCGCAGTAATGGGAAAATTGAAAAAATGACTGATTAATGCTGCTGAGGAACAACAATTATGATTATCTTTGCTGCTAAAATTGCTTTTCTTGCATTCAAATTTCGCAACAAGTTCTTGCCGATCCAACAAGACGGCGCCACAACAATGATCATTTTTAAAATGAAAAAAATCTCGATAGCTGTCGAGGAACTTATAATAAGGAAGAAATGACTGGATTACGTAGAATTGATAAGAGTTATCGGGAATTAGCATTAATCTGTTTACAATAACAACTAGGGACTAGTCAACTATGAGATACGAAAAATTGATAACGTGGGAATTAATATCATTATTAATAGTCAAAACTTCGTTGAGAAGTATAAATACAATTATACTATTTACGATTTGTAGGAGATAATGAGGCTCGTTCAGATTTTTTGACTAGTTATTCGCCGATTTCGAGCGCTGATTTTTATTCATTTGAAGGTAACTGTTAGAATCAGATTTTTCAGGTTTCGTCACATTTCGATTTTTCGAAGCTTCGGATATCTGGAGACCAAGCGATTTCAGAGGGAAAAGTGTGAAGTCTTTTTTCTTGCAAATTTCTTCAGCTGCAAAGAAGGTTTTGTGATGTTTTCCTCTGAATCCCTTAGTTCCTGAGATATTTGCAAAATTACCTGAGCTTGGGAATTCAATCCATTATAATTTGTCACTTTTCACTTCGTTATTCCCCAAATATCTCCGAAGGGAAGCGATTAATCAAAAATTACCAGAATACCATTTTCATCGAGAATTTCATAATCTACAAAAAATGTTTTCTGACTTTTCTCCCTAAACCCATCAGTGTCCAAGATATTCCCCAAAATCTCAACGCAAAATTCTCGAACTCTCCTTTCATCCAGAATCACTCCGAAGATCAAACAGCTTGACTAGTATTTTTACCAATCATCTCGACAGAAGTCCTCTGATACTCAGCTTCCCTAAAGCTCCCAGAGAACCCATTCAACTCGTCAAGAATGGACTCAATGTTCCTGCCCTTGGTCTCAGGGACAACGAAAAACGTGAAGACCAAACTGCAGATGCAGAACGCCGCGAGAAGGAAGAACGACCCACCGATGCTGAGAGTATCCATGATGAAAGGGAAGAACTTCATCATAATGAACGATACAATCCACATGAAGACCATCGAAATAGAATTAGCGAAACCAGAGATATCGGAGCTGAAGACTTCAGAGGCGACAACGAAAGGTGCTGGACCCATGCCGAGACAGTAAACAATGGCAAAGCCTGAGATTGCTGTCACGGGTATCCAGGAGAACGAGCTGACATTATGACCTGAACTCTGGACTATCAAGAAGCAACCTAGGATGCAGTGGCAAATGGCCATTCCAGCGCAAGAGATCATGATGAGGGGTCGCCTTCCAGCCCTCTCCATCATCACAGTCGATAGCCATGACCCGAAGACTTGGATCGAACCCACGAGAATAGTCGCTGTGTTTGGATCCATTGAACTCCCAGCTATCTCGAAGATCGTCGCGGTATAGGCCACCTGGAAGTTATATTGACATTGATGATATTTTATTGATCGTGAAAACAATTCCAAGTACTTCTCAACAAAAATTCTCAACCCTTTCGGCGCTACCAGATGGTGACGTCACCCCATTTAAAATATTGGGCTGTAATCAGCCAAAATCTGGGCACCTTGAACCCTTCACGAATTCGTTGGGAAATTCTATTGGATTTCTATTTACGGATGTACTACACCCTTTCGGCCAAAATTCACGTTTTTTCCATTTTTCTGGGAAATTATTGATCGGATTGACGCGAAATAATATACCGTTTTTGCGTTTTATCATTATTGACTGACGTACGAAGTTTCATGGTAGTGCAATCATTTTCCTGCATTTTGTCTGAAGTTTTGTGAATTTCCGATTTTTTTTAGAAAAAACGCAGGAAAATGATTGCACGATCATGAAATTTCGTGAGTCATCAAGTAATGATAAAACGCAAAAACGGTATATTTTTTCACGTCAATCCGATCAACAATTTCCCAGAAAAATGCAAAAAACGTGAATTTTTGCGAAAAGGGGGTAATACATCCATAACTTTCTATGGCCCGGTTGCACCGAGCCCCGTTATCGAAATAAACAGAGTAAAATTTATCCTCGGGGTGAATTATACCGTAGATGTCATAATTTTTCAATATTTGACCCAAAGAATAATACTTTATTGATCCTGTACCCCCTTTGAATTAACACTGATTTAATCTTGGGATTAAATTTTATTTTTGGTTCCTGAGATAAGTTTGAGACATTCTCCCGGGTAAAATAATCCATCGAACATCCCAATTTACTTTTTACTTATCTGACGTTTTCGTTTTTAGTGACCAATTGTCAGGTGCTGCATTATTTTTATAAGAAAAAGACTTGCCTTATGGCTCTAAATAATATATCGGCCTCAAAGAATATTTAATAATTTTGTGCGTAGCACAAGCACTGTCGTATGATTATTGTGAGCAAAGCAACTGCGTTTATGTAATATCTCTCAAGTGCTTAAGAATAATTCCGTATTTGTATGATTTTTTACGTGAAAATAATCTGTCTACTGTGACATAATACCTGTAATTGTTCAACCTTGGTCTAAATGGATATTCGTTAATGAAAAAAATTGGCAGATTCTATTGAAGAATTGTTCAGGAGAATATTCTATGCAAAAAACTCATAAACATCGATTTCTATACAACGCATTCTGTTGAGGGATCTCTTAAAAAAACTCCTCGGCTCAATTTTTTCTTTCATTTTTCTTATGAAAGGGAGGAATTCCTATGGAAAATGTCTAAAGTCTCTATTTCAATTAGACATTGCCTGCAAACAAATAAAAATTCAATAGAATTTCGTATCGAATTCACTGGGTTTTTCAATTAAATTTTTCTGTGCGCATTTCCACCCCTTCAGCGCGAATATCATGACTCAACTCCTGAATTTCACTCACCACAGCACTGATCCCACAGAACTGCTGACCCCCCAACATGGCCATGGCAATCATGAACCCCTTGAAGGTGCCCCTGTCCCTGAACAATGCCCTGAACCCGACTGATTTATCATTAGCTGAATTCTCCTTGGCAAGTGCCTGCAGCCGCGATAGCTCGTGGTCAACCGTGGCCTTCTCGTTGCTCTTCAGCCACATCAGCGACCTAAACCCCACCGAGATTCTTATTAACAAACTTAATTCACTAGTGCAATGCACTGTTAAATTTCATGTAATTGGCCCCGAAATTCGAACCCTCCGATAATTAAAAATTATACGGGCAAAAATCATCAATTTGACTTGCCAACGCTATACTCCAAACTACCCCATTATTCATCCAAAAAATTCACCTAGTAGCTTCAGCGATTCGCCCTCTCCTCATCAGATAAATCGGCGTCTCCGGCATGAAGACGAATCCCCCCAAGAATAGCATCGGAATGACAAGTGCACAGATGGCAAAAATGTTGTACGGTAAAATAGCCCCGAAGATGTACGCTGTGAGGATACCGATGTTCACGGAGAAGACGAGGATGCTGCCGTACTGTCCTCTGACGCTGTCCCCCGAAATTTCCGACACATAGATGGGAATGACGAAGATGAGCATGGCTGCGGCAAATCCTGCGAAGAGACGAGCTGCGAGGAGGTACGTCCAGTCCCTTGCGAAGAGGATGAGGAGCCAGCAGAGGCCCGAGGGCACAGCGATGATGCATCCCGTTATCTTCCTTCCGAGACGCTCGGCCAAGGTGCTGCAGAAGGGGAGGACTGCCAGGGCCCCGATGCAGAGGATGCCGTTCATCCAGGACATTTGCTCATTCGTCATTGGGGCCGTGCCGATTGGGGTCTTTGAGGATTGCAGCAGGGGGGCCATTGGGGACGACCAGCCCAGGATCATTCCGTATGATAGGGATGATAAATTTACTGGAATTAATGTTGCATTGAACAAAATTGCGGATGAAGCCAATTTTTTTTGATGGATTATTGCGCGAAATTTTCTACTGGAATTCCTCGATGCGAATTTTCTACGCGTTTTCCATTTCATTTTTTTCTATATTGTTTTTTATATTAGGACATTTTCTAAGTTCCCATAGAAAATGTCTCACTTCAATTTAATATCGTAATTTATTTCTTTATCATTTGCAGAAAAAACTTTCAGACTTTTTTTCTTCTACTGGAATTCCTCGACGCGAATTTTCTACGCGTTTTCCATTTCATTTTTTTCTATACTGTTTTTTATATTAGAACATTTTCTAAATTTCCATAGAAAATGCCTTAATTCAATTTAATGTCTTAATTTATTTCTTTATCATTTGACTTTCAATCAAGATTAATAAAAATCATAAACCCTTCCTCAATTAATTGATCATTAATTAAATTATCTGTAATCTTTTTCTACTTACTTAGAATTGTCGCGAAGAATTGCCGCCACTTCCCCGGCTCAATCAGCGTTATTTTTCCGGTCTCCATCTTTCGAATGTGGATTTGAACTTTACGATACGTCAAACAATTTTTTTATCGATCTTACTGATGTTTTGTTCGCGAATTAATTGGCGGACATCAGATTTTGTGGAGATAATTTAAAAGTGGATGGGATTACGTATTGGAATCATTCCACTTTGGATTGTTGCCTCCGGAGGCACGTCCAAAAGTACTCACACCACTTCTGTTCCCCAGTATTTCGTTTTATAGCGATAGCCAAGCCCCCAAGTTCACCACTCTTATCATACCACATGCGGGGAATGCTTACATTCCAAACAATCTCTACTACTACGATCTTGACTCTCATTCATACGATGGGACGAGGGTGTGAATTCCTCAGGAATTTTCTGTAAATCTCCTGAATTTAATCAGGGATTTATGTCCGAAGCTTGCAGAATCCATCCAGGAGCCATTACGAATCGTCAGTTGAAATTTCATCATCACGTTTCAAATTTTTGGATTTTTTAAAATAAATCAAACGTACGTCAGAGGATCTATTTGCTCTGCGATCAGTAGCACGAGTTTCCTGCGACCATGATTTACAGCTCTTCGTCGAGATACTATTCCTAGCAAATTGCAAATTTACTCGATGATTAATTAAAACGTCTGATAACGGAGCCCGAATTTGATTTATCCTATGCATATTCAATACTCGTAGGCACTACTAATCCCCTATCTAATCGCCTATGCTGACAGATGGCATCATAAATTGCAGGCGTTTCTATTCTATTCCAGAGGGAAAATGAAAATTAATCCTGAGTGTTTTCGTCACAATTCGTACAACCAATATTAACTCAATGTTTCAGAGGTATCGAATTTTCCTCGCTGTGAAATTCATTTCGAAAGACGATGACATGGCGCTGCAGTGGAACAACGAATCAAGAGATGATATCCAAATTGAAACGTGAGGATGAAGAATTAAGACGATAAAATATGATTTTTATTCTCTGACTTTTTTATTTTGTTTTCATTAGTGCAAAATATGCAATCTCAGACTGAATAGCAATTCAATTCCTCTATTTTTGTGAAGATATTTTGCGAAGGTATTTTTTGGGTACTCGAAGACTTTTCCACAAAAAAATACTTCCAACAGGTTTCCCTAAAATACCTCAGTAGAACTCGATATGAGAAAAATTTAACAGAAATTCGTTGTAATTCAGAAAATGCCATTTTAACAACGGAGAGAGCTGAAGCGGCTATGCTGGCAATTGACCGAGGCAAGTACTGCCACGAGTCTGATCCCTACCTGGACCGTCCCAGGAGGATAGGCTACAACGTCACCATCAGTGCCCCGCACATGGTAACCCTCCTCTAGCTAAAAACTCCCAGTGATAAAATAAATGATAAAAGAATTATTATTCATTCAGGCATTTCATTTTCTACACGATCCTGATCGGTCTATTGTGTACGCCAATTACATTTTAACTTACACCATTTTTTATTGCATTTTGAATTTGACGGTTTTCGGTGATTTTGGGAACTTTACATTTTTTTCTTTAAATCTACACTGAGAAAAAAATATATTTTTGCCAAATATCTATTTACTTGAGACAAGCCTGATTAGGTTTCAATTATGACAAGCATGTTGCTCTAGAGGAAGACTATGCTGTACATGACCTTCGATGAACTCCTTCAATAATTATTCATTTTTCCTAAATTTCTCATTTTCTATGGGAAAGAATTTTGATTAATTCTTCAATGTTGATAATTATTGAGGGAGCTCACTCAAGATCACAGCTAACATGATCGTCTTCTAGAGCAATATAATTGTCACAATTGAAGCCTAATGATAATTGACCGGGAATGACTCGGCAGGAGAAATATGGAATTGACAAAATAAATACTTCTCTCAAGTAAATGCATATTTGGCAAAAATAATTTTTTTTCTCAGTGTAGAAGGCCTAACGGAATTCTGTTAACGCATTCAAAATCGGCGGAGTTTAATCTTTCTAATGCGGATAATTTCATCTTTAAGAGAACTCCAAGCTCTCAATTTTGTCGGACTGTGTAAATTAACTGCCCCAGTCTCTGGTAAAAAACGCAAAAAGAATTGTCACACGATGCAACCGTAATTTGAAATTCCTGTGGAATGAATTTCGATTCGGAGAAGCGCATTAGGGTCACGAGCGTCATGGGGTCAAGCCACCTTATCTAAGAATGTCACAATTATTGATACGATTGTACTAATCGGGTTTTTAATCGCGATGTTGCAATATTTTCCATCAAGTGCATTGCTATCGTTGATAGCGAAAATGGATAAATGGAAAAAGTGTACAGATGCGACCCTGACCGTGCTGTGTGTGAGGATTGATAGTCGCTGATTGTGATTTTAGCACGCTTATGCGTTATCGATATTGACGGACCAGCTGAAGGAGGGCTCCAGGGCGTTGGACGTCGGCTCCGGGTCGGGGTATTTGACGGCTTGCATGGGGTTCATGGTGGGAGCTGGGGGGAGAGTTGTTGGGGTTGAACATATTCCCGAGCTTGTGGCCGTTGGGGAGAGGAATTTGAGGGAGGATTGCCCGGAGTTCATTGAGGATGGACGAGTGAAATTCGTAGGTAAGGGCTGCCTCAACACAACTCTTCAAATGATAAGAATATTTTTTGATTATCACGCACGTGGTGAAAATATTCGCCAAGTTTTTCGTTCTGAGGTATTTTTCTTACGATAAAACTCACGACATCTCGAAAACTATTAGGCCTATCGAAAAGTGCCACAAAATATTTTTTGCAGGAAAGTCAATTTTCCACAATTTTTTTTTTACATTTTCCAATATACCCAGTAGTTTAGAAGGTATTTAAGTTTTTCCTGTGGAGAAAAAACGTGAGTTTTTAAAAATAGAAAATTACATAATGTGCAGAAGAACCGAATTTATTTTTTATTGTTAAAAGTTTTTAAAAAATAAAAAAAAAGAATTAGAAAATAGATAAAAACGAAAATAATTTTTTTTCAATTTTTCAATATTTTTATCAATTTTTATTTTTTATTTTTATTTATTTTTTTAAATAAAAATTCGAAAATTCTCTGATAAATTCTCGAAATTCTCCCAGAAGCTGACGGCCGAGTTGGATACCCCCAGGAGGCCCCCTACGACGCCATCCACGTGGGAGCAGCTGCTGAGACAATCCCCGAAGAGGTATCCCCCCAAAAGAGTCACGAACTCCCAACAAATTTAAATTTAAACCTCCCCACTAACGAAGAATAAACATTCCCCTGCAGTTGGTGAAGCAACTGGCCCCCGGTGGTCGCCTGATCGTCCCGGTCGTCGCTATCGAGGGCTTCCAGAAGTACCAGGACCTGGTGCAAGTCGACAAGGATCAGGATGGCACAGTCAAGACCCAAAAACTCATGCACGTCTCCTACGTACTACTCACCGATCCCAATACTCAATTACATAATTAAAATTTTCGACATGCCTTCCGCCTCCCTTCCGCCCCTCTATCCTCTCCTAAATTTGGGTCGAACAAAAAAAGCTCGTGAGTTAAGCACCCACCAACCATGCAAGCAGACCCAGCCCACGAATTCTCAACAATCAGTGGAGTTTCATGCACTCTGCGATGGGCTGCCTTCGACAACTGCAGCAGGATCACTACCATCGATCTATCGAATTATGTAAATATGATTATGTCGATATATTTAAGTGATTTAATGAATTTTATTGATAATGAAGGATTAAATTATATTTTGAAATATGAAACTCTGGGTGTTCTCATTGCAATATTGATTTAAATTGACAGAGGTGCCACATGTGTTCTAGGGAATTTATGAGATGGAAATTCTAGGGAATTTATGCGATGAAATTCCTAGGGAATTTATGCGACGAAGTCCTCAGGGAATTTATGGGGTGGAAATTCTAGGGGATTTGATTGGGGCTCCTAGGGATTTTTTATGTCAGTGAGAATTCGCGATTTTTCTACGAGTTTTCAGGGTGCAATCGAGAGTTCTGTCTACGTTTTATTGAATAAAAAGTAGTTCAGGTTTATAGCAGTTTGAAAAAGTATTATTATCAGAGAAATATTATAGAGTTTGGGTTAATGGGGAGTCGGGGGAAGATTATGCTCCGAGAATAATAGAAGAAGAAGGAAATTGAAGTCTTCACGTTTTGGGGCTAATGATTTCTTGAATTAATTTATTAACTGATGATTAAAACTGGTGCTCTCATTGCAGTTGCAACGATAGTTATGGCAGCTTTTGGGAGGTACCATGGTAGATCGAACAGGGACCTAGTGCAGTACCTGAAGAGTAAGTGAAATTGGAAAATTGTTAAAATTGAATTTGATTTGATTGGGTGAAAACGAAGGTCTTTAATCGTTAATAACTGGAGAACGGCTGAGTGAAATTTCTCTATTTTCTTTTCATTTTCGAGGTATTTTTTCAAGCCTCAAAATGAGCCCTGATTTATTCAAATCGCATCATTTGGTCACCAAATATTGAGGATTGAAGAGAGTCTTGATGATATAACGATTTTTCTTTTGATTCCAGAATCGGAGGTGATCAAGTCTGATCGAGTTTTTGACGCAATGTGCTCAGTGGACAGAGGAAAATATACTTTAGCATATCCGTACGTCGACTCGCCCCAGGGGATCGGTTATGGGGTGACAATAAGCGCCCCTCATATGGTACAACAAAAAAAAATTTCTTAATTCTTCGATTCTCTCGGAAACGAGGGGATTGAGGGGAAAAAGCCATAAGAGATTTTTTGTAGCTGACAAAATTTCCAACAAAAATGTCTTATGACGCATTCTCCTCAAACCAATCGTTGCCAAGATAATTACATTATTAGTTAGAGTTGAATTCACAATTCGTGATTTCGCATTCAGAAACCATTTTATTGAATTTTTTACGACTCACGAGGTTGATATTGAACAGATTCCAATGAAAACTTACAAATTAGAAACACAAAAGCTTCTGTTTAGCACGCCCATGCCCTGGAACTCCTGGAGGACAAGTTAAAACCCGGGAATAAAGCCCTGGATGTTGGCTCGGGGTCTGGATACTTGACTGCTTGCATGGGAGTCATGCTGGGGAAGGAGGGAGTTGCTATCGGGATTGATCACATCCCGGAGCTTCAGGCACTGGCTAAGAAAAATATCATGAGTGACAAGCCTGAATTGATTGAAACTGGACGTGTGGAATTAATTGGTAACTATTTTAACCATTTTCCATATTTGTAGGAAAACGATTCCCTAACTATTTTGTAAATATCTTCTAGAGGAAAGAAGTCACAGAAATATGTCCCGATTGATTTTTGTGGGGAATTTTATGGGCTACAAAAACTTTCTTGTGACGTTTTTCCGTAAACTCAATCGCTTTAGAGATATTTGCAAAATAGTGTCAACGAAATTATTTCAATTTTCATTTTATTCCATTCAACGAACCCATTTTCGATTGATTAATTAATTTCTTCATTTTTTTATGTTTTTAATATTTTTAGTGGGAGATGGAAGATTAGGATATCCAGGTCGAGCCCCTTACGATGCCATCCACGTGGGAGCAGCAGCAAAAGAGACTCCTCAAACAGTAAAATCTAGTTGTTCTTTAATTTGCAATTTCGATTTGTTTTAATTTGACTTCACAGCTAATTTTGATTGATTTGCGCCCAGCTGATTGAACAGCTAGCCCCTGGGGGTCGGTTAATCGTCCCAGTAGGCGCCTCGAACTCAGATCAGACCCTAATTCAAATCGACAAGACCCTGGAAGGAGAGATCAAACAACGGCCTTTGATGGGAGTCGTCTACGTCCCCTTGACTGACAGGGAGAGGCAGTACAGCTCATGAAACCAGTGTCTGCTCCAGTGAGCTAATTTATTCTTTTCGTCATTCGTGATCATTTTGACTGTTTGAAGGCTCAACGACTTAGAACAATGAAATTAATAAGATTTAAGATTTTGAATTTTTTTAGATTCTAGAGTTTCTTGTGTTCTGGTAACATTATGTTCGATAATAGTTCTCTTCTGTAAAGTAAGATACTCATTAAAAGAGCACTCGGTAATTTTAAGAATATTCAGGCTGTCAATGTTCAATTCTGTAACAAATCGGTGAAGTTTGGTAATTCCAAAAAAAATATCAACACTATTTTGCGAATATCTCCAAAACTAAGGGTTTTAGCGAAAAATTTGACAATATCATTTTTGTAGACCATGAAATTTCCCGCAAGAAAGTCCTTTGGCATTTTTTTCTAAACCTCCAAGTTCGGGAGATACTTGCCAAAGAATGTAAATCTGTTTCTCTGGGTTCACCACTTTGTTACTCATGTTTCTCCTCGAGATAAAATTCTGAGGAAAATTCACCCGATGTCATAAATCACTGTATGACTGAAAACAGTAATTTTTTATTATCAATAAAGTTATTAAAATTATAATTACAACAATCAATGGAGTTATTCTCCTGTAATTCATCGAACTTAAACGTCTAAATAATTACTCCAAATACATATTACAAATTATGTACATGCAAAACCGACTAGAATTACGTTTCCGAATACCTGATTTCTCTTAAAAAATTCTCTGATCGAAGTTCCTTTGGTTAAATTTGCAAATAAATATGGAAGATAAATTGTCTCGATAATAGAGCAAAATGTGACTCAATAAAGTGATGAATTACGATTAAAACAATTAACAAATATTGAAAAGTAAATTGCAGCGCAAATATTGCGTCCCTTGAGGAATGTCAAATATCACCTTAAAACACAATTGCCAATGTCCTTAATCAATTGATAAAAAACATTGATTGAGTTGAGAATAAAAAAGTCTTTAAATTAAATTGTCTAGAGTATGAACTAATCAAAGAGATTTTACTAGCAGTAGACTGAGGGCAGATCCAATGGAAATTCCCAGTCCGAGGAAAGCACCCATCATTGCTGAGGCTATTTCTTTGTCGTGGGGATCGACAACTCTTTAAAAATGAAAATAATTTATTATGACAAAAACTTAATACTATTCATAATACTGTTATGAATAAATGATTAAAATAGACTCACGTTGGGACCAGGATAAATGCAATATTGCAGAGATAGCCGTTGCCAATGGCGAAGATAATAGTGAGAAGAATGTAGTAACCATCATCTGTTATGTACACAGGGAGATGATGACGAGGCTGCGCATTGCAGAACATCAAAGCTGGGACGAATATCGCTCGAGATATGGCGAATATTACGATGAGCCATGGTTTACCCTTTGGCTGAAGAAATAAATAAAATTAAAGATTAAACTTGTCTGATATTCTCTTCAACTGTTGAGTTTAGGCCAATACGAAATATTTTGCGTGTGAAATCTTCTCTTTCTTCTCTTTCTTCATTTAAAAAACCATTTTATTGAATTAAAACTTTAATTTAATAAAGGGCCCAGTCGACTTGGACCCTTTCACAAATTTTCGCAATATTTCCTAAATTTTATATTTTTCAAGAATGTTGAAAAGAGCATTCGAGTAATTGATTTTTACCCAGAGGAAAATTCCGGCGAGGAAACGACCGACGTAATCCCCACAACTGAACGTTAGATATGTGACAACAGGTACAAAGTAGATATCTAAATGGAGAAAAGAAGAGATTAATCAAATTCCAGTTAACAATCAGCAAAAAAATGAAGAATCTCTCAATATCGATCATTCGTTATACAAACCATTCCAGGCATACCCTTTCCCCTTATCCTTGCTCTCCACGAGAACAGTAACAGCAGGATAAACAGCCATAGTAACGAAGAACGTGAGGAAAATGGCGAGAGCATGAGGCCATATTCTCTTCAAAATACTTAAGTAATTAGTTCTGTGTCCCCCGACAAAACCAACTTCAGCATTCACCGAGAAATTGGGCTCTTGTGGCCTCGGTTTCTCCACCATATGATGCAAGAAGTATTCCTAGAAATTATGATAATCGGCTTATATTGCTCGTATATCAGGCGGAGTGTCGACAATTCGTTTAATCCGATTTTAATGAATTAGGGATGATGAGTGTGTTTGTCGTCAGTTGTATTAACATTTTTCGAGCTAGTCTGTATTCTGATAACATTATCTTCGATAATAGTTCTCTGCTAAATAATTTTAAATAATTGAAAAAAATGTATTCGCATTATTTTGCCAATATCTCTAAAACTAAGGGTTTCAGCGAAAAAATTGACAAAGTCATTTTTGCAGCCCAGGAAATTTCCCGAAAAAAAGTCGTGTGTCATTTTTTTCGAAACCTACTGGTTCCGGAGATATTCGCAAAAGAATGGGAATCTGTTTCTCTGGGTTCACCACTTCGTGATTTATTTATTTCCTCAAGGTAAAAGTCAGGAAAATTCACACAATGCCATGAATTCATTGAAACTATAATCACAATGTTCAATTCTGTAACGAATTGGCGAAATTTGATAAATCTAAAAATTGTATTCACACTATTTTACCAATATCTCTAAAATGAATTAGCTTGACTCACCTCTCGTTCGATAAAAATGTACGCGATCAAGGAGCACAACAGGACAACATCTCCAATGATGAAATAAACAAGGCCAGAGACAACTGGACTAGCTCCAATCCAGAGAGAAACTATTTCAGTCAAAGCTGTGAATATTCCACCCAAAGCTTGACCACTGGACATTGCTGTTATGTATTTTGGGTTGAAACGCCCGACAATTCCCATTAAGCTTCCTCCAAAGACTGCGCTCAATGCTGTAAATTCCCATATTAACATTTTCAACAGAACGTCTCAGAAATTCGTGAATATCTTTAAAACCTCTGGGTTTTCTCATTCTCTCAATTTCATTTTTTGCAAAAAAGCTTCAGAGATATTCACAAAATTGAAACACAAATATGTTACCTACCATTGACAATTGCAAATGACGTGAGAACGATAATTAAAAACGTATTCTGCCCTGTAACAATGAATAATTTCCATTCGAGATTAATTGAGAACAATAAAAAAGCTCGTGATGAACGGAGAATGGAAGAAAATCACTCACATTCGTCGGTATTAATTTTAACAAATGCAGTTGTCATTATAAACAGCAGAAGAATGAGCGATTGTGTCCCGATCATTCTAACTTGCTGCGATAATCTGCAATGAGATAATCAACTCTGTAATTACGTGCATTCAGGGTGTTTCTCGGTAATAACTTCCTCACATTTTACTAAGAAATGTATTCAGTATTAAAAATAAAGTGCTTGGAATGGCACTTGCGATGTTCAGGTAGGATGTAAAACTCGCTTGGAGATCTGTTCTCTTTTCTAAAATCTCGGTGTGCGTATAGTTGTGGAGGCCTGTGTTATTGGAGTGAATTTCCCTGAATTTGTACATCCAGTACTGCAAAATTATAATTCCCATCAACATTTTCATAATGAATAATTCATCATTCAACTGATTGACTGATTTATCTCATAATTCTCTGTCTTGATTATTGATAAATTAATCAAATTAACTGATAATTCACTGAATTGAAAAATAAATTAAGTAAATAAATGGACTTACCTCGTCGGCAGTGATGAAAAAGGCCCACGGTATAAGTGTATTTATTCCCAATAAGTAAAAAACAATGTAAGCAAGGTTGTACCTGAATAAATAATAAAACAAAATTGCATTTAATATTTCTAACGAGTTTAGTATAAAAATGGTAAAAATCCATTTCGACTTTTTTTATAACAGTTAATTTATCTCGAGAATTATTGATTTTAGGAGGAAATATCATAAGACATTTTCTGTAGATCTTGGAATTTTCCACAGAAAATATTTTCTGACATTTTTTCATAAAATCAGTCGTTATGGAGATAGTTCACTATTTGATGAGACAAAAGTTGAGTGATCTGTTGTCATGTTTTGCAATTCTCACCTATCCCTGGGGAGAGGCAGCAGATGCTTCTGATCTGGTACAGAGACACTAGCATCATCCATTTCTGTCTCGATGTCATCCTCAAATTCACTGTCACTCCCCCCTAGCAATGGTCTTCTATTAATCGAGTACGCCATCCTCTAGACAACAATATCCCCAAATGAATAAAGTATAACGAAAGGCTAATAAATAAATGAAGGATCTTCGAGAATGGGAATTTGACATTCCCCCGGGAATTAAAATCATCAGGTGTATCAATCCTTCTACCTTGACAATAAATATTCAAAGTTGTGACTCAATGTCAAGCCCCAAAGATTAAAAGCATAATAAACATCGAATAAAACTGATGTTGAAACTGAATTTTCTCAGATGTTTGCGAAATAATTTTCATAATAAAAATCATCACAAAAATCACGAACAAAAAAAGGAATAAATAAGGAAATCCACAAGAATGCACGGAAAACCATCCATTTGCCCATAAATTAAAACTACTCACAAGCGTCAATCCTTGAAACTAAGCGATAAATATTCACAATAAATAACTCAAAGTGGAAAAAATTCCAGAAACTCAAGACCCAAAGATAAAAAACCTAGTGAACACTAAACAAAACTGATGTTGCAACCAACTCCCCCCAAATATTTATGAAATAATTTCCAAAATAAGAATCACCCCAAAAATGATGACCAAAAAAACAATAAATAAATTGCGAAGTTCGCAGGAATGCACGAAAAATCATTTCCCCACCACTTAAAATGACTCACATGCATCAATCCCTCAAGCTAATCGATAAATACTCACAATAAATGACTCAAAGTAGAAAAAATCCAAGAAACTCAAGGCCCAAAGATGGAAAACATAATGAACATTAAACAAAACTGATGTTGAAACTGACTTTTCTCCCGAGTCGCCTGCGTTCCCCGAACATCTCAGCAGACAAAGTTCCCTCACAACTCTCGACTGATCACTGCCTGTCGTCCTCTCGTGGCATATCCCTGACGGTCCCCCAGATATCCTCCTCAGTAATCCCAGGTCAGATCCGACAAACGAGAGAACGTTCGTGGCACAATTCAACAGCTGGCAAATCCATTGTTTATTTCCGTCCAATTACTCACACTTGTCTCCAGTAAACGCATGCTCCCATGTACAGCAGAGCTGAGGAGATTGTGCCCCCAGAGTTGCCCCCACTTTACCCAATCCCCACTCACATCCCATCCACTGTTGCTCACTCACAAACTCCTTTCATCCTGCACTGAGAAAAAAAAACGACAAAGTTCCCAAACAAGTCTTACTTCGAGAAAATATTTTTTTGAAAATTATCAAAAAAGGATTTTTTTGCGCCAAACATGCAGGGAGTGCGACGGAATGAAAAATTCTTGTCGCAAAAATAGATTTAGTAGTTAATATTGTTATAAATTGTTATAAAATGTAATACATTCTATCTGGATGAGTTGGTGGAGGTATATACAAGGCGTGAGCAGATGTAAAACTGTAAAAGTAGCATCAATGAAATAAATTCTATTCTAGATTTAGTAGTTCAAAAAAAATTGCATTCTCTGTAGAGGCAATAAATGTCATTTCTAGCACTACTCCTGCGTTATTCGATACTCCCGTACCTCCCATACGTATTTGGCTCCCGAAAAATCATTGTTTTATGCGGAACAAGGGACAGCAGCTTTTCGTTTCGACTGTCTAATAATCACAGACAAGAAATGAACCCTTAAATGACAATAATAATGATATGACAGCAATCCTGTAACTTAGGATAAAATATTTGTTGATCAATTTTCCTCTGTATGAGATGTTTTCATCCCGAAAAGGCACCGTCTGGTGTGAATTATCCGCCTCTTGAGCCAAATATTTCGTTGCTGTCGAAAGCAGAGCAACTATTCACGTTTGAGACTTTCAAATTCGAACCAAACAAATTCTTTTTTGGCAATTTTCAACTAGCGATTTTGTTGGCCCAAACAAGACTTGTTGACGTGTTTGTTTTTCTCTCAGCGTGCCCTTTGTTTTGTTGTCTTACACTTTTGGTGATGGCACGACTTTTCTCCCTCCTCCAGCCTCATTTTCCCTTTTCGTTAGTCTCTTGTTGTGAGCCCTCAACTCACTATTCTCAATCTCCTGATACTGTTCTACTTCAGCTCTTTAAGGCTTCTGCTTGACCATCGTTATTTCCTTTCATTATTCTGCTGTGTGACTTCGTCATTACTTTATTTTGTACCACATAATGTGCAGTGAATAAATTTCAATTAACCATTAGTCATATCCTTGGCTCCCACCTCTGAAAGCCAAAAGCTTCCCCCACTTCGCGCAGCATCAGCTGTGTCGTAAAAATATCAACAATGGAGTGGGATGTCTCCAGTAGAGGGCGGGAACGTGTGAGCGTGTGAAAAATGAAATTTTCGAGGTAAAAACAGATTGAAACACTCGTTAGTCGTCAGTATGTGGTTGTCAGTGCGCGTGATAATTATCACTGAAGAAGATACAGGGAAATTCAACAATCGTTTTTATTAACGCCCCGATGATTATTCAACTGCGGGCAGTCTCTCGTGCGTCAGTGTGGTGGGGGTGGGGTAAACAAAGCCGTTAATGCGTGATTTATTCCGAGTTAAAAGGTCTTTGCATATTCCATCAGCCAGTGTTGAATGAAATTTTCAAACGTCGATATGCTGCTGTCGGTCAAGAGATGGTGGGTAGAACTGTTTTGCTGGGTTTATGGGGTTTTATTCTTTTGAGGTGACGAGAGGTTTAATACGTCGTTTGGATTTTTGGGGGCTCTAGCTTCTGCGTGAAGGACTCGGTCAGGGCTCTCAGCAGCGGCGAGGTCTCCACTGCCCTCAGGCCCTTTTACTTCACTGTACATCCGGACTTATTTGGGCAATATCCGACACAAAGGGTATGGGATTGCTCCTTTGTTGTTAATTTTGGGTGAATGGGGGAGTGAGCGCGACAGTGCCACGAGTTCAGTCAACCCTTTGTTTTGTTTTTTAAGTGAATTTTTGGAGCGGGGGGAGGTAGACAAATTTTGTTGGGGAACTTTTTGGAGAGGGGGAGGAGAGCTACGAAAAAGGTCTTCACGAAAATTTTGCTATGTTGTTTTGATTTTGAGATTTTTCACGAAAACCGATGGTGTCAATGGTATTTTAATGTCTTCAGTAATTTGACGCATTGTTAAAAAATTTGGGCTAATATTTTAGGGAACAACGTTACTTGAAGTTTAAAGTTCAGTGGAAAAATGAGGAAAATTTTAATTTCAAAATTTTGAGGACAGAAAAATGTGGAAAATATTGAAATCTCGTTGAATTTTCATTGAAATCTGAAATTTTATTTTTTTAACTATATCACATTGCTATTATCTTCATTGCCTCGTAAATTTTTGAAAAAAGAAATATTTTTTTACAGTTCAAGAATTTTTTTTTTCGTCTGAGAAATTTAAGGAAAAAATTACTGATTCAGAAATATTTTCTCTCGAGTCGTTCTACCTCCACCGCAAAAATATTAGATCAATCAATAAATTCTAAAGGACATATCTTCAATTTAGACGGTCAACGAAAATTCATTGAAGCAGTTGAGCTCTGTTATCGAGTGTCTTCAGCAACGGAGACCGATAAATCCCATGACATTACCGTTTTATTTGCGCTCGAAGGACGAGAAAGAAGTGAAGGCGGGGAAGTTTACACTTGTAAAGATACAGCTCAATGATAAAGACCTGAAGAAGACGATAATATCTATTTTGAAGACCTGTAATTTGCCCACGACCTTCGTCGAGAAGATCGAGGAGCCTGTCAGGGGCCCCAGAAAAGAGAACAAGTTCTGGCAGGCGAGGGGGGACTTCGGGAGGGGAGTGGACTTCACTGATCTCGAGGATGATCCGCTTTATCAGTCCATTTTCATGAGGAGGAAGATGAATTCGGAGCCTGACACTTTCAAGTAAACAAATTGTTTAGTACCGAAAAATTATATTTCGGAATTTTCTTTAATTTAATGTCGAATGTCTCATCTATTATAATTTAATCCAGGTTTTTACCGAGCCATTCAAACCAGCAACTATTCAGGGCCAATTTCCCAATTATTAGAATCTCGCCAGCTGCATCCGGCATTTTTAAAACACAATTCATTTCCCTCGGAATAAACACTTGAAGGAAATCCTCTGACCGTAATAAAATCCAGTTTTAAACTGAAAATTCTCTTTCATAGTTTATGAAAAAAAATTAGGGCACATTTGGCTGAACATCTCGGAATCTAAGGGACATACGACCTTCTGTGCGCAGCAAAATCAGAGATAGGGCGTTCCGTACTATTTCAATTGACTTTTTTTCGATTTCGATCTTTTTTTCGGGTTATGCGAAATCAAAATTTTTAGATTGGACCAGGTAGCTAATCAAAAAAAAATTATAACTCGATAAATATAAACTTTATCAAAGAAGTGCAAGAGAATTTGTTTATTCAAAACATGTGTAAATTTCGGGAAAAAAATCCAGACTCGAAAAAGTTGAATTTACAATTAATTAATCAATAAATAAATCGAAAAGTTAACAACAAATCATGAGGGCAGGTCGCGAAAAAATCGAAAAAAAATTTATAGAGTAATTATTGAAGAATGTATCTATACAAGAAGGTTTTCACAAAATCTTTTCCAATTTCCTCAGATTCCGCGATATTTTTCAAAAACAGATTCATCGGATTCATCCAGTTTTATCACTCCACTCATTTAGATATTATCGTATCTAATTAAAGTTTTATCAGCGATCTTATCAGCAATGTCACTGATCTGTGTACACACCGATAGGGCATATTTGGATAAACATGTGAATGAGGCGCACGTGAAGCTGGAGGCCTGCAGGCCAGTGAGGGAGGAAGTTAAGAAGTTGGAAAAAATTCTGTGTGAGGACCTGGGGCTCAGGGACATCTTCTGGGACTGCGGGTGGAATATCGCGCATTATAGAGGGTGTCTGCTGGCCTTTCAGAACCTTGCGAGGCATCATCCTGAGCAGATGGAGATCCTCAGGGGGAGGACATTGGTCTTTGCCAATGACACGGGGATCAGTTCAGAGGGAAATGTTCTGTTGAACTCCGGGGAAGTGAGGCATAACTGGCTCGATGTAAGTTGATGAGTGAGGAATCTTCGTGGAGAACTTTCTGCAGCTCTCGATCTCTCCTGCAAAAATGTTCACCTGAAAATTTCGTTATCTCTTTACAACAGAATTCGGGCATGACTTTAGTTGAATTTTTCTGTTTTTTACGGAACTTCAGATGATTAGGAATATTCCGAAGCACGATCTCATTCTCCGACGTCTGCCAGCCTTTGAGAAAGCTGTCTCTCGGGTTCTTCTTGATATAAAAATTGGCAGAAGGTGTGTAACTGCGTGAAATCAATCAGATGTTGCAAGGTGGAATAAGGATATTGCAATGTTTTTTTACTCATCCTTATTTCGCGCAATGAATGACGCACTGTAGTACGAGGGAATGAATAACCATAAGGATCAGGGTGCTTTATATGTGCAGGAAGTTCATGCCGAAGGTCATGGTTGGTCAGTACGAGCATCAGCTGAGACAATTGACTACTACTTTATCGGATTATCGGGGGAGATCTAGTTATCCGAATACTTGGCCTACGAGTTTGGCGTCTTATGAATTAGTTATCGAGGCGTGAGTATTTTTGAAACGATGTTTTCAGTGATGGTTTCTGAGATAATCGAATTCCTTAGAACAATTGGAATTTCATTTGAAAAAAACAAATTCTGTTTATATTTGTCATTTATCAGAAGGGGAAATTGATTTTTGATTGCCTCGTTATTGGGTAATGATAAGTCCATTTTTCTATTATTCATTTAATGAATAATCGTGACAAAAAGTTGATGTGCAATTGTAGAGAACATATTCCTTCAAATAATACGTTTTGCCATTTTTTTATATTTGTGAAATAACACGGAAAAATTTAGTTCATCTTTATTCTTCATAGTTTTGCGGATAGAATTATTGATGATAATTAATTGAAAATTGCAGAGAGGCTGGACCACTGATGCTCTCCCCCACAGGACAATTTATCGTGCCATCCTCGTGTCCCGGATTTTTACTCGTTACTTTCATCACTGAGAATTTGGATGAGGCTACGAAGAGACTGAATCACTATAACAAGTAATGGAAAGATAATTCCATTGACCTTCGAAATTTTTCAGTGACGATAATTTGTGCCCATTTATTGTTGATTTAGGATAAAATATGTGGAGAGGGAACTTCACAATAAAACGATCAAAGAACTCTGCTTGGCAGGATTGAACAAAGACGATAGCATAACTCCAGATCTGATGATCCAGTGCTGTGAGAAACTACTCAAACACAAAGTGACACTAACGCCAATGCTAGATGGTGTGATGCTATGGGTCACTCATTACTACTCAGTGATGACGGATGGTGTATTGTGCATTCCATGGGACTGGAAATTTTGAAGATCAGGGTAAACAGGTCAATTTCTGGACGGGGGTAGTTTCTGAACGATTTCAACTTGCACTGAATATTCCATAAATAATTAAATAAAAATTGTACTGATTATTTCACCTTTCAATAATATTACTCGTGTATAATCACGTGATGAATTAATTTTTCTATTGATCCAGACTTAGTAAGTGAAAAAATATGGCCCAGTCGTTCCGAAATTAGGGGTTTCGGCTGCATTCAACTATTTCTCAATTTAATTATTCTTTGTTTTATGATTTTCACTTCAAATAATTTTTTTCTGCTAATTGAAACATTCTTGTAGGTATGGGAGCCATCATGTCCCCATTTGGGTGATTCTTTTATTTTAGATTCTCCCACCAAACTCGAATTTCCTGTAACCGTCGAGCAATTGGCCTGTTCACCCTACTCTTATCGATAAACGAAATGTTACCTGAATCATATTAGTCAATACATACTCCATTTCATATAATATATTTTTGGATAATTTTTCGTACTAGGAAAATAGCTTATTTTTGTATTAGATGTCTAGATATTCTAGAGGCGAAAATATCGAGGGAAAATTGTAGCAAATTCGTGACGATGGGAGTTGCGACGACGAATGAGTAATTGATTATCTCAGGATTAAGTAGTGAACATTGTGTGACGGCGCAATTGTACCAATTGTACATCGACATGTGATGAAGATGAAATATTCTTTTTTTTTCTCCCTTATGGATAACTCATTAAATTGTACAATAAATAGAAAACATAAAATGTAAAATTAATTGAAGAAGAATAACTGAAAGGAAAAATGTCTCTTTTTTTAGCCATTGATGATCCAAGAAGAAAACACGTCGTGTAGGAGGTCCTCAGAAATTTGTATTTGCAGAGTCTTCACTTTATCTTCCTAATTATTTATCATTCTATTTTCAAATGGAGAATCTCAACTCTTGAACTTTCAAGGGACTGTATATTATAAATCCTTCATCCTGATATCTGTACTTTGAAATTCATCAGATAATAAACAATAAATTTGGCTTTTCACGTATGAAAAAATTTCGCGGGAAAACTAGCGAATCCGCTAGACAATTCTATTCGATTTCAATTCAACTTTTTATTAGTTCTTCACCGATTCTATCGAAACGTAATTCTATCGAGATATTTTCTATAAAATTTCCTGGGCTCAAATGCCAGAGATAAACTCGAATGGTTCCGCGTTACTCACCTCCGGACATGCGCCTGTTTTATCGTCACTCTCAGCCCTCTCCAGGGGAACTTCCCAAGTCAGTTGACGTTCCCGAGAAAACACGGCTCCAGAAGATATTTCATTATCAACAAAAATGAGAAAATAACCCCAGAAGCTCGACTAAAATGTTGAATAGTGTTGTGTAATAGGTAGTGACGATTAGGGTTCCCAGACACTCCACTATGTTCCCCATATTTGAACGGAAATTTTAAGTGCAAATCAAATAATTATAATATTGTATTGAGATTTTGGGGATTGAATTATTGTAGAAAAGGCGAGAGGTTTAAAGTGTTCATGAGGTTTTTCAATGGAAAATATTCCGCGTTGTAGTTTTCCCCAAGTAAATTGCTGTTCCATCGTTATGTTCGAGTGTCATAAATTGTTCGTATTTCTGTAATATTTATTATGCACATTTCTAGAGATTTATTCCAGTTCGGGTCATTTCGCGCTCGAGCGTCATTTAGTTAATCCTTCGTTACACTCTCGGTGCACGTTTTGGAGAGTTTTCACCTTTTTTTGCTTACAACTTAATCCGTTCTGTTTCCGAGGGTTGCAGCAGGTTGCAGTGAGGCGCGATGCCTCTTTACCTGGACTCGGAATTTCCCCTACGATGAATGCGCGACATCCCCCTCTCTCGGTACCCTCAGTGACCTCCGCCCTTAGGATTTATTTTCGGGTTTCTTGCAAAATGATTCGTTGAACCCTCTCTATCCCTAAAATTGGTGAGACCTCATGGATGTTTGAACGAGTGGAGAGTTAGAAGCCAAATTGACATTCCCGAGAAAACGCAGCCCCTGAAGTTGAATTTGAATTGAATAGACTCAGCTCTATCCCAAAAAAATCCAAATGACGTCTGAATAATTGTGTTGATGTGTGTCGCGAGGACTCAGCGATTAACCTCTTCATCGTGACATTAATCCGACGTCGAGAGCGCCATTATCTATGATATTCGTTCCATCAGGTGTTTAATTCCATTCACGACCAGGTAATTCATAAAAAAAGTTCTTATTTCGATCAATGAGTCTTTTGTAAATTGTTTAGTGTTTTTCACAAGTTTATTCGACATTTTCAGATGATTTTCGTGCTCGTCTCGTCGGAATGCTGCTCAATCTAGATTTTCCCGAGTATCTCAATGACAATTAGTTGCCCAGTGCATTAATTTGCACACAAGGGCACCAGAAAGCCCGAATCACGTCTAGGAAACATGTGCAGATGTTACGTAGTACAATTAGATGGATGACAGGTCTATCGAGCAACATGGAGCAGAATAAATCAACAAATAATGTGGAGAGCACTGCCAGCACTAGCGAAGTGCCAGTCACACCAGATGCCATCGAGGTATTTTCGTTATTTCATGTGCATTTTTTTTACTATCGAGGAATTGGGGGAATGTTTTATAATCTGTGATGTTTGCAGGTCGATAATTCGCAGACGATACTGCTAAAAATAGCTACACTATATGCTGAACGACTTATGAATGATATTTGCTTGGTCGTGGATGGAGTTGAGTACCCTGCGCATCGATTGATTCTGTGTGCATCCAGTGATGTGTTTCAGGTGTGTGAACACTCGCATGATGAGTGAATTCATTTTCCAAAGTTTTTCTGAATTAATTTTCATATTTTTGAGACGTGGGGCTCAGAGCAAATGTGAGAAATGAGAAATGTCTTTTATAAAATTCAATTCTTAAGGGAAAATGTAAATTAACATTTTGCCCTGAAGCTACTCATTATCGAGACTTCTTCATAATTAGGCAGATGGCAATATCGTAATTGAACAAAAAATGACTTTTTCTGTATTAATTTTCATATTGTTGGTAATTTTGGGCTCATCTTCGAGACGTGTGGGAAAAATGTAGGGATTTCCGTTAGAAAAATTAACTCCTAAGGAAAAATGGAAATTTACATTTTTTCTCAAGATATCAAAATCGTAGTTGAACAAAAAATGAGTTTTAGGTGCTCATTTATGCATTTATTTATTTCGCTTATGAGTAGTTTTATCGAAAAACATTGAAGGACATTTTTAGAACTGAGAAAATCTGCAACAAAAAATATTATCTGACATTTTCCGCTTAAACCGCTCATTATCCCCAGAATTTAACATTCAACGAGGTCTTCAATATCATTCTACTCTATTCTGTTCAATTTTTTTATTCACCATCAAAACCTGAAGCAAAAAATTTACGTAAAAAATATATGAGGGTATTCGTTACATAATTGTGTTACATTAATCGTTCACCTCTATCGTGCCCCAGGTGATGCTGATGTCCCCTCAATGGTCAGAATCCCAAGAATCCCGCGTAACGCTGCAAGAAACCCCGCAATGTGTCCCCCTGTTCAGTGAGTTCCTGCGTTACTTCTACACCGGTCAAATTCGCATAAGCTACGAGGTAGTCCTGCCAATCCTCTCCCTCGCTGACAAATACAACGTCCGAGACTTGATAATCCTGTGCCTTGAGTACATGCAGAACCACATAGCAGTGGCGGCCATCCACGGCACCCTAGTCTCCTGGCTGGAGTACACATCGAACTGCGGCCACCAGGACATCACCCAGACCTGCCAGAACTTCATAAAATGGAACATTGAGCTTGTAGCCAGAACAGCGGACTTTGGAAATTTCGAGCTAGACGTTCTGGTGACACTCCTCCACCAGAGTGACCTCGTCATCAAGGACGAGATGACCCTGTACAGATGCCTGGAGGACTGGCTGGACCACCAGGCGAGTCGTCTCAAGGTCCAGCTGACCCCCGCAGAATTCGAGTCGACGCTGAAGCAACTCGTTGTCGCTGTGATGACTCCAGTGAGATTTCCTATGATGTCTCCAAGGCAGCTAGCCGAGCTCCTGCTCTCCCCTTTGACCAAGAAGTACAAGGAGTTCTTCGTCGAGAGGATGGCCATAGGGATGGCGTTTCACTCTGGCCATCATGAAAGAGTCCGTGAGGTCATCAGGACTGAGGACGACGGGGCCTTGCTGTTCGAGCCTAGGTTGTACAAAGTCGACACCTGCAGCTCCCTCCTGACCATCGAGAACTTCCACAGTCTCCCCTCGTACCACACCAGGACTCTTGTCTTCTCCAGTCACTCGTTCCTAGCTGAATACGCTGGGGATCGGGCCTGCGAGTGGGTCGTGGACATCTATCCGAAAGGCGTATGGTTCAAGAAGTTCTTTCTTATTGTGTGGCAGGGGACTGTCGAGATGCCTGAGCATGTCATCAGGTCGGTCAGGCTGTCGTTGACCTGCAAAGAACCACCGACTGATCGCCATGAGGACATGAGGGTCAAGATTGGGGTGCTTATTTATGGTCTCCAGGATGGGGTGGAGCATATTGCCAGGGTCACTGAGGTCATCCATCGGTTTAATAAGAAGGACAGGGTTCTCAATCTGGATGATCTGCTGCCCTTTGAGGAGCTCAATCCACAACAGGGGGTCGTCCACAATGATAATCCTGTTTCTCCGTTCCTTGTGGGGGCTAATAAGGATATGCTCAAATTGCATATTGTTATTTCACCGGCTAATTAGGGGGCAGGGTGGGGCAGGGGTGAAACGTCTGTGAGGCATCCCTGACAGTTAAATCAGAGTGTTTTTTCATTTCCCCAAAAGGTTGCGAATTCTTTTTTGGGGGAATTTCGGGCGAGGGAATGAGTGAATTTTTCTTTGAGATAAGTAAGTTTTAGATAAATAACTTGGGATCAAAGGGAAATGGAGGTCTTGTCTGGATTTTTTTCCTATGCCAATTTTGGTGGCTTTTCAATTAAGACACATTGGGAGATTTTTCTTCAGCAAAGAGTTAAGTTGAAAGGACATTGATGTGCCTTCGTCCTGTGACACTGGAAAATTATTCTTTTGGAAACTTCATAGAGAGAGAATGGGTCATTTGTCTTGGGAATGAGAAGCTTAAACAATTCTTATGAAAATTAATGAATTAATTGATTGAGAGATTTTTTTTATTTCTTCACAATTGAATTGTGTAATTGTTGCGAAAATTTCTAGTTATAGGGGGAAATATCGAGAGATATTTGTTTTCAGCTGAAGAAATTTTCAGTAAAAATTGTTGTAAAGATAATTTTATATTTATCATCATGAAAAGAATCGACAGGTTTGTTACGTTCCACGACTTCCATTGAAGTCTCTTTATTTTGTTGTTTTGGCTAGTTTATTTGGATGAAAATTACATCAACGATTTTTTTACGCTGGGTTTGTGCAGAGAATTGTGGGCAAAATAATCGTTGTCGTACCGACATATCTGCGTACCAGATTGATTGAGGATTTATTATCTGAAATTCTGCTTTGATCGTGCAGTTTAATGCCGGGAATTCCAAGTGGTCCGTCACGCGTAACTGTGCCAATATTATGTTTCTTTTTCAATTGTTCATATGTAATGCATATATTTGATGAGTGCTTGGAGGGCGATGTGCGATGAAGGGAAATTACGAGCGGAATAATTAATATAACATGGTGATTGTAATTTATGTGATATCCAGAGAGATATTTTGTGAGAATACATGTCGAGTGGAGTAATAGTAAAGCTTATTCATTTGAGTACATTATGCATCACCTTTTACAGATATTTTAAGTTCAAATAGTCAACAATTATTTTTACTTTACGTATTTTTGTAGAGAATTTGTGGAAAAACGAGATAATTTCGCTTTTCATTCAGTTTTTTGGAAATATCTCGGAATCTAAGAGAGATAGGAAAATTTTCCATAACTATTTTTTTGCTGAAAAAAGTGCGAGCTACAAAAAAGGTCCTTATGAAAATCCCCCTATTTCTACTAGAATCAGAGATATTCATGAAGTTAGAGTTAAGTGGATTCATTTCGTTTCCTCATTTCATGAATCATTAAAAATCAAACATTAAATTATTAATTAAATTCTCATTTCTGCATTTTGCGAATGGGGTGGATGGGGTGGTCCATGTGTGATAAGTCAGGTGGATTCTTCTCGAAGAAACTAATCTCCTTCATTCCCCCGGCTGGAATCTCCCAGAGATCAGGATGATTCACCTTGAAGTTGTTGTACCACATTTCCACATGTGGCCATGGGGACAGCGAGAATCCAATGGCCTCCAGGCACATTGTTGCAGTGTTCAGAGGGAAATCCGCAATCGTCAGTTGATCTAACCATTGATAAATTGAATTAAAAATCGTAATCCATTCTCTTTCATTTCTCCATTTCAAACATCTCCGACATTTTCGGATTTATCTTGAGAACGGGTCGTTTTAGAAGAAAACATCATAAGACCTTTTTTGTAGCTGATAAAATTCCCCACAAAAATGTTTTTCTGTGATTTTCTCCCAGAATCACCCGTTTTCGAGATAATTCAATCTTTATCACGATAACAAATGGATACAGACCTCCAGCTGCATATTTCGACTTGGAAGTCTTCAAGTAAGATTCGAACACATCGAGGGACATTTTCAGTTTTTTGAGACCGAGGGGAGTTCTCTCATAGGCAAAAAAGATAGGAGCCATCTGCGAAAAGTTCATTAATTCACAATTAATGACCGATTTTTTAATTTATATGAAATGGCAAAAAAATGAGGGGAAAATACTCACAACGTATTCCGAAATATTTCGATAATACATCGCCAAATTGAAGCACAATCTATGGTTAACGATGGCTCGGGCTTTCGGAACTTTCGGGTATAATTTACCAGAAACGTCGTATTTGTCCCCTAGATACTGCAGAATGGCGTTACTCTCGCCCATAATTAGATCTCCATCCACGAGCGTGGGGATTTCCTTTTGCGGGTTCAACTGGGCGTATTTCTCGGTCATGTGCTCGCCCTTTCCATAATCGACGTCGATGAGCTCGTAGTCGATGTTCAGGGCCTTCAGGGCCTGGCGACATGCCAGGGACGGCGGGCCATCCGATACAGAGTACAGTTTCATAGCTGGAACTGGTGTGAACACTCCACCGGTTTGTGGGATACTGAGGGCCTTGCACTTTCTCAACGAGAATTATCTTCAGCCATTCACTTGTGACACTCTGAAGGCTGCGGGCTTGATGTCCACGACCTATATGGATTCTTATTACGTGCGGCCGGAAAGGGGAGAGGAGAGGCGTTTGATATGGAAAAGAATTTATGGGGATTTTATCACGACGTTAATTATTGCAGGAATGAGACGAGATTTTTAGTTCGTTTTGGTTTAATTCAGAGACTGTGGTAATGAAAAAAATTTAATCGTAATTTTTTTCGTAATGAGTAATTAATTAGTAATTTTATCTATCTATCTGTCTATCTCTATCTAATTATTAACAAATAGTGAAAATAATCAATTAATAATTAGTTAATAATTTGTTTTTATTATTAATTAATAATGAAAATAATTTATTTTCATTATTATATCAATGGAAAATGAACAACAGAAAATCACGATTTCTGTCGTCATGAATAATGAAACCAAATTGATTTTTTAATATCGTAGTGATGGATAATGGAAAATAAAGAATTCATATATTTAAATTTTCATTATTGATTGAATATTATAAAATATCCAAGTGTAATTACCGATTAGATGAGTAATTTTTTTTTTAATCTGATTACTCGACGATATGATATTTAAGAAATGTGAATTTCTCAATACTCATTCATAATATGTCATCAAAAATATTTACACATTATTAGCGATTAAGTAAAAAATATGCATTTGCAGAGAAAATATTGGTGAAAATAATATTTGTGCCGATCTCTGGTTGAGATTATTTTTTGAGAATAACAACATCTGGTTTTAAGAGAGGTTCATTTGAATACACAATTTTTTTTATTTGCAATTTTTTGCAAATAAAATATCTTCAAGTCTGGAAGGAACTAAATGTTCATATTCACTTCACTATTTAATTAAAACTTAAACTATTATTACTTATTTATAAAATATTTTATAAAATGATATTACAAAACGAAGGAACTTGATCGAAAGTTGAAAACCTCAGTGCAAAAATCTGAGAACCGTATCAACTGTTGCCTAATGTGGCAATAAACGGCCTTTCCCTCGTGGGACAGGGGAAATTTCCAAGGTCAGGGTCAAGTTCATCCCAAGAACGCGTCTTCCTGCCAACAGGTTCCAGTAAGCCCCTCCAAACGGAGAATGCAGCTTTAAATACATAATCACGATTAAGCTTACACAACGAGAACATTGAACAGCATTATGACTTTTTTGGTGCTGGAATAATTCGTTGTTGTCGAAAACAGAATAATTATTGACGTTTGAGACTTTCAAATTCGAATCAAACACTTTCAAATATGAAAAAATTTCCTAAAAAAACCTAGCGAATTCGCTAGACAATTCTATTGGATTTCTATTGAAGTTTCTATTAGTTTTTGACGGATTCTATTGACATGTTCAATAGAAAAAATTCTATAGACAAAGTCAATGGAATTCGATTTCTCTATACAATTTATTCTATTGAGGTATTTTCAACAGAATTCTAAAAAAAATTGGAAAAAAATAATATTATGATTATTATAAAATTATTATTATTATTATTTTATTATTAGAAAAAATTCTATAGAAAAAGTCAATGGAATTCGATTTCTCTGTACAATTTATCGTATTGAGATATTTTTGATAGAATTTCTTCGGCTCAAAATTTCCAAGTTTTTTTGATTTTTTCGATGAACGAAAATAAAAAATAGAATGAAAAAAAAATTGGAAAACTTGAGCTAAGGAAATTCTATAGAAAATATCTCAATAGAATCGGCCAAAAACTAATAGAAAGTTTAATAGAAATGCAATAGAATTGTTTAATGAATTCGCTAGATTTTTCGATTAAATTTTTTCGCGTGTGACGCAAGACTTGTTTGAGAAGTTGTTCGTTCTTCTCTGAGTGCACTGACGGGATGTATTTCTTTTATGACATAAAGTATGAAGAATAATTTTTTCGTATCTTGAACTATCGAGTGGAATAGAAATAAATTATTTGCTATTGACAGGTAATGAATATATCGAAATTACTCACTTCGTGCATTAGCAATTTGGCTCAAATGGAAACAGTCGGCTGAGAGATACCGAAAATCAGCGGTTCCATCCGGTAATGTCGGAAATTGAGCATTCCCAGTGATCGGTTGGACAACAACAGCAAAGTCTTTAGTTTGGAATTCCGGGTAGGTGCCGATCGCCTCGTCGAGGGCTATCCATCTACGCGAATCGCAAAAACATCCGTTGAAATATTCAACAATTCATTAAAGAATAGAAAAAGCCCTTCAGCAGGGAAGACTAGAAGATGATTAAATAACAATTGTGTTTTTCCCTGAAATTTTTTAAATTAATTTCCATTGAACATTCTATTAACTTTTTCCCGATTTCATAGAAAAATTCAGCAGAAATTTATTTTCAATAGGAATGTTGAATGGAAAATATTCTATAGAAAAAATCAAGAGTATTCGATCTCCCTGAATAACTCATTTTATTGACGTATTTTCTATAGAAATTCCTCAGTTCCAATTTCCCAAGTTTTTTGTTTCATTTTTCAATAAAAAGAGAAAGAAAATAGAGCGGTAAACACTTCGAAAATTCATGTCCAGGAATTTCTACGGAAAAACTTGAATAGAAAGATGAAATTCTGCTGATCTCTGCAATTCAATAGACTTTTCTACCGAATTCATTAGGTTTTTCTAGGAAATTTTATCATGCGTCTAGACACCTGTTTTCTTAATTAAATCGTGACTTAAAAAATCAGTTTTGATATTAGTTTAATGGGGTTGCATCACGTGGACACTTAGAAAGAAAATAAAATCGGTTTGGGGAGCTAATTCATCGACTTTCGTGGAATTTTCACAAAAAAATGACTCCAAACGAATTTCAAAATGTAAAATCGTCAGGTTGTAAATAAAATTTATGCTAAGGACAATTGAATCTATACCTTCGATTTATCTCAAAGAACTCTTGCCTGCGGTGTCGGAATCTCAACCCGAACCCGCAGGAGCACTCCACACCCGTTGTTATTCGACATAACTTTGATCTACCCTTCATTTCCACGAGGGTCTTGATATCCGGGACTGGAACTATCGAGACTAGAGTTCGAGGCAGATTATCCTTGAGGAGGCGCAGGGTTGTCATCATGTCGGCTTTGTGGTTGTCCAGGGAGGCCCACGCTGAGGGATTGTAGCACATGTCTGAACAGATATCGTTCGCTCCGATAAAAATTGACACTAACTAGGGATGAAATGAAAGGGCTGTTTTATATTTGCAGGAGTCAGACGTTTTTTTCCGTGGGCCCACGCACGAAAAAATTCTGTAGAAAACCTTGCGAACTCAATCGAGTTCTATTGGATTTCGATTCAACTTCTATTTATATTTTAGTAGTTTTTGAATATTTTCATTGAGGAATTCCGCACCTGTACTGCGCGTTTTTTATAAGAATACTTCTGATAGAAAATAGCAATTGGAATTTTACAGAAAAAATCAGTAGAATTTCGTTTTTCTGTACAAATTTTTTTGCAGGAATTCCTCGACCTGAATTTTCCAAGTTTTTCCACTGTTTCTCTTCCCTTTTAATCAAAGAAATCAATAAAAGGAATTTTCATAGAAAATATTTCTATAGAATAATTTGTATAGAAAAATATAATTCTATTGATTTTTTTGATAGAATGCTAAATTTTTGGGTAGAATCAGCCAAAAACTAATAGAAATTTCAAGAGAAATTCAATAGAATTTTGTTCTGAATTCGCTGATTTTCCTCTGAATTTTTTTCATACGTGGCGGTAGGGCAAAATGGATTCTTCTACCTTTCTTCAAATGTTCGTAATTCAGGAGCAAATCTATCAGTCAGAGCTCAGTCTAGGAAAACACTTGTTCTTTCTACGGAAAGTTTTCTCATTAAAAAAAAAGTAGCCTCCGTTTTACCCCACTCGCCCCTTCGTAATTCACTCACTTTCCAATGGTTAATCATGTCGACCCGAGGATCACTCCTCATCCGATTTATCAGGTTTTTAGCCATGTATGGCATGTCTCTTGACATCGACGTACTTTCCGCAACGTTGAATTGAGAGTCAGGGTGGTGACTCCACGCATCTCCCGTTGCAAATCCGAATAGATTCCCATTAAATTCCTGAAGTGAAACGAAAAGTTACGTGATATTGCCTCACGTATTCCGGTCATCAACTCAATTTTTTTCCATTCATTTTTTGAAACTAGCTGCTGGTGATACCGGTTCACGGTTATGATACAATAGACTCGCGAAAATGAATATTTCATGAGGGGGAAAAAACAAAATTACAAAATATAGTAGCGGTCCAGTGGGATTTTTTTTGTTCATACAGGAGAGAAAAACAATATTTTTTTAAACAAGTCTTGTTTGCACTAAAAAAAAGCAAGAGATTAATTCGAATTATTTGGGGGAATTACTAAAAAAAATGCTGACAATTAATATATTGCAGTAACGTAATTTATTGATTATTGATCTATTGAAAAAGTTGAATTCTCATCTGGCGTGTGTTCGAAGATTGAAGGATGTAATAAATAAAATTGACGCTGGTAATGTGTGTTTGTGTAATTGTTTCTTATATTCCCAAGGGGAAATAATGCCGAGAATTTGTTTCCGGGGAAATTTTCTCCGGGGATTTTTTCCGGATGAAAAAAATCCGGAAATCATTTTTTTTTCTTCTCGCATACCCTTTCGGGTTTTTACGATTCGTCCCCCCCCCTTCCCTACAACCCCTTGTACCACATTCGCCGAAGGACAAGGGAAAATCTCACTGCTTGCTTTTTTATTTGATTTTTTTGATGAAAATAAAAGAAAAATAGAATGAAGAAAACTTGGACAATTTGAGCCGAGGAAAATTTCTATAGAAAATATCTCAATGGAATAACTTATATAGAAAAATCGAATTCTCATTTTCTATTTCTGAAACCATGCAGACCTTGATGATATTAGGAAGCGTCAGAGTATCCCGCCAAGTTCCTTGTCCCCCTCCGAACGCAGAGCTCCCCCGATTTTCGATAAACAGATCGAAAATGTTTGACGCATAAATTCCGAAGCCAGCGGTGAGGGAGTCACCCATTGCGGCAATCACATCGATATCTCCGGGTCGCAATCGATGTACTGAGGACGGCACCGTCCGCGATCTCCCACCTGCAGATAGAAATCGGTAGATCATGAAGTGGTGGACGTTAGTACCTGTCATCGGGGATTGTTTATTACCGGTCGTGTTACAGGGGAATGGGAGGCCGTCAGGAATCGTGTACTGATTGTGGTTTTGCTCTTCGGCTCCTCTGAAGAGCCTCCCTTGGGGATTTGAACGCCCTGCAGAATCACAATCGCCGAATTTAAAATAAACAGGAGAACAGTGAAACAGTCGATCGATTCTGCACTTGTTAAATGCCGGATTATCTCGCAAACGACTGATTTCACGAGAAAATGTCACAAGACATTTTTCGTAGAGAATTTAATTCTCCGCAAGAAAGGTTTTTTGACGTTTTCTCCTAAAATCGCTCGTTTTTCAAGAAAACACGAAAAAACAAAAAAGAAAAAACGAAGAATATCCCGGTTTGCATATTTACTTCAAATGATAATTATTTAATTAAAATTGAAGGGTGCACCTACCAATGAAGCTAAAAGCGAAGTCTTTCAGACTCCGATACAGCTGAATGGTAAAAGGATTGTCAAGAGCCGTCTTCTGGCAAATACCCGGGGGAATCACTTGAAAAATACTCGTGAGCACTAAACATCTCGCTAATTTATACCGATTCCACATGTCGATCGACTGTTCTTTTGATTCAGTCCGCGATAATTAAATCTAAAATTCGTAAAATTGAATCACTCCTCGTCCTCGATAAATTTCTTCCCTCGCATGGACTTGTCATGCACTGGACACTGTACCAAATCCCGACTGGGCAAAGGTGCGGATCATTCCAAACTGGTATCTTCAGTACGGCGGAATAAGGCGGGTGGTGAGCAAGTGGAAAAGAAGAATAAAAGAGTATTTTGCTGAGCCTTGGAAGTGCAAGGCCAGCCAGTGCATTCGCCTGGCCCGGTGCATCGATAATATTCAGATAAGAGAGTGCATTCTGAGGAAAAATATTTTTCCTCCACGTGAAAGGGAATTCCGGAGACGTGGGGGGATGATTGGAAAACATACAACATGCGAATGCATATTTTATCGGATTCGGGAGTTGAATGGACCGATGTTGTTCACTGGGTTCGGTCATCCGATCCTTAAATAGTCTGAGTTGAATTTATTCGGAGGAGGAGGAATTTGAATGCAGGACGGGTTCTGAGATGCAGATAAGGGCGGGTCAGGCATATCAATTCGTTTTCATTTCTGTTCACCCTTCGGAGGGAAATATAAAGCCTGGAGACAATAGATGAACACAAAAAATTGAAGTGACGTGATAAAAATTTTTTTATCTTAAATTTCAGCAAAAACATTTTTTTAATTTGTCATTTTTGTCCGAATTTTTTTTTCTAGCGAAAAATAGCTGTTTTAATTTAAATTTCAATAAAACGCGTCAGTCACTCATTTTTTGCAGTTAATTTCAGAATTGACGCGATAAAATTGTTTTTATCTTAAATTTCAGTAAAAACATTTTTTTTATTTGTCATTTTTGTACGAAATTTTTTATTCTAGCAAAAAATGGCTATTTTTATTTAAATTTCAATAAACATTCGAGTCAATCACTCATTTTTACAGTTAATTTCAAAATTGACGTGATAAAATTGTTTTTATTTCAAATTTCAGGAAAAACATTTTTTTATTTGTCATTTTTGTAGGAAATTTTTTTTTCTAGCGAAAAACGGCTATTTTAATTGAAATTTCAATAAAACTAGTCAATCACTCATTTTTGCAGTTAATTTCAGAATTCATCACATGAAGTAATTCTCCACTCTTTAAATTTTCTATCGAAACATCACATTTTATTCATACTCAATTGATAGTTCATCTACAGTATATTCATTTGGTCAAATAGAACATTAATTTAACCCCTAGATGTTAATAACTATACGATACAAATATGAAATTTAATGTTACAAAGGATGTTGATCAAACATGTACTCATTTGCGCGATTCATCGTGAACATTAAACTATAAACAATCTCTATTCGTTAATTACTTTGAATTTCTTCGTTAAAGGAAAGTAATATTTGCAGGTGTTGAATGATTCGAGGAATCTTTATAAATTTTATGATGAATGGAGAGAGAGTGCAGGGCATTCGAATCGAAAAACCCCCAGTTTGCCATAAGTACAATTATAATACATTATACATTTAACATATAATTAATAATCTATTCGTAAATCGATAGAACGGAAATGTTTTAAACCCTGTCTCATATAATGTTTAGTATTCCTACAATGAATGTTCATTTGATTCTCAATGCTCCTTCGAACACATCACGTATGAATTTTTCTCCTCCCGAGGATTTCCCAGGGTCTTGGTGATTTTGAATCCTCATCAGCCACTAGATCTAGTCACCGAACTCTACCCGACGGCGAGCGCAGATGTGATTTAATGTAACCAGTACGATAATCAATTACATCGCGCGCGATTCCACCTGACAGACCGTGCCGGTGTCTTCGGCTCCATCTGAAATCAATTATCATCGTATTCACATGATTTTCATTGGTTTACTAATCTCCACATTTAATTGAAAAATCAATTTTAGTGAAAATTTTAAACGACTTGGAATGAAATTGGCATGCCGAGGGAAATCCAGTAGCGAAGGAAGATTTCATGGAATATCTCGGAATCTAAGGTAGATAGCAAAATTTATGTCATAACTTCTTTTATAGAGCAAATTGAGAGCTACAAAAAAGATTTTTACAAAAATTTCGCTATCTCCCTTCGATTCGGAGATATTCCCCAAAAACTCAGCTGAGAGTCAAGTCGACTTGAGTAGTTTTACCGCTTTGCTACTGAATTCGTTCGTGGGGCGGAATAAACCGTCTACAATCGTTAATATAAGAAGCCCCGGGGGTGAAAAAGAACTACTGAAATGCGGGAGAAACTTTGCGTCATGAATTCTCAGCCAAAAGGGAATGAAAAGGTGTGAAGAATAGCTTGAAGAAATTGTTCACTTTTCAGGAACTGAATGGAACGAGCTGCAGGTGATCTGAAGAGGCCGAATAATTTTGAGAAGTGTTCGAAAATGCGAGGTGGTCGACAGGTGTCAGCGCCACCATCTTGTTTGAATTCCCCTTCTGCCGCAAGGGGGTTTAAAGATGGCCGCGTCCCACCTCGCATTTTTGAACATTTCTTAAATTTATTTGTCCTCTTCAGATCACTTTCTACTCGCTCCATCAATTTTCTGTAAAAGGAACAAATTTTTTGAGCCATCTTTCAGACTTTTCCATCCCCTTTTGGCTGAGAATTCATGGCGCAAGATTTTTCCCTTATTTTTTTTCACCCCCAAGACCTTTTAATTTCAGCGATTTCATCGACCATAAAGATCAGTTCATTCGTCCTCACTGTCCCATATTTATTCAGCTGCTTTTCATTTCATTTTGCGTAATATAAAATGAAAAATCAATGAGGAGTTTGGTTTTATAAAAATATTAATAGTTATTGCCATCGATGAAAATAAAACATCGAATATCGATTCACATACGTTCATGATGCTTCATTCCATAATTATATATTGTAGCACATACAGAATATATTAATTAAATGGAGTAATCAAAAGTTATTAAATATTCATGTCACTACGTAATTACTAATGCATATGTAAGAAAAGATTTTATCTCAATGTTATCCGGTGGTTAACGGTCTATTCTCGGTATAGGGGTCACTAGCCCTACGATTCTTCATTATTCGAGCCTTTTATTGGGGTTGAATCTCATTGTGGAGGCACGCTACGCGCTAGACTAAGCCATCTTCTAGTTTATAATGTTTACGTGATTGGTACTAAAACTAGGGAATGTCTGATAATTATTAAAGGGACTACAACACTTAATTTACAATACGAATAATTTATTTGAGGCATGAATGCCTCGTTCGTGGGAGAATAAGAGTTGTTAAAATTTATATTACTCAGGGAAATAGAAAAATTCTCAAATTAGGAATAATTGGGGTTTTGCGTTAGTTTTTTTTCATCATTGAATATGACAATTGAATTTAATTTTGTTCAACTTCTTGATTTTTAATGGTTTTTGAAAATAAAAAAAAAACGTGTTCAAATTTTTTCTCAATTTTCGTATTTCATGATTCTATCGGATGAAAAAATCATCAAATATCATGAAATCTATGCAACAGCCCAATTTTCTTCAATTTGAATTTCATTAAAAAGATATTTAAAAAAAAATAATGATAGTAATAACAATGATTTTACCCTCTCAAAAATTTGAGACTTTATAAAATCCGTAAAAAATCATTTATAATTAAATATGACGAAGAAAAATATTAGATCTGTATTTTTTATTCCGATAAATAATTTTAAAAGTTTGCAACATGACGTCATAATACAAATGATTCTGTGCAACTTCTTGATTTTCAATGGTTTTTTAAAATAAAAAAACACGTGTTCAATATTTTTTCCTCAATTTTCGTATTTCATGATTTTATCCAGGAAAAAATCTATGCAACAGCCCAGTTTTCTTCCATTTAAATTCCATTAAAAAGATAGAGACATCTTTTTAATGTATTTTTCATTTAAGAAGCTTTCTTTTCCCCGTGAAGATTTCAAATTTCATAAAACACGTAAAAAACCACTTGAATGATACTCAGAGGTGCCAATGAAGTCGATGGGGATGGTCTGTCGACGCCACCAGTTCACGCATAGACCCTAAGACCTGTTCAAATCGCGATTACCCTGAACCGCACTCGAGATTATTTCCCACATTATTTATCTCGCTTCGACGCCGACTAACGGCTTAGTTGTTTTTTGTTGTTTTTTTTTTCTAAATGGGTCATACCTTGTTCAGACTGTGTCACGTTGTTGGAGAGATGATGATTGTTGGTAGTGGTTGAGGTTGAGGTGGGAACGCGATGTAGCGGGGTTTCAGAGGATGAGGAGTTGTTGGCATTATGACGATGGAGCGAATTATTCTGGTTGTTTGCGGAGTTTGGAAGGAGGGTTTGTCCATCACCATGGCTAGACGTTACTCCGTAGTTCCGTCGAAAAGGACGCTGCTGGAACGATAGTCTTCGACTCCTACTCACACCAACCCCGGCGCAGCCGTGCTGCTGCGGACTTGTACTGCATCAACCCCATTTTATTCATTTTTTACTCATTTCAAGGATTTTTGTCACTCCTAACTCTTTCACTTCAATCCAATTTTATATTGTCTGGCTGATTTTTTTATTTGATTTTTTCTTCGCGACTGTTTTATTCAATCGAGTGTCTAAACCTCACGTTCACCTTGTCAGTAATTTTTAGTTCAGTTGAGATGCTACAGTAGTGACGAATTCAATGGTTAAGGGGAGACGGAACCCTTTTGTCTACATCAAATCTTAGAATTGTGTTTTCTCCTACAATTATTAATTTCTATCTATGAAATTACTTTATCGACTCGATTATCGCATTGTTGAGTCAATGAAGTAGTTTAATGAATAAAAAATAATAATTGCAGGGGGAAATACAATTCTAAGGATTCATATAAACGCAGGGGTTCCGTTTCCTTTTAAGCTGAAGTTACTTCATCATTTTGAAATCGTGAAAAAATGATGAGTTGGAACAGGTACGATCAAAATTTCATAAAAAACATAGCGAATTCGATTGAAAATTCTATTGGATTTCTATTTTTCGAATTTTTTTAAACAGAAAATGTTCATAAAAAAATAGTTTATAGAGAAATCTGTAGAATTTCATCTTTCTACACAACTTTTCCTGTTAAAACATTTTTATAGCAATTTCTTAATGTCAATTTTATAATTTTTTTCGCCCACAATTTCTTCTATTTTCATTCGAAAAATTAAAAAAACAAATTTGGAAAATTTGAGCCATAAACTTTCTACGGAAAATATTTCAATAGAATGAGTTTTACAGAAATATCAAATTCTCTTTTCTTTATAAAAATCCCTCACTAAAAATTTTCCCATTTTTTTCGTTCAATTTTTTTTTCTTCTCATTCGAAAAATCAAACAAAAAACTTGGAAAATTTGCGCCGAAAAATTTCTACAGGAAATATCTCAATGGAGTAAGTTGTATAGAAAAATCAAAAGCAATTAATTTTTCCTGAAGAATATTTTCCATTAAACACAAGTTCTATTAAAAACAACACCCAATGTAAATCCAAAAGAACTCTAACAAATTCCCTCAGCTTTTCTAGGAAATTGCGCCGTACGTATTCGCACTTCATTATTTTATTCGACAAATAAAATCCAGCGGCACCTCAACTGTCTCCAGAAATGTTCAGCACTCATGTAGCCCCTCACATTGTAAGACATGCGGAAGTAAACAAGTAAAAAGTGTGAAGAAATGGAAGAAAATAAAATGAAGCATCATGCAAATACGATAAGCAGTGCACATCCCCATAACGACACCAATATCTCTCGATTATGTATTTCCGATACTCATAAAACATGCGCCCATTTATTATTCATGATAATCTTTCTCTTCACTTATGCACATGTTACAAACGATTCACCTCGGACTAAATTCATGTCAGTAATTATCAAGAGCAGCTACACATTCGCGCGCAGTACAGAGGAAGAAAGAAAAGAAGATAGTGGGTATCTCTCAGGGGAAGTAATCTCTAAAATATTTTCTGTTGCGGGATTTATTTCCTCATCAGCCCAAACGGTGAATTGTCAGTATCATTGGCAAGGGAAGATCATAGGCCATGTATTTTCTTACCTTGTACTGTGACTCATGATGACTATGTTTCTGTAACAGCATATAATGGATCCTGATTGTTGGGAAGCGAGTTTATGGAGTGTTGAAGTCGTTTTTTTATAAGATACTTTTAGGACACAATAAGTAAGCGAGTTAAGCTGTCATCTGTCAATTTACCGGATTTTTTAGGGACGAAATTGAAATGTTAGGGGAGGCAATTCAAGTCGAGATCTCTTCATTTCACGCACGAAAATATTTCATAGAAAAGCCTAAAGAATTCGAGAGAAAATTCTATTGGATTTCTATTGCGCACTTTTTAAACTATTTTTAAGGAACTTTTCTATAGGAATTCTTCGACATGAATTTCCCAAGTTTTTTCCAATCTATTTTCTTTCTCTTTGCATAAAAAAAGCAAAGGAATAACTTGAAAAAATTGAGTCACAGAATCTCTATAGAAAATATCTCATTAGAATAAGCTGTATACGAACATAAAGTTTTATTTATTTTTTTAAAGAATATTTTCCATCGAAAATAAAATTGGCAAAAAACTAATAGAAAGTTCATTACAAATCCGATTTTATGGAAAAATTCTATTTGTTTTTTGCGTCAATCCTATTAAAAAATATTTCTCGAAATTCCTAAAAAAAAAAAAAATAATTTTGAACAGATGAATTATTTTTTCCCGTGTTAAATGAAATTGCCCATCACGCGACGTTGCCGAAAACTCGCTAAACGCACCCGGGCAGTGTAGCGTGAATTCGGCAACGCTAGAGCCTAAATAACACGACGGGGAATCCCCGCGTTTGGTGACCAGACTAGGGATGAATATTTTTTATAGAAAAAAATTCTGTAGATGTTGCTCTTGTTGAACTTATGCTCAAGCATTTCTATAGAAAATAAAAATCTACCGGATTAAAGTAAAGTTGTACAATTCCAATACAATTGACGCGAAAAACACATAATTTTTAAACAGAATTCTAACAGAACTCCAATTGAAATTCAATAGACTTCCACTATTTTTATTGTTTTCATACGTGACTATTAAATTAGTTTTCGAAAAATATCTGAATGCAGAGAAGACAGCAAAATTGTTATAAAAACAATTTATTTACCGCCAAAGGATTCAGAAATATAAAAAAAACTAATTCTGAAAAGAATGATTCTCGCATTGCCTTCATTAGGGAATTCCTCTTCCCGAAAAAATTTTGTTAATTTTGGTTCAACTGCTATGGAAATTTCAATATGAGGAACATTGCATCAGTCTTCACGGCCGGAGATCAATGCCATTCGCGTGGCTACGACTCCATTTCCCCCCGATGGGGAGGAAAAAAATAAAAAATTGGAGAACTCAACGTAACGCAACTACAATGAACTATTTTGTCATCAGACGGGTAGACGCCCAACTGACAAAGACAACTGTGCGTTGTTTTCTTGTCAGCTTAATCCTTCAACAAGAAAAAGCATCTGCATGTGATATGTTCCTGCACTATCTAATGTTATCTATGCCATCATAAGTCTAATGTAAGTTGACACACCGAAAGCTCTGTGGGATATGCGTGATTTATTTTCATTTTAGTGTGAGTGATTCATCATAATCATTGTGGCGATTATTTAAGTAACCAGTGATTAATATTTTATTCGTATTCATCGGTGTTTGCAGTGTGCGTTGATAAGTCTTCCCTCGTAACTTTGAATTCCACTTTTTTTCAATTATCTTCCCTCATTGAGACAGATACCTTCAACTCGTAATAAGAATGTCAGAGATGACGTTTAAAGAGAATAGTACTTCAAGTTCATTACATAGCCGAGTTAATATTTTATCAAGCAAAAGACTTCCTACTAATCAGTGAAAGACTACGCGCTGCCTCTAATCCTTGTGCAAAGTAAAATGTAAATAAATGAATTAAGTAAATGATAAATCAGTAGTAATTAATTAATCAACGACATAACTCTTTGACTTTCTTCTCTTGCAATAGTCATATAGAGATAGAGAATAATAAGGAGTAGTGAAAAAATTCTAAAGGTCAGTTAAACTGCTTTTTTTTGGTTTTTGTTAATCAAAACTAAAAGCTAAGTTGAATGAATTTCAATAAATGAACGTTTGTAGTCAATATTTTCATCCTTTGTTATTTTTTCGTTTTTGCCTTATCAAGTAACTAAAAGTGCATACCACAATACTGATGTGACTAATTTTTGTAATGCATACCGAAGTAGACGAGTGATGTAGTCGGGCCAGTTGTCGGGGAACATAACGAGGAAAAAACCGACGGCAATTAATATCATACCGGCGAGTTTCATTCCTACGAAGTGGGCACCGTAGAGGACAACATCGAGGGCTGCAAACGGAAATCAATGGTATATTTAAATCGAATGATTGGATTGTTTCATTATTTTTTTATTGGATAAAAATGTATTTGAAAAGATGAAGAACACTGCATTCGCTTTTTTATGCGGATATTTTTAATCCCCGAGAATTAATTCATTTTTTGTTATTTATCGAAGCGAATAAATTTGTTCAATATTCTTCATTCAATTTTTATAAAAAAGAATTTTATAAAAATCTCAATTGAAGATTCAATGAGATTAAAAAAATTGTTTCACGTGTTTTAAAATTCCGTCAGTGCTTATTCCTGAAATCGTTATAACTATTAATTAAAAATTGATGGATAGGATTTTTTATGCGGATATTTTTAATTGTCGAGAATTAATTCATTTTTTGTTATTTATCGAAGCGAATAAATTTGTTCAATATTCTTCATTAAATTTTTATAAAAAAGAGTTTTATAAAAATCCCAATTGAAGATTCAATGAAATTAAAAAAATGGTTTCTCGTGTTTTAAAATTTCATCAGTGCTTATTACTGAAATCTTTATAACTATTGAAGAAAAATTAATGGATAGGATTTTTTATGCGGATATTTTTTATCGTCGAGAATTAATTCATTTTTTGTTATTTATCGAAGTGAATAAATTTTGTCCAATATTCTTCATTCAATTTTTATAAAAAAGAGTTTTATAAAACTCTTTAATTTTAATTTGTATAAAAAAGAGTTTTATAAAAATCCCAATTAAAGATTCAATGAGATTAAAAAACTTGTTTCACGTGTTTTAAAATTCCATCAGTGCTTATTCCTGAAATCTTTACAACTATTGATGAAAAATTGATGGATAGGATTTTTTATTGCCTCACCAGCAGATACTGGAACAGCAGTGATGAGCCCCAGGGTAATGAACAAGTCGTATGTCAAGGCTACACTGAAGTTGCCCAGCATATTTGCCACTAGAAATGAGAATAAAAAAATTATAACACCGAAATTGTCCCCACGTGAGTCTCATCAGGATGGAGAACACAGGGGAGTGTGGGGTAAAACGGCTCCTTCTGATTTTTTCAAAAATTTTAACAGCCCATACAATTTTAAATAAAATGAAATACTTTTTTCTCCATGGAAACTACACTTCATCCCCTTCAGAATGAGCCTAGACTGATCTCAATTAATGAATTTGTTTGTGAGTTATGAGTATCACAAAAAAAATCAAAAGGGGCCGTTTTACCCCACTCTCCCTTAATTATTACCTAAGTGAAGTATACTGCCGGATAACAGAGCTGCCCAGGGCAGTCGAGCCCAGTGGAGGCTCTCAGCACCAGAGAAGTAGAGGGCCAGACAGACCGGCCATAATAACGCGGCATTGCAGAGACCGATTAGGGAGAAAAATAGAGACACCTGACCAAACGTCGTTTCGCCGATTACTTTCTTAAACAACACCTGTAATTAACAGTCTTCATGTCCTCTGATGTTCGAGAGATAACACGAAGGAAGATTCTGTTGAATTTCTGTTAGAATTCTGTTCGAAAATTCCAGTTTTGCGACGGATCTATTAAAATTTATGGAACTTTCACGGAATTTTTCAATAGATATTTATTGCGATATCCCATCCTATCATTTCCTATGACGTCACAAATATGTGGAACGCTATATAAATTTTTTTCTTTAATGTAATGTATTTGTTCAGAAAAAAGTATAAGATGTTGATTTTTCCAGATGAAATTCATCATTCTGTTGAAAAAAAATGTCATTTAAGAATTTCTATAGAAATAAGAAAATATTTCTATAAAAATTCTTAAGTGGAAGTTTCTAGGTTTTTCTTACGTGGATTTTATTACGAAAAACGAATGAAAATGCAACGGAACAAAAGTAGGAAAATTTATGCTCAAAGATTTTTATAGAAAAATTGTAATATCTGTTTGCATAATTCTGTATAATTTTGAATAGAATTCTAACAGAACTGCAATAGAATTTCTTAAAGAGAGCGCTAGGGTTTTCATTATTTTTTTTATACGTGACATTTCACGTATAAAAAAAATACGTGAAATGTCACGTATAAAAAAAAATTAATAGGAAAATTTTGAAATGATGAAACACTTTGAAATTTCAAGGAAATTCTATTGGATTTTGATTGAGCGTACCTTGTACACTGCTGAACCTGCAGCAGCAGAGGCAGCTAGGACAACTCCCCCGAGAGTTGGGCTACCCGTTATTCCATCCATGTAAGCCAGTAGGGCGATACCAGTATCGCATAAAATCACAGCAACAATCTAGTGACAAGATTATTGCAGCATAAAACGAGCTAACTCACCTTTATATTTGTTCTTGAATAAATAATATCGGTGAAGGGGAGGTTTCTAACGAATTCGCTAGGTTTTTCTTTGAATTTTTTGCCTCCGTGGATTCTTTTTTGGAAAAAAAAATTTCGAACTGCAAAAAACTTTCTTGTAATTTTTCTTTCATCTCCATTAGATCGCGAGATATGAAAAATGTCAAATACAATCAATTTATCTGGTTTCAGCTCCTTGAATTCAGAGGAGGTAGCAGAATATTACTTAAAACATTTTTCATAGAGAAAATTAAGAACTAGAAAAAAATTATAATTTTTTTATCCCAATTACTCTGTTACAAAATTTCACAGCGTCATCTAAATTTTTGATGTTGTGAGGTTGAATCTAATTTCAAATGAAAGTGTTCACTGAATTTCTCTGAAAGCTTGAATTTCCAATCTCACCATAAAAATTGAACGTCACATACAATTGCAGTTTCAATAGATTAGAAAAAGTTGAAGAGTTGTTGCCTGAATTTTCAAAATTGTAAGGTTTTTTCAGCGCCGTATGGACTTGAAATAGAGAATTACTTGAATATTCACGAAATTAACAGATTCGTCAACGGAGAAATGGACAGGAATTTAATTTGATAAAAATTTCAAGCTTTTTCACTTGCAATTTCAAGAATAATTTTCTAACAGTGTACATTTCGAAATATTCAGCGAAACCATGTGGTACAACTACATTGAATTATTGCGATTTAACAATTTAGGAATTGAAAAAAATTATTATCTACAAAAATTAGTGATGTTAACAAAAATTATTTTGTTCAATAAGGGATGAAAAATGCAGACTCACCCTGACTCCAACAAACTGTTCATGAAGTATAACCCAGGATAGAAGATAAACACAGGATACGTTGGTGGCAAATAGTGCCATTACATCAGTTGCTAATAGAATCCTCAATGAATGAATGTACATGTAATTAGTGGCTACCCACAGTATGCAGAACAAACTGCATCTGGTGAGAAATCGTCCCCCAGTGAAACCCTTGTCCCGAAATCCTCGCAAGCTCTCAGCTATAATTTCTGTTGGATTTGAGCACTTTGTCTTGACAATTCTGCAGAGAAAGTAGATAGGAAAATACAGAACAGCGAAATTCGTGCAGAACCAGGTGGTGAAGAATGGTGCATTGTAGGGGAGAATGAGCTGGAAATTAAAGGTAAATTATTAATTCACAACGGTCACGCAATTTCTCGTATTTAATTCGATATCAGCAAGTACGAAAAATTGCATAGAAAAACCTAGCGATTTCGACGGAAAATTTTATTGAATTCCCATTGAATTTTCTATCATTTTATCGTATAATTTTTATCATAAAATTTTGCAGTCAATCTGCGCATTTTTTTCTTCTATCAAAATGTTTAATGGAAAATATTCTATAGAAGAAATCATTAGAATTTGATTTTCCTATGCAACTTGTTCTATTGAGATATTTTCTATAGAAATTCTCGGCTCGAATTCTCCAAGTTTTTTTTCTTCATTTTCAAAACGAAAAGGTAAGAAAAATAGAGTAGCAAAAACTTGGAAAATTCGAGTCGAGGAATTCAAATAGAAAATATCGCAATCGAACTTTTTTCTATAAAATAGTTTCTACTGGAGATATTTTATTTAAAACGCGCAGTAACGCCGCGGAATTCTTAAGAGTTCGGAAAAAACGAATGAAATCGCAATAGAAATTTAAATCGAAATCCAACAGATTTTTTCGTCAAACTCGCTAGGTTTTTTAATGAAATTTAAGTGACGATTAAATCAGTAATTATTCATTTGAGAGACTCACGGGCTGATGATGCAGTCCACTAACTGACGAATTTACTGATGATGAATGACTCGTTATTTCTGGTTTGTAGTAATATAAATACTTCATGCAGTGAGTTGCACCTACCCAGGATGCAGTCACGCATATTGTTACGCACACACCGAAATATATCTGTGAATTGATGAAAGTAATCCTTAAACTAGAAGAAATCATCGCGACTTCGAAAAGAAAATTGGTAAAACGTAATAAGAAAAATTTTCGATTTTTCGTTTTTCATCTTTTGGTTTTTGGAAAATATCTCCGAATCTGAAGGAGATAACGAAATTTTCGTGTAAATATTTTCTGTAGCCGTGGAAATTCTCTAGAAAAAATATCTTTTGACATTTTTTCGTGAAACTATTCGTTATCGAGATAACTTTCATATTCTAAAAGCCGAAATCTTGCAAATCAAATTGTTTCATTTTATTGCGTTTTACCACTGGTCTGAGAAATTAAATGTTTTATTACTTTCTTGGCTGACTCAGCGCAGCAAGAATTGTAGCATCGTGATAACGAATGCCTTCGTGTTTGATAAGAGACAGCGGGTGCACTGGTGCTGACACACGAGGGATTGTGTCCTTGACCTCCGTGCCCACCCCCGCCTGAACCAGGGCCACCGCCGCTGCCAGCGCAACTTCCCCCTGTATCGAGGGACCGGCAGCTTGATGCAGAATCACCGCACCCAGGGACAACGCTGCAACCCTGTTGCTCGCATCCCCCTGGTTTCCAAGAAATTGTTAATTTTTTAAGGGAGATTAAGCACTACTCTCTAGTGGATAGTGAAACGAGATGCGGAAATTCGCTTGAAACTGTTTTGTCAATATCGTGTGAACTAATAGGTTCGGAAGGAAACATTACTAGTGTTTTTTGTGCAGAATTTCATCAGCTGCAAAAAGGTTCTGGGATGTTTTCTTCTAAACCCATTAGTTTCTAAAATTTTTTCTAAATAGTCTGTGTTAAATTTTTCTACTTGATACGAACTGTGAGTAAATTGATCCCGACTCGATCTTAAATATCTCAGGAACTTTTGAACTTGAATAAAAATATCAGAAGACTTTTTTGTGGAAAATTTTATCAGCTACAAAAAATCTCTTGTGACATTTTCTCCTAAACCCATTAATTCCTGTGATTTTTCCAAAAAAGTCTGAACCGAATTTTCCACTTGATGCCAACCGCTAATCAATCGATCCCGACTTGATCTTAAATATCCCGGGAACTAGTGGGTGTAAATAAAAACATCAAAGGACTTTTTTGTGAGAAATTTTATCAGCTACAAAAAATCTCTTGTGACATTTTATCCTAAACCCATTAACTCCTGTGATTTTTTTTTTAAAAGTCTGAACCGAATTTTCCACTTGATGCCAACCGCTAATAAATCGATCCCGCCTTGATCTTAAATATCTCGGTAACTAGTGGGTTTAAATAAAAACATCAAAAAACTTTTTTGTGGGAAATTTTATCAGCTATAAAAAATCTCTAGTGACATTTTCTTCCAAACCCATTAATTCCTGTGATTTTTCCAAAAAAGTGTAAACCGAATTTTCCACTTGATGCCAACCGCTAATAAATCGATCCCGCCTCGATCTTAAATATCTCGGGAACTAGTGGGTTTAAATAAAAACATCAAAGGACTTTTTTGTGAGAAATTTTATCAGCTACAAAAAATCTTTTGTGACATTTTCTCCTAAACCCATTAACTCCTGTGATTTTTTCAAAACAAGTCTGAACAAAATTTTACACTTGATGCCCACTGCTAATAAATCGATCCCGCCTCGATCTTAAATATCTCGGGAACTAGTGGGTTTAAATAGAAACATCAAAGGACTTTTTTGTGGGAAATTTTGTCAGCTACAAAAATCTCTTATGACATTTTCTCCTAAACCCATTAATTCCTGTGATTTTCTAAAAAAAAGTCTGAACCGAATTGAACTCTTGATACCAATCGCTAGTAAATTGATTCACTACTTTTCTACTATCTCCGACATGTTCTCCTCCACCCACTATTTCCTCCCCTACATTCCAAAACACTCTCCCCAAGATTCTCCAACAATTCACCTGAATTATCCTGCCCCCCCGCGAGGGGGCTGCTGAAGGGTCCATGCTCACTTCGCTCATCACTGAGAATGATGCTCGGTGCACGTGATCGACGTGGATGAAATATCGTCGGTAGCTCGGCAACCCCTCCACTGCCCATATTTTCACGTGCAACCGGACAGACTAACGCCCGAGCAGTCCACAATTTTCACATTCTACAAACAACGAGAGCCATTAAAAGCCCGAAAATAAAAATTCCCAGTCTCAAAATGTACCTTCCGCATCATCATCACCACGATTCGTCCATTACTGTGTCCTCCAACCCACCGACCCTGGAACTGAAACTGACCCAGTTCTTGGAAACTCCCTGAGAGCTTTAGAAGCTTGACCCTGACGCACTCGAGCCCCTCATAACGCTCGCCCTCGGCCCTTCAACTTGTGACTCAAAAATTCCGCACTATTTTGACGTTTCGGGGGGATTGTCGAGGGGTAATCCATTGGTAATTGCCCGGAGGATTTCGTTCATTGACGAAATTCATGTAACAACATCGCGCAGACTGGCTCCGTGAGCTTTGAAAGCCCTGGTGTACACCATTGATTACTTGGGTGGGGGACAAGCTTCGTTCATGTATCACGCGCATGTGCTTAAAGCCATGGACAAGCTTTATGCTTGTTTTATTCACTGAACTGCATCAGCGATCAAAATATTTATTTCCTTCTGACGCTCCCCATCAATTATTCCCCATTAATTATTCCCCCGTTAAGCCGATTCCACCCGAATATGCCCTCAATTTTTCACAGACAGGTGATACCATGAATGATTGATGACTATTGATATTGGCACACTGTGTCAAATTGAATGGACATAAGCCCATTGGCTTTATCCACCGGCTTAGGCTGATTAGGCCACTTACAGCCCTCGCTGGAGATCCGGAAAATTAATCTCTTAAACGGGATATTGGATAATCATACAGGATTTTTTATGACTTATGATTATGGAGATATGATTATGCAGACGAGATGAGGCTTATCTTGATTCGTGCCGATGATCGATGGTTTTTTATGAGGCAATTTGTCATCAAGCTTCGTGATTTTGGATTTTATATTTATCGCGATGAATAGCGAGTAAAATATTACACAGATTATTAAGAAATTTTTGTGCGCAATTCGTGACAATTTTTTCAATTGTCAATTAAAATAAGAATGCTTATTTTTAATTCTCATGAAGAGGTGATAAAGGCTAAAAGGGTAAAGGATAAAATAAACACAAATTATTTTTTTTCTGAAAAAATATCATTTATTTTCTGAAAAACGAGAATCCGATTAAATTTCACTCATTTTTTCTCATAATCTTTCGTGCAAATATCAATGATTTGCTAATGTTTCTGAAGATGTTAGTAGAGTCATTGTGAATGGAGTTATTCAACTGATAAATGTAAAAAAATAATACAAGATACAAATAGAATTAACATGTAAAAAAGTTTTCACAGAGATCCCCAATGTCGATACGAATTTACAATTTCAATGTTATCTATCATCGTTCGACTAGAATAAACATTTTCAATAAGACATCTAAACAATCCCCGGATTGACAGAAATTTGGACAATAAATTAAACAAAATGAAATCACTCGTCATGACTTAAAATAGATTTCGGTCAACTATTGGATTATCACAGAATAACAGAAGTTTTTTATTTTACTTTTCTTTTATTTTCAAGAAAGTAACACGATTTACGGTGTCAATTTCCGGAAAATCAACTTCTCATTTAATTAATTACTTCATCTTCAAGTTAAAAGTCGAGACAGTCTGAACGACAGAGCATTGAGGGGACAAGTAGAATTCACAATGCCATGAGATTCAAACGTTTCCGATTAAATTCATCAAAACTTATGCATGAGTTGTCGATTAAAATTGAGTGAATCGTAAAGATTAAAATAAGGCTTATGTAGAAGAGAAGTTCGTGTCCATCACGAAACTGCAAGGAATATTTACGTACAATAATGGTACAATGATTCTAACGAACAGTCGTTGAAGCGACTTGTTAATACATATTGTGCCTTTCTCTCACCATTAATCATTGCTGTGATCTACCCAGCAATACCTATTTTGTCTCACCAGGTACAAAATATTTCACACTCAATATATACACTTATGTACATAAATATCATACATTCTAACGCTTCACTCACACCGGGTTTTACAAAAGGTTACTTTGCAATTTTTCTTCAAACTCTTGTTCGATCATCAAATTTTCTCCATTTATTACTCTCCTCTTTCGAATAAACGAGGCAATTATTTACAGTTTGCTTAATATTATAATACGTAAGTGAACTACTGGGTAATAGTATTTTTCACAAATGAAAATTCCTAGGTGGGGATAACAATAAATAACTAGTTACATTGTCAATATTAATTAAATTAATAAGGAATTGAGACCGAATATTTATCCCTAAGTTTAATTACATTTTGTTTATTGTTTTTTTTTAATTTCTCGTATCTTCTAATTTAATCATTAACACTCATCATCAACCCCTCAATCAATTATCATAACTTCTCTACGGTAAACTCAATCAATTCTACATAATATGTTTAAATTTAATTTAAATTCAAATGAGGTAAAAGCATTAACGGTTTTCCATTATTTCCTCTTTCTTTCATGTATTTTTAGTTCTTTTTTTTCTGCTCAGTATTTCTCTTCGCACAAATATGTAACCGGGTCAATGGGTATTTAGCTTTTTTCCCTAGATAACAGAACAGAAATGAATGGATTTCAGTTTAATTCGTGATCAACTTGTCTCGATCTACGTAAATAAATAAATGTATCTGCAGGTATTTTGGTTCACACTTTAGTCTCATTTATTTTTACGAATGAGTAATTAATCATCACAACTGCGATGAATAGAAAGACGACATTTAATCAATTTGCAGATAAATTGTGACATTGCTCATTTATGCAGATGATTACTATTGAGTTTTCATGATGTCATTAAATCGAGATAATTGATAAATGCCAGTCGTTGGCACTCAAAGGCACGTATTTTTATTTCCAAATAATTATTGTTTTTGTTCATCGCTCTTATCGATTAATGTTTAAAGCCATTCACTGAATCTGATTTGACGTGTTGTGAGTAAATTGATGAGGGATGTGTCATGCTATTATCTCAGTCGCATATTTTCACCATTATCTTTACCAAATTCTTATGCTCAATCGTCATTATGCTTCAATCATCATCTAATAATCTAAGTACAACATTTTGTTAAGCTCGATAATGAAATGTTTGGGTTCATGTTAATCTTGAGCACTTGTTCCAAAATATGTTCCTCATTGGCTCGATTTTTTTTTCGGGATTTTTCTCTCGAAAAATGAGAAATTTCTAATTGGGAGGAGTGAATCAAATGATGTGGCATTTTGAACTCTGAATGATTATTTGTATGGACAATTTTAAATCACTTGTGACCCAGTTTGTTGATTAATTAAAATAATAAGAGTTATTTTTGACGATCAATATCGTTTACAGACAAATTTTTATGCTTTACCTTGCGACCCTGTCGCTTGGAAGATTTCCTCGACGCTTTAGATTCTCGTGTCTCCTGCAGGGAATTATTCGTTCCCAGTCTGAACCTCACTGGCATCTTTGAATCTAGATTGTTTGCAATATCAAACGAATTCATTAATTCATAAATTTCATTGACAATGAGTTGATAACTATTTCAATCATTCTGTTTAATTTAATTACCTTCGGAATCTGATAAATCTGGGACAGTTCTGTGCAGCACAGTAACCCGTCGAACTTCCTTTTGACTCGCTACAAATTCAGAAAAATCATTCAGCATAATTAATCAGCAAAACGAAATCTTTAATGCAGTAGGTTTAATAATTTAACACTTACTTTTTTCCTCAGCTTTCCCCAGATGTCTTTGAATGACTTTTGCATTGTTTTTGGCTTTGGCAACTCTGAAAATAAAATGATCAATTCAAATTAACACGACAATTCACAATGTCAGAAGTCTTTTTTTCCCCAAATTATGAAAAATGAGTAAAATAATTGAGCAACTAATTATTTTATTCATCACAATGTTATTCATTGCAAAACGAGACAATGCATAAAATGAGATTACTGAATAAATGCGTTTAAATCCCCTGAATAAAGAATAATTTCAACCTACTCATTAACAACTCCTTTGAACGCTGACTGCAGTAGCCTAGCAGACTGAATGGGCACAGTCCTGTTGAGTCTCTCAGCCCTCCTCCTGCTCAACTCAGTCCTGAGATCGGCCTCCTCATCCACCGCCTCCTCCACAACCTCCCCCTCCTCCTCCCCCACCTCAGGTGTCAACTCCTTCTTCTTCTTGCACTTCTTCTCCTTGACAATTCTCCCAGCGAGCATGGCATCCTTCATCTTCCCCACCTGATAGATCTCCTTGTCCTTCTTCTTCTTCTTCTTCACCCTCTCCTTCTCCACCTTCACCGGCGCCACCTCGACACACATAACAGGACCACTGGACTCATCGCTGAGAACAGGTTCCAAATCATCAAAGTTGTACTCCTCATGTAGGGAGAGCTCCTCATCAGGAACTTCCTCGTACTCCTCGATCACCTCCCTAGCCTTTCTCTTGGGAGAATTCACCTGGGGCTCAGCAGTTTCCACTTTGATCTCCTCTTTTTTACTCAATTTAATTTTCTTATTGGCTGTGATGGGATCGATTGGTCTCGTCGACTCGAATTTCCTCCTCCTGGCCTCCAGCACAGGATCACTCGACACCTCAATCGTCTCCTTCGCAGGCTTCACCTTCTTCGAGATCTCCGGAGAGTTTTGGACATTTTTCCTCAGTGGAGAGTTCTCTTTTCTGTGTAATGACGGGTCTTCTGGGCTCAATGATCGTCTCTTTCGTTCTTTGGGGGATCTTCGACGTCTGGGGGACAGTCTGGGGGAATTCCTCGGGGAAGACCAGGGGGATCGCCTGGGGGAGAGCCTAGGGGATAGCCTCCTCATTGGGGACAATCTTCTGGGAGACAATTTTGGGGATCTCCTGGGGGATCTTCGCGGCGATCTCGACCTCGATCGTCTCGGTGAGGCTCTTCTCATCGGTGACAATCGGTGAGGCGATTGCTTCGGAGATCTAGGAAGTGGTGAACGACCTGGGGACATCCTCAGAGGCGATCTCACTCGATTTATGAATCTGGGAGAGTGGGGGCGTGAGAGGATCTTTGGAGATCGAGATCTTCGGGGTCTCGGGGATCTGGACAGTGGGGATCTACCTCGTGGGGATAGCCTTCTCATTGGGGATCTGTTCGGGGATCTTCTGGGGGACATTCGGGGAGACCGCGACCTCGGACGGGGGGAGTACCTCGGGGGGGACTTCCTCGGGGATCTCAGCCGCAAGGGCTCCCTCTGGGATTTTTTAATTTGACGTGGGGGGGATCTCCTTGGAGATTTTTTCCTCGGTTTCTGCTTTGGGGATAGCGAACGGTGTCTCATTGGTTTGCTACTGGAGTATGGAGACACCGATCTTCGATCGGTTTTGGACGCTCCCAGACTCTCCAATTTCTCGTTTGAACGGTTTTTTGCCTTTGAGGAGTCACGGGGCTTCTTAGAGTCTCTGGTCTCCGTCTTCGAGGGGCTACTCTCCTTTTTCTCGGCTGGAAATTTCTCCATGTTTATCTCTCGGTCCATCTCGTCGATCAGTCGCTCGAGGCTGTCCTCTTCCTCGAGGTCTGCCATCAGGAGGATGTCGTCGTCGTCCTCCGGGTCCTTTTGGTCGTCCTCTGGGTCTTCTTCTGCGTCCTCCAAGGGGTCGTTCTCCTCGATCCTTGGGGAATTACCCTCGTTACTCTGGTTCTCTTTGTCTGTTCCTGTTTCGTCGTCCTGAGGGGGCTTTTGGTCCTCCGATTTTGGGTCTGGAATTTTTGCTTCTTTCAGGTCCTCGTCGTCGGAACCACTCACGTCGTCGGTGTAACGGTGGAATTTTGAAGGCTCTGGAAGCGAAACTGAGTGACATTTTTTTTATGAGAACACATTTATTGTGGAAATGCAGAAGAAAGGGAAGTGAATAAATTGTATTTACATTTTTATTCACATCAGATTAATAATTTTTTTAATAAAAAAATTATTCTTTGATCCAAGTGAAGGGGTTATTTGTTAAAAATGAAGAGGTTACAAGAGAACGAATTTATTAACATTTAGATTTATGTAAAATAAATAATTTATTCATTTTACATAATTAAAATTTTCTCATTGAAATTAATCTATGAGTTTATTAATGTTCAATGATACTTAATAAACTTATTAATTAACTCAATTAATTCTCTAGGTCTGAAATTCACTGGCTTCGAAGAAAGATCATTTTTTGGAGAAAAAAAATCAAGAGCTTATGATTTTTTTTCGTAAAAAATCGTTCATTTTTCAATTCGTTCTCTTCGTTATATTCAGGAAATATTCATCAAAGAGTCAGCGCGACTCACGTGTTTAAACCGTTTCACCAATGAATTAATTTGCTCTGCTACCAAATTTCTTTAGAAAATATCAAAATTGTGAAAGTCACCTGTTGCATCTGTGGCTGAAAGTGGGTCAGGCGTCGTTTTAGTTTCAGATGTGGCTGACAACGCACTCTCATCGACTGGAATTATTTCTATCAGATTCTGGTTGACTCGACTGGGATGATAAACATTCTGAAAGTTACGAGATTGCATTATTGAAAATCAACAATTCACTGAACTAATTCTATTCTACTGCAGGTGCCATGTCTCCCCCAATATTTCAATAAATTGTTCAGTAAAAATAGGCATAATTGCACATTATTGCTGAATTTACAATGAATATCAAAAACAAATAAACATGGACTCACTCCGTTCTGTCTCGGTGGCCTGTTGGAATGATAGTACTCTCTCCTCCCAAATCTCTGGTTGTAAGGTGCGAAATGGGAACGCCCGGTGTGAATATTATGCTGAGGTGGTAGTTGGGCTTTGGCACTTGGGGTTGGCTTGGCACGCCTCGACTTCAGTGCAGCCAGTCTGAGTGCCTCCAGGTCCTCGTCATCGTCATCCTCGTTCTTGTACTTATGGGTCGTCGAGACGATCATCTAGATCCACAAATAAACCATTCTATTCATTATTTCTCTTCTTCAATTTTTTTCATTCAATCTCAGGGTTTTTCTGAATACCTTCAAGCTCATTTGCTGCAGCCATAATCTCTAAAATCGATTCCATTGATTTTGAAGATTCAATTGAATTCACGGACTATTCAATGTCGCGGAATTGAAATGCAGGGGAGGTGGGGTAAAATGGACACTTTGGACTTTTTGTCAATTATTCATAACTCAGAAACAAATTTATCAATTGAGCTCTGTTTAGGCTCATCACGAAGGAAAAGAATTGTTCTTTTCATTGAAAAAAAAAATTCTATTTCATCAACATTTCAACCAGTCATCAACATTAAAAGGAAATTCAAACGTGATATATGATAACATTTTCTCATAAATTTCCATTCTTCAGGTATTAGATTTTTTTTTCAATCTTTGCAACTAGTCTTGAGTTCGTTCTGAATATGCTCAAGTCCATTTGCCCCAGCCATAACCCCTAAAATCAATTCTATTGATTTTGCAGACAATTCAATGACACGAAAATAACATGCAGGGGAGGGTGGGGTAAAATGGACACTTTGGCCTTTTTTTAATTATTCATGACTCAGAAACCAATTTATCAATTGAGCTCAGTTTAGACTCATCACGAAGGAAAAGAATTGTTCTTTTCATTGAAAAAAATTATTCTATTTCATCAACATTTCAAACAGTCATCCACATAAAAAGAAAAAGTCAAACGTGATATATGACCATTATACATGCTCCCAAACTAGAATAACATTTTTCTCATAAATTTCGATTCTTCAAGTATTAGATTTTTTAAAATCTTTGCAAGTAGTACTGAGTTCGTTCTGAAGATGCTCAAGCCCATTTGCACCTGCCATAACCCCTACAATCGATTCTATTGATTTTTGAGATAATTCAGTGTCACGGAAATGAAATGTAACAAACAGATGTTGGCTTCCTTGGCATCACCTGGCATTTGGAAATTGAGAGCAAGAAAAGGGTTTTGGGGACACGATGGAGAATAAATGTGTCACAGATTTTTTTTTGGACGTCGAACCATCGCCGAGTTATTTTTCACTAGTTTGGGGTGGATTTGATGATGGAAATTGAGGGATAAATACCTTTTGACGATAATCCATGTTACAATCCCTGATATTTGGAAAAAATTGCGATTTTTCGTGGTGGACACCAACACTGTGTAACGCATGCATAAATGTTAACACGAGATTCACTGGGATATGCGACCATTACTCATGTTCCCGAACTAGAATAACAAGTGATATCACTTATGCAAAGTCCAGGACACTTCCAATTCTCTGATGTTCAGGGATTTTCGATGAAATTTCGGGTATTTCAATAGTTTTTTCGTTGAAACTCTCGACCTCTGTTTCAACCCCCCACCAACTGTACGTAAATAAAAATGGCCGTGGAGCATCGAGAAGGTTGAAGGGGGGGGGGGACAATCACGTTCACGGGTGGACACATTCCGTTTTGGACACGTTCTAGGGAAAATGGCGACAGTACGGAAGGCACGGACATTTGTGGATACACTCCCGGATGGGCAGATTCTGATCAGGTGGTTACACAGGGCTCGGTATTGGAGATATGTTCAGGTAATGTCTTACCAGTCGACATGTTTAGTGCAGCGGCACGGTGAAAGATGGAGGGATTATTGCCATTTCAAGCGGATTACTAACTGAAGCGAACTGGCCATCGGGCAGTAGAAGGAGGCTACAAATGTCGAAATGAAAAGTTTTCATTTTCACCTGGATAAAGGGTGAGGTCTTGGATTTTCCAGGGGGAAAGTCGACTTTCGCCAAAAACAAATTTTTTCGTTGAATGAAAGTTGATTCCGACTATTTAGGCGACGGGCTATCCAGAACTCTCAAAAGTTTTCGGAAAAAGTTAAAAATGAAAAAAAATTTTTTTTCACTCGGGGCCAAAGTATCAGATCTTGGATTTTTCCAGGGGGAAAGTCGACTTTCGCCAAAATCGCATTTTTTCGCCGAGTAAAAGTTGATTCCGGCTATTTAGGCGACGGGCTATCCAGAACTCTCAAAAGTTTTCGGAAAAAGTTAAAAATGAAAAACAATTTTTTTTCACTCGGGGCCAAAGTATCAGATCTTGGATTTTTCCGGGGGGAAAGTCGACTTTCGCCAAAATCGCATTTTTTCGCCGAGTAAAAGTTGATTCCGACTATTTAGGCGACGGGCTATCCAGAACTCTCAAAAGTTTTCGGAAAAAGTCCAAAATGAAAAAAAAATTTTTTCACCCGGGGCCAAAGTGTGAGATCTTGGATTTTTCCAGGGGGAAAGTCGACTTTCGCCAAAATCGAATTTTTTCGCCGAGTAAAAGTTGATTCCGACTATTTAGGCGACGGGCTATGCAGAACTCTCAAAAGTTTTCGGAAAAAGTCAAAAATGAAAAAAAATTTGTTTCACTCGGGGCCAAAGTGTCAGATCTTGGATTTTTCCAGGGGGAAAGTCGACTTTCGCCAAAATCGAATTTTTTCGCCGAGTAAAAGTTGATTCCGGCTATTTAGGCGACGGGCTATGCAGAACTCTCAAAAGTTTTCGGAAAAAGTAAAAAACAATTTTTTTTTCACGTGGGGCCAGTGATCCCACCAAACCTTGGATTTTTTCAGGGGGAATAATCTCGCCATCTCTCAACATGCTGTTGCACTAGAAAATTCGATTGGTTAGACTTTTTCGGAGGGCATCTGTAATATCGAGCGCTGTTTAACCACCTCACCAGAATCTGACCATCCGCGAATGAGACCACAAATTTCCGTTCCCATCTGTTCCGCGCCTCCCGTACTGACGCCATTTTCCCTAGTACGTATCCAAAACGGAATGTGTCCAAACGACCCCCCGCTTCGTCACTTCCAGAAAAAACACTCGACACGGAGAAGCTCGAGTGACTGTTGACGGAAATTTCCGGGATTGCGGTGGCGCTAATTAAGTACCGTTTGTTGATTACGAAGGTTTCTCTCTAATTGTCCATTTACGCGGGATTTTAGCAATTGTTTGCGAATGGAGACAAATGTTTACTAACAATTGTGTTGTGGGCGCGGGTTATACGTGAGAAAGGCCGCAGGGACGCATATTTTCACGAAAATATTCATGAATTACCGGAATTGGAAGTGAAAACGCAAAATATGTGAAACAATGGAAGACCCATTGTTCAAAGAAAAACAATAATCTTCGGAATAATAATTATAATTATTGTTTTTGGTGTGATGTGTTCTAAAGAGGTTAAATTCAACACTGTGAGTGAAATATTCGTGGAATAATGAGACTAATGACGTCAATAATTAATTGACAACAATTTAAAAAGTGATTATTAATTGAATAATTCGAGAAAAGTGACGATTTATTTAGAAGAATAATTATCGCCCTCAAAATCATAATAATATACAGTTGTGGAGATGAGCGGCCATGAAAATAATCATGAGATCATGACATTGAGAATCAAGAAGTGAAATAGTGACAATAAGTGATTAATTAATTATTTAAACCATCAGTGATAATTCAAGAGACAATTTCTTATTTTATAATTACAGAAGTGGTGATTTATTGAGAAATATTCATGGAAAATCAGACTGATGACGACAATTGATTGACGATACTTGAAACAGTGTTTTTATTAATGAAATAATTAAACAAAAATTATAATTGATTTAGATGAATAATTATCCTCAAAATCCAAATAATAAACAGTTGTGAGACGATTATTGTCTTAAAAACAATGATGAGATCATGAAATTGATGATCAAGCAGTGAAATAGTGAAAAGAGCTGATCAATTAGTAATTTAAATAATTTAAAAAATGAAAAATCATCCATCAAATGATAATTGTAAGAGTGTAGTGTTGTGTGTGCAGTTTCACAGTGAAAGTTGGATTCTGATGAGGAGTGGAGCCGATGCAGGTGAGGAGTACTCAAGGTAAATGAAAGAAACACAAGTATATTTATGAAGAATCATAATTAAAATATATTTTTTTATGAATTATCAATGGCAGCACATAACCGCTCATGCGTGCAGCGGATATCACACTCGCATTCATAAATACAAAATAAATTCACTCTTACTACTGAAAAATCAAAATGGTTTCGTTGAAGAAATCCATAGTCTACATTTCAATCAATTAATACTACTGATAATTGATAATTCACGTACAAAATTCGTTGATTTTAACGTTTACGTATGTCAAAAGAGATTTATTTTAAAGTATTGTTGACGATCCAATGGCGATTTTTTATGTGAAGCCTGAATATTCAATTATCAAATCATTTTTGTCGCACGAAAAATTCTCTGATTACTTCGGTTTTGATTATTATTGAGCATCGATAACAAAATTGCTTCGTCCAATCATGAATCATCATCATTCGTCCATTGTCAGTGACAATTTCGCGAAGACTCGTCGTTCGAACGAAGGAGAATAATTAATTAACAAATCAGTCCCATTTTTTAATTGATAACAAACTTATTTCTGGTCGGGCAAGTGAAACACGATTGATATCCCGCAATTCCACAAAATTCTCTTAACATCTAGGTTTTAATTTTACATCTAACTCGATAGAAAAATCGTCTAATTTGGTTTGTAAGGCACCAACTCCTCTGGAAATGTTGAAAATAATTCTGTCGGGTCTTCACTGACCTTCTGAGGACATCCAAACACTCATGAAAACAATTTTTTTCCATCAAATGATGTTGTCATTCGAAAAAAACAGAATTCAGTAGTAGAGTGGTGAAATAATAGGTCCATTGGGCTGGCACATGCAATTTTAAGTGGACACCTATTTTTCTGTTTGAAAATAATAATAACGAGAAATGAATGTTTTTAAAAATGATTTTTTCAAATGAAAAAATGTGCATTTCACTATTTGGAAAATTTAATATTTTTCATACATAATCATATCATTAAAAAAATATGCATTCAGCAGCCCAATTTGATTAGTTCTACAAAAAGTTCTTAGAAAGATTTCCCCGTCTCTAATTCCAATTTTTCATCAAAAACTTTAAGTTTTCCCCTCGCTCTAGAGCAAAAATCTCTTCATCCAAACTTTTCCCCAAAAACCGATCTCCATTGAACTGTTATTTCAATCCGCCCCTCGCCGATTATTCTCACTCCACTCTACCTGATCCTCACCCCCAGAACCTAAGACTTGAATTCCCCCTTAAATCCCCCGAGTTTCCCCCCTCAAGGAAACCTAGGATCCCCCATGTACCTCCCAAACGAATGATCAAGATTATGATGTGACCTGCTGCGCCTGCCCCTGTCCCCAGTAAAATTCACCTGGACCCCAGGGCCTCCCCTGCATCCCCTGTCGCCCTCCCCCGCCCCAGGATAGTCCGGCAGCGGTGCCTGTCCAACCTGGAACTGCGACAGGCTCTGGAGCTCACCCACAGACCTCCTCCACCCATCGTACCGCCTCTGTGACTGCTCCTCGTCCCTCTGTCGTCTCCTGCTCTGCGAGGACCCACTTTCCGTGGAATTGCTGTCCTCACTAGTCCCCAGGCCGGGGTCCCTCTCCTCAAAATTCCCCAGACTCGTCGTGGGACTCCCCTGAATCAGCTTCCCTCCATTCTGATGATAGAACAACGTCGGATGGGGAATGACGTAGGGGATGGGCAGCTTGGAGACATCCAACTGCTGCATTGCCCTCATCCTCGCCTCTTGCTCCTCCTTATCATGATTGGTGCACGATCCTGGCCCGAAGATCGACAGCAGCACAGGCAGCAGCAGGAGACCGTGAAGAGCCCCCAGGAAGATAACCAAGAACACCATTTTGAAGAAAACCAAAAAGATGTACGTCCCAGCGAGAATCAGAGCGAGAAGACCGAGAATCGTCGAAGCAGCTCCCTGGATGATCGGCAGCCCTAGGCTGTACAAGCACTCCCTCACTCTGTCGTCGGGACGCTTCTCCTTGGAGGACATGTAGGCGTAGCAAATGTGCGCTGTGAAGTCCACACTGAACCCTATGCACATGATGAGATTGATCATGGAGATGCTGTCGAGGTTGACGTCCCACAGGGCCATGTAGCCAGCCACTCCAATCTCGATGGAGACGATGCAGAAGGCCACCCAGAGGCAGCAGAGAATGTTCGGTATGAAGATGAAGGAGATGACCATCATTATGAGCGCACCGAAGACCATGCACTGGATAGTCGTGGGGAGGACCAGCTCGAATTGGTCGAAGAATACGAAGTAAGGGTGGAAGACACTGGCGTTTAAGGGGGACTGGGAGCAGATCTGTCGCAGTTCACGGACCATATCCTTCTCCTGGTTCGTACCACTGATGTTCACCGCTTGGATCAGAAATCTGCTGGCTATTATGTGCTCCTCTGAGTTGTCCAAGTGAACGTCTGGGATGGAGGTCGGCCAGTACGTCCTCAAGGCCTTGATGAAGTCCTGCTCTGTGTCCATGGTGACGTTGAGCTCCTCTTGGTTCGATGAGATGTAAGCGCGGAAGCTGCGCAGCCAGTTGTCCCCGTAAAGGGGCTCGCCGATCCATTTGGTGGCTTCTAAGGTGCGAGTTAGGTTCTCGAGTTGGTTTTGAATCGCCGGGTCGCTGTAGTCGTATTGACCGGAGACGATCACCTGGGGAGAGTTCAGGTTATTCGAGGTGTTGAAAGAATTGGGGGAAAGGTCTTTTACAGAGTATCAATGGCTGGTGAAAGTTTGGGGTGAATGGCGCGGTGTCAGACATATCAGGAGCTGAAGTGAAGGTTGAGAGTGATTATGGTGATTTGGAGGAGGAAGGGAAATACGAAAGGGAAGGAAGGCGATCAAGTCAATGAGACTTCGTTCAATCATGAATCATCGTTCGTCATTTACCCATTGCCATTGACAATCACATCGTGGAGGTTCGCCAGAATAAAAAACGAAGTAGAAGAGGACAGCCATCAAAGGGGGAGAATGAACGAAAAGCGATTGTGTCTCACCTGTATTCTGTACGGAAACTCCCGGAAGTAGAGGTCTTCTCGATCGTAGAAGGTGATTGAATAGGAATCTTCTTTCGATAGCTTCCGTCTGTCGAGCCCTTCCTTCAGCTGTGTCACGCCGTACACAGCTCCGGCGAGGTAGAAAGCGAATATGATGAGGACGAGAGCCTTCACTGGGCGACAGTTGAGGGCTGCTGCTAGGTAATCACGGAACCAAGTCATGCATCCGTGCTCTGGGTTGTCGATGGGGTTCGCAGGGTCTTCTCGGTTCACCCCTCCGCTGCACAGGGCCCGGTACAACCATGATCTATGGCCTGAGGATGAAATTGTCGTTAATGAAGACATGTCCTAGAAACCTCTACATGATGGATGATCAAGTAATCTCATGTGGATGCAATTGATCTTCAATTACTCATTATTTCAGTCACGAATGTCCTTTAATTGACGTTATTATGAGCATATGCGTAAGATTAGAGTATCAAAGAAGGATTCAAGAGGACAACTGTGATCCATTGTTTCCGTTTTTGAATTGTCCGAGCATTATCGTAATCGAGGAACCTTCAGATCAACCTTGATAGACAATGGATAATTGTTACGAAAGTAAACCGTGCTCGTGAAAATAATGAATGGAACTTCCCAGTGATGCGAAAATTGTTGGCTTTCCAACGTCTGGATGCACATATCAACCAATAAGGTCACAAGTCTGGGTGAAAGTAATGCGAGTCGTCGATTCCTTATGTAATTGCCTGTGATCTAACGAATTAACAGCAACTCGAATGCGTAACTTACTACCGGGATTCAAAACTTGACGCAACGAACGAGTTCCAGGTAGTGCGAGCATAAACATGATGGATCTTCGGTTATTTGGGGTGATGTATGATCTGATGGGATCAAAATGATTTAGTGCGGGGGGTCTGTGTTATGGGTGGAAATAACTAGACCGAATTCAGTTGGAATTGGGAAACTGGATGAATTAGGGGGATTACTCAAGCGAAATAACTTGAATAAATTATCAGGCAAATTGATATTCGCATTTTCGAGTCCCGCTCTTCCGCGAATTTCATAGTTCGGCGGAACTAGTTGTCGCGGTTGACAAAACGAAAAGTGAAAGTTTTGAGAATGAGGGATTTGAAAAGTGTTATACTCGCTGCAGATGGAAGTATTTTTAATCTTGTGGTTATTATCTCCTGAATACAATGATGATTACGATTTATTTTATTGTGGCCAGCGATTTTTAATGGGTGGGCTTCAGTATTTATTGAGTCCCAGGGGGAACAATGGAGATTTTTTTATTACTAGTGAACTCACCTGACTTGGAAAGCGGCTGGACCTTGCAGCAGACAATACTGTGACGATTCTGCTGCTCGCAATAGCCGCTGATGGCTACACAGCCGCTGAAGAAGGTCAGGTGGAAGAGGAAAGTGAAGACAACTGCGAAACCTAGGGGAATAACCGAAATATGAGAAAAGGTTGTTTTGTGGATAATTGTGTAATGAACGATGGCCAAGGACTTGGCCATTCTTTTCATTGTAATCCTTTTCGAAATCTTTAATTATACGTCAGGGCTGAGGTTTGAGCCTCAATTGACTGCAGGTCATCAAATATTTTACAATTTTTCCATTACTTCAACTTTGAGGGTCTGAACTTCAGGGACTTTTACCAAAATTTTTATGAGAAGTTCAATGAGTCTATTAAAAATTCCGAAATTTTAAAATGTGAAAATCTAAAAATTTTCGAATTCTGACGAAAAATAATTTTTTTTTAATTAGTGGTGATTTAGAGAAAAAAAATTATCCGTGTTTGTTTTTTTTTTATCAATTTTTAATTAATTTATTTATTTATTTATTCATTTTTTAAAATTTATTTTTCAATTTGTTAATCTATTAAAAATTAATAAAAAAACAAACACGGATGATTTTTTATCAATTTTCAACTCTTCAGGAAACATTTCTTATAATCTAAAAAAATGGTTTGAATGAAGAATTTTATTCTTGAATATCGTCAGTAAATTTACCTGAGTAAATGCAGAAAATCTGAACAGAAGGGAAAGGAGACATAATGCCGATAAAGAACGAAATCATGTCTGTGAGGGATGTGATTGTGATTGAAACAGCAGCCTCGCTCAATGTCTTGGCCATTCTCTCTGGGACTGGATTCAATATGTTGGTCCTTCGCCAGGCGGCGAGCATCACGAAGGTGTCATCAATTCCAATCCCTGAAAAATAACGAATTCATTACTGAATTTTGATCCGATGGGACAGATTTTTTTTGATGGGGTTCAAACGATTCGTCACGCCTCGGTTGATCGCGAAGGATATAATAATCCCTGGTAAACCGCATCGTTTTCATCAACCACTTGACGCATGAGTCAGAGATTCTGCGGTGAGTCGACTTATCAGTGCCTTTATGCCTCATTCAATAACAATGAGTGACTCGTTTGACGAAGAATTGAAAATATTCATTAAGTTTACCATCAGGGGCAGTCGGATACTCCCGAGGATTCTTTGTGCACTTCCTTTTTCGTGAATAATCGATCAGGGATCGCCATATTCGTAAATCATAATTGCCGTTAAATTTTGAAGCCGTCAATTAGTTAACACCACTCTTAAACTCTTAATTACTCAAGTAATCGTCAATTTAAATATCAAAATTTTAATTATTTTATCAATCAATAATTTGGGTAATTGATAATCTCTTTTAAGAAATTAGTAATATTCACTTAATGGAAAATTTACAGTCCTGTATTATCAAAAATTCAATTCATCATTAATCGGAAATTCAAACTGTTAAGTAATATTATATTGTTTTTAAATTTTGATGAGTATATTTAAACATTTAGGGGAGGTTGGGGTAAAACGGACACTTTTGACTTTTTTGAAAATGTTAATGAGGGGTTGAAATGTTGATAAAATTTAATAATTTAATAATTTGATAAATTTGCGATATAAAGAACAATTATTTCCCTTTGTGACGAGTCTGAACTGAGCTCAATTGATAAATTTGTTTCTGAGTTATGAATAATTTTTAAAAAGTCTAAAGTGTCCATTTTACCCTACCCTTCCCTATCAATGTAAGTCGCGAATCCATTTAATATTGAAGAAATATAATATTGATGGCCATCCCTGTAATCGATCTGTCGATTATCGATTTAGAATAGAAAGAGTGATCACGAATAATGACAGGAATTTTGAGAATTCTTTACGGTCACTTATGTAACACCTTAATTACGAAAATGAGATTCTTTCGTGTGGTTTATCCCGGGGAGGGGAGTGTTAGAAGAAATCTCGAAGTGGGGTGCGAAAATAATTTGATTTATGATATGAGAGTACGCGTGGAGCTCACGCCGGGGACTTGCGTAAGACCCAGTGGCCAGGTAAACACAGCAAGTTCATGTCTAGCTGGTTAAATCCCGTCAATGGACGCGTGATCGCAATGAAAATTGGTGAAAAAGTCCGCGTCTTTTGGTAATGAAATTTCGCCATGCAGTGGTACATAATTTTTGGGTAAAATTTTCGGTACACTTCTTGGAAATTTATGTGAAGGTGTAATTCTAGTCGAATTTTAAGGATTTTCGTCGTTGAAAATTCACAATTTTATGGGAAAATCTATGGAAACTAAATTTGCATTCAATTATTCCACGAAAAATAATGGAAATCAGGAAAATCCACGCGAATATTTTGAAAATTGTACGCATTTACGAGCGGATTTTCCATGCTTTAATTGAGAATTCAAGTAACATGGGGAATCCTCCTCTTTCTTCTCTACGAAAATTCGGAATTTCATATAATTTTTAGTGAAATTTTGAATTTCATGATTGTTTTCCCTTGAATCGAATTCAATGTAGCAATTTGTTGTAGTTAGTAACAATTTTCAGCTGAAATTTCTCATATACTTTTAGAAAATTATTTCATTTTTCACGATTGTAATTATTCCAATAAAAAAGATAGAAATCAGGAAACTTCAGGTAAAAATATCGTTGAATTTTGAAATCTTTAAAAATTCTGCGCAATTTATTCTCCTAAAAAATTCGGAATTTTATAGAATTTTCAGTGAACTTGAAAACTTCATAATTTCTTTCCCCTTTTTATTTCCCTAACACTGTGAAACTCAAATATCTCCAGAGAAATATCGAAGGTTGATTATCGATAATTACTGTTTTGCCCGAATTAATTCCGTTACTAGATCATTTTCACAACTTTACACAAAAAAAAACATATCTTTCATCTTTCATCCAATTTTCGTATTCTATTCACTAAAAAACTCTACACAACACAATTCATCGAAAAAACAGCAATTGTTGCCTTCCATTAGAAACTCCTTCAAAACATTTTATACTGCGTTAAATTACATACCACAACAATACCTCATTGATTCAAAAACACATCCATATCATTACCCGATGAAAGGAAAAGAAATAAACAAATAGATCTAAAAGACCATGATTTAACGTGAAAGACGGAAGTCTCCGGGTTTTTCTACTCCCACCTGTTGGGTTCATCGACATTCGATTGTTAATGCGTTCATAAAAATGACAACGAAATAAGTGAAAACAGGTTGCACGTACGGCATTCATGTTCCCAGACGAGTTTTTATGCTGAACAACTTTTATTACTTCGATCGTTAGAAATTTTTCTGTGATGCAAGGGATTTCTTAATTTCTGTCTTTGCTCATAATCATTAATCGCGAGTTGGGGACGGTTTATCAACATTAACGTAAATTTTTTCACCGTTAACGAATGCAGCGATAAAACTGCAGCCATTCGAAATAAATTAATGACCGGCGCGAGACGCATCTCGACCTTGACGCGAATGGCAACAGCCCTTGTTGCTATTCCCCGTGCGTAAGAGTGAGCGCACGTACCTCAGAATTACGAATACACTTAACCCGTTTAGGAGGCGCATCGCAATGCCCCGGGGAGCCGAAATACAGAATGGAAATCCTGCAGTTAAACTACATACATAATCACGCAATCTGATTTCTCGGAAACTCGTTCATAACTTTTTGATGGGGTTTGATGGGGTGCGACAGCGGCTCGATTTGCGGGGGTGTTTTATATTCAGGAGGCTAGTCGTTGTGACATATGCACGACATATGCGCAAGTTTCATTATCACTCGCAAGGAGCGTACGGAGTTGCGCAAGGCTTTGTAGTTTTCAGCCTCTTGCCGTGTGAAAAATACAAATCAGGGGGAATCGGTTTCGTGGGCTGAAATTTTTGATACACTTGGGAAATTTTATCGGATTCGGGTTTATGGGGATTTTCAAGGAATTTCGGCAAGGGAAATTTGAATTTTTTAGGGAATAATTAGGAATAATCGATGGAAACGGGTAATTTCAGGTCAATTATTCTGCGAACGTTTGGAGAAGTCTGAAAAATTTAGGTGAATTGGGGAGTTTTTTAATTTAGTAAACATTTTGCGGAATTGGGTCGTGAAGTTGGGGAATTCTCGTCGTCCTGCTGCTTGAAAATATTGAATTTCGTGGAATTTTCGGTGAAATGATTTTTTTTCTGTCCATGAGTTTGCAATTTTTTCAGACAGCGTACAACAAAGTCTTCATAGAAATTTCATTATCTCACTTGCACGGATATTCAATAAAAATTACGTATTTTTTTCCGTAATTCCGTAGAGAAATGTGATTGTAAGAAATTTTACGGAATTGTCACGGAATTTTTCCAGAGCGTTTTGTAATTTTTAAGTGACTCTCTTGTGAAAAATTACGATACTGTCACTTAAATTTTCTGAGTCGATTCCGTAATCGGTGAGCGAACTGTGAGTTCCGTAATTTTTAATGAACATTTCTCTCGGTGTGGATTTTAATGTAAAATGAACCTTCTTAAATCAACTTTAGTTTTGAAGCTCAGAAAAATATTTTTTAAATGAAGAAAAAAATTTAGATTATACTCCACCAATTGCAAAAAAATGTCATAAGTGGATAAAGTCCTCTCAAAATTATGAAAATGACAAACTTACCGATCATGAGAAAGGGGGCGGCCAGATTAATTCCGATGAAGTCAATGCCGATGTACATGCAGAGGCCAAATGCCGAGACAGTTGCCAATGCCGCTGAGACATTGCCCAGGAGCCCGAGCCAGGGTTTGCTTCTCACCCAATCGGTCATCATGCACGTAACCACGGAGAAAATTCCCATCATCGCGAATGTGCTCGCGAAATACGGCACAACTGTCTTGGTATTGGCCTCGAGCTCGAGTTCCAGGGTTTTTGAGGCGAATCGAGCGACGCTTATGTGCTTGAAGACTTTGTCGTCTTCGGCGGCGCCTAGGGTATTCAAGAAGGCTTCCTCCCACGCCCCTCCCCTATTTGCATCATCGAAAACAATTTATTGTCATGAATTAATCAATTAATTCAGTAGTAGAATGTTAAAACCAAGTCGATTTAGTTTGAGTCGATTTAGCCCTTGACTGAATTTTCGAATATCTCAAAATCTAGAAGAGATAGCGAAATTTTCGTAATGACCTTTTTTGCAGCCCTCAATTCGCTCTGCAAAGAAGGTCATGACAAAAATGTCACCATCTCCCTTAGATTTCGAGATATTCCCTGAAAATCCGGTAATAGTCAAAATTGACTTGAACCGATTTACGGAAATGACGCGATCAGTTCATTCTTTGAGGGAAATCTCCCGTAAATTCGAGCATGTTCATTAAACCAGATGTAATTATCAACTCACACAGCATCTTGCCGCTTATTATCAACCGCCACGAAGTACCCCAGCTGCACAGAGGGCACCGAGTCGATGGTTGAGTCCTCAGGATTGATGATACTTCCTCCAAAATAAAGGGGAAATATATGCGAGTCCCAAGTGACCGGATTGAACATGACTGGAAACGTTAGTTTCAACTGGCCAGTCTCCACATCCCTGAAAATTACTACCACCAATTTAGATCCATACAAATCACGCGATAAAACGAATGATTGTTCCTCGGCTGATGCCGACGATTATTTTACGAGTGAAAGCGCTACTTACTCCATGATCTGATCCAGATTGAGGATGTTGTTGCTGGAGCACTCGTCCTTGTATCTAGCACAGACTTGCTCGTATGTGAAGCTCTGGCCGTCGTAGACAGCTGTTGTGTTTCTGATTATCTCGTCGAGAAGACGGAGTTCTTTCCATACTTCTGAGCGCAACATGTTTTCGTTTCCGTCTTTGGAGACTACTATGACGTGACCGAATCTTCCTGGGATAGCGGACAAATTGATCAGTTCAGGGTGATAAATTCAGTAGTGAAGGGGTATTGGTCAGTTTTTAATGGATATCTCAGAAGCAAAGGGAGATAGCGGAATTTTTGTCAGGAACTTTTTTGTAGGACGAATTGACGGCTGCGAAAAAGGTCTTCACGAAAATTTTGTTATCTTTCGTAGATTCGGAGATATTCCTTCAGCCCAGACAAAGCATGTACGATTCTTTCCTAATGAACCAATTTCTGCCTCCGTACTCTAGCCGAACTACACGGAGAGAAATTTTCTAGAACAATTCTAGTACGAGTAGGGGAGGGTGGGGCAAAACGGCCCCCCTTCAATTGTCAATAACTTGTGAATGACATTGTGAAAATTCCCAGTTTCAACTTCATTTTGAAGATAATTTTTCATTCTTCAAAACGAGCTCTAACTCATCCCAATCGGATTATTGAATCGGAAAATATTGACGATTGAAGGGGGGCCGTTTTGCCCCATCCTCCCCTACTTAAAAAAATCACAATCCACCGGCTGTGAAAAATTCTAGTGGTCTTATGGTACAATTTGTTGGTATTTTTAGTAAAATTTCTGGGGATTTCTGTGAAATTTTCAGAGAAATACGGGGAAAAATTCACGTTTTCCCCAATAAAATTTCTACTGCCGACACTGGAATTTTTTCCTGGCTGTCACTTTGCGCCTCTTTTCCCGTGCTAGCACTAGAATTTTTCTAAAAAAATTCTCTCCGTTTATTTTTTAAGATGTAGATCCAAAATTTATAGAAATCATCACGAAATTCCTTAATGAAAGCAATTTAAGAATATGAACTTCCATGTTTGTCATGTATATAGCTTTTTTTTCTCTATAATATTCTGCTGTATAAACTTGTGAAGTTTCGAGCAATTAAATAACAAAAAAAGGGAGATAGTTCTCAAACTTGAACCGTTTTACCGCTTCGCTACTGAATTATCTGATCAGCTTTTGGTTTGTTAGGAATATTTCAAAAGGGAGTGGAATTTTTCGTGAGAAGCTTTTCGTAGGGAACAATGGGAAACAGAAATGCGAGTTTCCTTGAGTTTTGTTATCTTCATTGGATTTCGAAATTTTCGGAGAGAAGAGAAATGTGAGACGGATTTAGGGATTTAACTCAATTTCTAAAAACAGATGGAGATAAAGAAATTTTCAATTGCTCAACTCCATTTTTAATTTCAATTTCGGAAAACAAATGGAGATAACGAAATTCTTGTAGATTTTTTTTTTTACATAAAGATGAAACTCAACTCAATTTTTAATTTATCTTTTGAATAGAATTTTTGAAACGGAAATGGCGACATTTTTTTAGAAATATTTTTCGCAGCCACAATTCACCAAAAATATTCTCCACGAATTTTTCCCCTTCACTAGTAATGAATGATTTTCTGAATGCGCAATTCTCACAATTCGTCAGGGACCGCCCACATTATAAAAATATTAATTCGATAATCTACCTGCTCTAGTGATTCTCGTGACGTCGAAATCATGACTGTAGTTGACCCTGAAGTGTTGTTCAACAACAGCTCGTTCGTACTTGGCAGGTCCATTGATGGGCGAGAACAGATACTCTGGATCGATTTCATAGTTAATTCTTTGGTAACCAGTGATGCATATGCACGCTAATAAGATTGGGACTATGACAAAATATCCCGGATGTCGGCCGACGATCAGGCCGACCTTGAAGAAGGTCCGATTCAGGAAGTCATCGACGATGGTGACACTGAACCTCATCTGGAATTAAGGAAATGATTTAAATATAGATTTAGATATGAATTAGCATATGGATTGAAATTCGTGGGATCGCCGCCGGTTCTCGAAGATTTTTTTCGTCGTTTGAGGGGGCCATAAACTGATGGAACCTCACCGGTTCTCACTCTCATTAATTTTTATCTCTGAATAATGCAGGAAAAATCAATGGTTTCAACTACGTTTTTCAGAATGAGAATTTAATTGTTGAATAATTTATTCGGAATCGTCATATTCCTTTTCATCTTCTTCTTCGTTTCTCTTTTGCTTTTTGCGTTGGTTTTCATTTTTTGGGATGTATTATGTATTCTATACATATATACTATTCTATATATTTTTTTATAAAACTATATTATTTTTTTTACGTTAAAAAAAATTAAAGTATAAAAAAAATATATATACTATTTTATATGTTTTTTTCACAGAACTATATATTTTTTATTTCAATAAGAAATGAATTCCTTAGCAAAGTGGTAAAAGGAGATAAGTGCATTTAAAAAAAAAAATTTTTTTCGTGAATCACAATGAAATATCAATTTTTAAATGGTAATCATAATATTACGAATTTCGAAAAAGAATGCACTCATCTCCTTTTACCACTTTGCTACTGAATTTCTCTTTTTTTACAATTACTGGAAACAAAAAATTCCAGTACATAAAAATATAATAGACATGATATTACATTACTTCATAAGCGGAATAGGGGCTTCAAAAATCGTTACACTGGATTTTTTAAAAATGGATATTCGAGCCAAATAATCACTTCGAAACAGTCTCTCTTAGCGATCATCTCGTGATTATGTTGGAACTCGCTTTGACACGAACATATCAATGTCGTAAAATATTTAATCGCTGCCTGTATCGAGTGGAGGGTTTAATCACTGAGGCGCGAATTGACTGCCTCAAATGTCAGTAAGACTGTGCAAAAATTAATTTCGAAGTTATCGCACATTGTTTGACGTTTATTCGAGTGGATTGCGAGTTTTGTTTCTAGTATTTCGTGGTTTTATTGTTGATCGAAAGCATTATGGAGCCAGTCTGTACCAATGCACCTTCACTGATTCAATAATGCCGTTATATAAAGCTGTTTTATTATTCGAGAGAATGAGAACACATGGAAAAATCGGCTCTGGAGTGCAGACGTCGGCATAATCATAAATTTTAATTAAAGTTAAATTTTGAATGAGTAAATTGTTAATATTACTGATCAATTTTTTAATTATTAAATTCATTATCAATTAAATATTCAAATTCCGAATTATTGTATCAATCAATTACTGAGTTCGGGAGAGTGAGGATTATTCGGCTTGTCGAAAATACTTTTATGAAATTTAGAAACATTTACTTAATAGTCAATTGACGATTCCATATTGCCAATTATTTAGTTCCGTCAATTGAAAAATTGAAATTACAAATTATTATATTATTTTTCAAATTTCAATGAAGATGGGTAAACCTTAATTATTGTAAGGCGCAGCTTCTCATAAAATTACTAAATTAATGATTGATGCCGATCCATAAGTATTTAAGAGAGATGAAATATTTTTCATAAGAACACGTACGAAAAAATTTTATAGAAAAACGTAACGAATTCGCTAAAAAATTCTGTTGAATTTCTACTAGATTTGTACGCGTTTTTTCCAATAGAAATGTTCAATAGAAAATATCCTGTAGATAAAATCAATAGAATTCAACTTATCTTCACGATTTATTTTATGAAGATATTTTCCATGAAAATTCCTCGGTTGATTTCTTTGATTTTTTTAATAAGAAGACGATTAAAATAGAATAATTTCCGTTGGTCATTTTATATTTCAAAAACGCGCAGTACATTTGCGGAATTCTTCAATAGAATCTGTGGAAAACTAATAGAATTTTTTTTTTTGGCGCGGACTTATTCACTAAAGTTGAACAATACCTACAAAAATAATCTCAATCAAAATTTTATTATCTCCCATCACGTCCGATCACAATAATTACAAAAAAATCAAGTCTCACGAGTGAAATTGAATTATCTCTCTTCACTCCATAACGAGAGTGATAGATCACTCTTTCATTCATCATGAAGAACTTTTACTCCACAACGAAAATATTTTTACGGTATTTCCGGGTCTGGATGAAAGTGAGGTAACCATAAAATCATGGGTATGGTGCAATGGTACTCTGCAGGCGGGCGTGAAAGAGACAATGGACCCTCATCCCTTCGAAATCAATGTCCTCTTTTAACCAGGAAGCATCGCCTCGGGTTTCGTCGAAGGCCACATGTGGCACGCACCCCAGAAAGTGAAGGACTCATTGGGTTTCGCAAAAATCTCTCAGCGTCGTCGGGGTAGAAAGGTCACGAGGGACTTCCGCGGGGCCGGACACCGGAGAGAACCGGTCGACAATGATATGGATGGAGAAAGTTATGCCTCATTGGGTAATGTTTTTCGGTGCCGCGTGTGTTTGCGATTGAATAACAGGTCTGTTGACTTTGGTCATAATCAGCCCGTCGTGCGGTAATGTTTCGGCGAATTGAAAAAATGAAATTCAGTGGAGACTTTAGTGGTAATTATCAGGAGGGCTATAGTGATATCGATTTTTGGGGATTTAATGAATTTAATGAAATTGTGAATTAATGAATGTAATGAATTAATGAATTTAATGAAATTATGAATTAATGAGTTTAATGAAATCATTAATTAATCACTGATTGTTTCTCCCAGCATCCTTCTAACCAATAAAATTGCGGTATTTGACGTCCCGCAGTCCAATCGAAAGGGTATTATATCGAAAATTAGGAAATTACGAATTTTCGAGCGGCAAAAGAACAAGAATTTTTCATGTTACTTGAATTTTCAATCGAATATTGAAAATATTCATTTCACCCTAATTTTAATTGAAGATTCAAGAATTTATTCGCCGGATTGTTCCTGATTTCTGTTAATTTTCATGGAACAATTGAACTGAAATTTACAGTTTTCATTGATTTTCTCATCGAATTGGGAATTTTCAATTCAACTGTTCGAAAAGAAAATTGAAATTTTAAGGGAATTTAAGGGATTCTAACGGAAAATAAATTATGAATTTTCAATTAATTAAAAATTTAAAAATTTATTCACCTGAATTTTCCGGATTTTTATTAATTTCCATGGAAAAAATTGAACTGAAATTTAGAGTTATCACTGAGCTTTCCATCGATTTATGAATTTCTAACGCCGAAATTCTTAAAAATTTCAGTGTTTCAAGTGACTGATTTCTCGAATGAGTCTCAAGCCCCGATTTGAAAGTTTCCATTAGAACATAAAGACATGAATTAGCATCGAAATTTCTTCGTAAAGAGCGAATTTTCAGAATCTAATTTCGAATAGAAAGGATTACAGAGTGAAATGGTGAATCCTAATGAGTCTCTTTCGACATTTTTGTTGGATTCTCTCTTTATATAAATCTCCAAAGGCTTGATTCAACAAAAAATACTTCTCGATCCTTTTCTCTCGAGCCACTCATCATTGCGACCATGAGGGATTCAGCAAGATGTGAACAAATGCGAATTAAATTCATAATCCATTATTTTTGACAGCATAAATATATACCATTATGACTGTTAATATTTTTATTTACACTCATCTATTTGTCATCTTTTTTTATGGATTTTTTATTAGTTTCTTATTTTCATTCAATTCTATTGAACTCAGTCCCAAATTGGAATGAGGAAGTCTTAGAGGATTATCTCAACCCAATGACCTCGACCAAGATTTGTGTAACAACATTCTATTTGCTGCCCCCTCGACTCTCGACCCTAAACTCCGATTGCCTGGCTCATGACCCCGAGCCTCTTGATCTTGGTAAATTTCATTCGGAAGTCCCTCGTCACTTTGTACCCATTGCGCTTTATCTCGCTGTTAAAATTATTGACTCAAGAGTAAAAACAGGCTGTAACACTGATGGAAGGAAAAATAGTGAAGGTGAAAACCGTTAAATTTCACGTATTTATCCAGTCCTTGGGACTGATCAACTGGAAAATTACATTTGGTTTTTTAGGATCAATTTTACTGCCCAGTGGCTACGGTAAACCGATGATTAGATGACCTCAGACGTTAGAATGGCCCAATTAAAGTCGCGGAAGATTAATGAGAAAATTACAATGAACGGACATTCATTTAGTGTAAATCTGTTGTGATATAGACATTTCAGGGTTTTTCGGACAGCTATTTCATTTTATGAGGGGGGCGTTTAGTGATTGGGGATTCTGAACTGAAAGTCATTGTTATTGGATGAAGCACGCACGAAAATATTTCAGCGAAACACCTTGCGAATTTAGTAGGAAATTCTATTGGATTTTTATTGAAATTTTATTTTGTACAAAATGTCCGATAGAAATTATTTTACAGATAAAAAATCTGTAGATTTTTTATTTCTACGCAATTTTTTATTGAGACATTTCTGTGGAAATTTCTCGATATGAATTTCCTTTTATTTTTTCCGGGCTTTTTTTCTTGTTTTCATACGAAAATCAAACAAACTTGAAAAATTTTAACCGAGGAATTTCTGTGAAAAAATTATCAATAGAATAAGTTCTGAGAGAAAATTTCCAGCGAATTCGCTATGTTTTTCAAGCAAAATTATTCTCATTCAAAGTTCAATGAAACTTTTATTTTTTTGTATTTTAACAAAAAAATTGAAAATAACAAAATAATGCAGAAAATATTCACAAGTTTCGATTATTGAGATTTCCGACAATACTATCATTAGTTTATAAACAGGAAACGCGTTCATCAGGAAACGTAACGTGACAGTGTCCGCAGAGTCGACGATCGTGCTGATACCGTGTTGAAGCGCGAATGCACTTGTATTTTATCCTTATGCAAACCTGACTTTCCCACGTGCGTGCTCCCAAATAATTTACGTACTTGCGCAATTTTGGGCAAAACGGTGAGAGCCTCTGAAATTTTCGGCGAAAGAAATTTCTCGTACCTTCAAGAAAAGAATAACCTTCGGGAAATAAA